TCCATTCATCCATCCGTCCATTCATCCATCCGTCCATTCATCCATCCGTCCATTCATCCATCCGTCCATTCATCCATCCGTCCATTCATCCATTGATGCATCCATAGATAGATACATACATATCCATATCCATATCCATAGTCCATAGTCCATATCCATAGTCCATATCCATAGTCCATATCCATAATCCACATCCATAATCCACATCCATAGTCCCTATCCATAGTCCCTATCCATAGTCCATAATCCATAATCCATCCAAGACTATCTCAACAACGATAATCCATAGTCCATATCCATAATCCATCCAAGACTATCTCCACAACGATAATCCACATCCATATCCATAATCCATAATCCAATCCACGACTATCCCCACAACGCCACGCTGTGATGACGATGATGAAACATATAACATGCAACTTATTGTCTTCCCACCAGATCCCATATAATCAATCAATCAATCAATCAATCAATATGACCACCCCTCCGCCAAGGGACGAATTACTGCTTTTATACTTTGCGTCGCAAGATCCTTTTTCCTCTTTCTTTTTATTCCAATCACATGCTCGTCTCCGTCTCCGTCGCCGTGCCTTCCTCGTCCACCTCGTTCTCATCCTCACCTTCGCCACCATCACTCCCATCAACATCCTCCTCCCCCTCCTCCTCCTCATCATCATCATCATCCTCGCTATCCTCGCTATCCTCGCTATCCTCCTCCTCCTCCTCCTCAGCATCATCCAGCCCCGGAATCCGCTTCCACTCGACATAGTCGCCAACCAACCACCTCTTACTCCTCGGCAGCCGATACGGATCAAAGGGGAAATAGCTCTCGAGCTGAAACTGCGCGTCGCCAGAACGCCCACTAAGCGCCGTTTCGCGCGCGCCAATCTGCACCTTACTCGCGCCTCCTCCTCCTCCCGACGACAACGCGCCCACACCGCCAGACCCGTTGGGTCCAGAGCCGGGCATGTGGCCGAGGCGGACACGCATGTTCGTCTGCAGCTTGGAGTAGACGTAGCTGAACTGGGTGAAGTTTGCGATGCGGGCGAACTGGGCGACGACGTCGGGTGCGCAGACCTTGAGTGGGTTGAAGCGCGAGTGGAGCAGGGTGCGGTCGAGCTTGGCGCGGACGTCGGCGTGCCAGTCAAAGTCGTGGCCTTCTGCGAGGGCGATGTCGGGCGTGGAGCAGTTTGCGAATGTCTCTGCGTTGCGCGGCGAGCGTGTGCAGATAAGGTCGCGCCAGCGGAAGCAGAAGATGTAGAGGAGGGCTTGCACTTGCGCGTAGAAGGGGGCGTAGCGCGCGCGATCGGGCCCGGGGCAGGTCGCTTCGTTGTGGCGGCGGTAGCGGTCGACGCAGTCTGTGAGGAGGGCGAAGAGGGTGCGGACAACTGGGGCGGAGATGTGTGCTCCTCGGGCCACGAAGGAGGCGAGGTATGATGCTGCAGCGATGCGCTCCATTGTCGAGCGTGAGTGGGTCGAGTCGATGGTGATGTGGGCCGTGCGGGAGATGAAGGCCTCGGCGAAGTCAGGTCGGGTTTGGGCGTAGTGGAAGAGGAGGAATTGGACGTGACGGGTGCGTTCGGTGGAGAGGATATCCGAGGCGAATTGGTTCAGGAGGAAAGTAAAGGACGCGTTGGAGGCGTAGCCACCGTGCACAAAGATGTCATGGTAGTGGGAAAAGACCATGTCAAGTAGTGTATCGAGCTTTTTGGCCTTTTCCTTGAGGATCGCGAGCCGCTGGGCTTCGTCGTCTTCATCACTTCCGTCGCTCGAGACTGATTCCCCGTCGCTATCCGAGTCGACATCGTCGTCTTTGATATCGTCGTTCATTTCATTGACAAGGTCCTCGCCAACACCGTCTTCGAGCTCGTCAAGGTCCGCCTGGATAGCGTTGTCAATCTTCACTAGCTGCTGCATAATAAGTCGTTGTATCTCGCCATTAAGACTGGTGTGATGGCCGGCAACTTTGAAAAGATTGCTTATATAGTTTGCCAGATATTTGGTGGAATCGTCAATGTGCGGAAATCCTTCGTCGAGTATATGTTTGAGTGTAGTTGCCGAAGATGGGACCTTGGTATATATATCTTCAAGACAAGTGTGAGCTCGCTCCCAGATCTCTGTCCGTGTGATGGTTGGATCGTCCGGGTGTCGCCAACTGGCACGGGGAGCTGATTGCAGTTCAGTCAATGTCTGCCAGCTTGTGCCTCTCCAATCGCACACGACTTACGATGACTGAATATAGAGGCAACCTCCTTGTACATGGCCTCACAGTACCCCATATGAGCCGTACCCACAGTCTGAATGAAAGCGCGAAACGCCCGCACAAAAGCGTCATCCCGGATCGCCCAGTTGCACCCAAGCACGGCGTACACAACACCCGAGAACTTCCGGTCCAGCCGCGCACTCTCAGACGTCAGAGCAATCAGGTATTTCCGCAACAGGCTGCTGGTCGGGGCGTCTTCGTCCATGGGCTTCACCTTGAACAGCCGGACAATCTGGTCGTAGGCGGCGCTGTCGTCGCTGTCTGCGCGCTGGACCAGGGCTCGCTTCACCTCCTCGCGGACGAGGTCCATGCCCTTCTCCTTGAAGCCGGGCAGCGCATGCTCTTGGATCTCATCGTTGAACGCTACTCGAGGTTTTTTGGTGCGGCTTGCGTCGGGCGACGGTGTTGTGTCTGAGAGTTTGCGTTTGAGGATTGGCTTGTGGGGCTGCGGGTCCATTGTATGGTTACGAACGGTAGCAATAGATACCATGATGACGTCGCAGCGATTTCTGCTCGCTGCTACACTACATGGCAGTTGATATTTGGAATAGAGGGGTGAAGAAGGCGGAGGACGATGACCTACGAGAAAGTTGAGTCGTGTGGGCGGTAAGGCGAGTGGAGCAACCAGGCTAACGTCAAAATCTATCCGCCCCGCTTTATTTTCTCAGTGATGGCGCGTGCACTACAGCCAATCAAAGCCGCCTTACATAAAGTGAATCAGTATTGCTCATGCGACACAACATCGTGTTTGGAAACAAACGTACGATACGACAGGTCTCGTATATTCTGGAGTGATCTTAGCATGCTATGTGCCACACCTAACTTTTCCCTTCTTTTATGTCCAATTCTAGTAATATGTAGCATTCATCATTCCTCGCTGTCGTCCGAGTCAACAACCCGTCTCAGCCGTTTCCTCCCAGCCTGCTGGGCAACTACTACAGGGCCTTCTTCTTCGTTCTCGCTGCTAACATCCAGCACCTCCGCAGGTGGCACCGCACCCTTCTTCCGAGGCCGTGCAAACGACGTAGCATCCGGTAGCTCCTCATCACTGTCATCATTGTCGTGGACGCTACTGCTGAATAGATGGCTGGGTCTGATTCGTGACGGCGGAGGCGGAGAAGACGTCGCGATTGGCACCGGCTCGAGATCGTCCGCGATGAAGTCTGCAAGCTCAGAGTCTGGCACGTCGTCTTCTTCGTCTTCGCCAGACGTGTCGGAGTCGCCTAATGAGACTGCTTGTGAAAGGAAGCGCATGCGAGGGTCTGTGGCTGGAGGACTGCTGCTTCGCCCATCTGCCACCATGTCATCCTCAATCATGTCGGAGACACGATTGCTGACTGTCGTTTTTGCTCCCCGGCGCGGCGCCTTAGGTGCCTTTGGTGTTTTGGGAGCCTTGGGAGCTCTCGGTGCTCGAGGAGCCTTCGGCGCCTTCGTATGCTTGGGTAGAGGAAGGGTGTCCATGTCGACATCAAACTCTACAATCTCGACTGCATCGCGCACCATGTCGACATCCATATTGATAAAGTCTCTCGGTAGTCCAAGATCTTCTTCCGAAGTCGTATCCAAAGTCACTCCCATGTCCTCCCATCTACTTACTCGCGCAGCGTCGACAGTAGACATTGCATTGACTGCCTTTACGAAGCCCTTTGAAGCCCTGCCTGGAGACTTGAACGCTATCGTACGATACGGCTGCCGCTGACGCTCGGGGTAGCGCGTCAGATTCGGCAGAGTTATGACCTCGGAGTCATCAGTAACACTCAGGTACCTATCGAGCTGTGCTTCTTCGCTGGGACTAAGCACGAGCTCACTTAGTGGCGGGTTGATGGCTATGTCGTCGCGTGGCGCTGCCTGGGCTTTGGCTTTTGCGGGTTTATGATTTTGAGATAGCTCAACAAAAACAGGATCGTCGTTTAGCCGCGACACGCTCACGAATCCAGTGATGGCGCCGTCGGGCATGTTGAACTTCTTAGGAGGGCGCTTTGGTGCACGTCCGCCACGCTTCTTGGGTTCTGGAAGGCCTTCTTGTGAATTTTCCAGTGGTATATCTACCACGCGCTTGTCGACGAGGGGCTGGAACTCCTTGGGAACAATTCTGCGATTACGGTCGTCGTGAAAGGTGAATCTAGTGCCATTGGCAATCATTTCTTGCATCTTCTCATAATTGTCCTTGGCTTTGGCCGCGTCCGTCTCTTCTTTGCCTTTCATCTGGAGCAGAATGATCTTGCCCGCCCGCTTGCGACCTGTTCTGCCCATCCGCTGAAGCATCCGTATGGGCGACGCCTTCGAGTCGTAGCAGACGATCAGATCAATCTCGCCGATATCGAGGCCTTCTTCGCCGATAGAGGTCGCAACAAGCGTGTTGTATGCACCAGTCTTGAACTTGTGCATGATTTCGAGCTGGTACTTCTGGTCCATGCCGTCCGAGTTGCGCGACGCTGCCTGTCCGACAAACACATGGGCCCGGATCATGGGTTCGTGGCGCTTCAGCACGCGTACAATGTCCTCAGCGCTGTCTCTCCAATGCGCAAAGATCATGACTCTGGTGCTCGAGGGCGGTTGGCAGTCAAGTCCGCGGCCGTCGCCTGCATCCATGAAATGCGTCAAGACGCGCTGTGTGAGGAACTCCAGCTTCGGGTGCCCAATGAAGTCTGGAAGATTGTTCCATGTCCGCAGACGGGACATCATCTTTTGGAAGTCTTCATTCTGGACGATTTCTTTTCTGTACTTTCCGCCATTGGTGTCCCCTTGGTCTTGGAAATGTTGCAGTCCAGAGTAGAAGGGTCGCATGCCATGATATTTGAGGAGATCCATGCTATGAGCCAGACTGGCCAACGTCGAAAATATTGTTTTGACCATGCCCTTCACAGCGTATGGAGCCTTTCTGCCCGCGTCCGAAGCGAACCACTGGCCCATTGCTTTGGTGAGGCCGAAGGGGGTAAGAGCGATGGGATCCTTGACCCAATATGCATTTTGGCCGTTTAGTCGAGCCAACACAGGTCGCACAGCTTTCGAGTAGAGGTCCATGCACATTTCCATCTCGTCTGTGTTGTCGAACACATGCTTGTCGATTTGTCTATGGTAGACGTATTGGCGAATGTCAAGAGACTGTTCTGTCCGTATCTCCACTCTCGAAATGTCGAGGCTGTCAATGACCTCCTGGACAGATTCGACATCCGAGCCAGGCGTAGCGGTCAGGGCAAGTACCCTAAAGCTCTGATTGAAGCGACGCACGAACTTGACGATCTCGGCATAGGCATATGCTCCCGTGGCTTTGTGGGCTTCGTCGATGACTATCAGGATGAGCCTTTTCGGGTCGCAGATGCCAGATTTCAGATCATTGATCATGGTTTGGGGAGTCATGAAGAAGACTCGCTTCGACGACCACTCCTCGGCACGGAGACCCGGGCTCACACCGCCCGTGAGCATTGAGGTGTCGGAGCGCGGAATACCTGCAATCCCAAAACATGCCTGAACCTGCTGAGACACAAGAGGCTTGGTCGGCGCGACAAAGACAATCTGCGCGCTTTTCGTCCAGCGATACCAGTTGAGCATGATGGTTGCAGCGATGAAAGTCTTTCCCAGACCCGTCGGCAGAGCGACGAGTAGGTTGTGGAACAATCCTCGCTGCACAATGTTAAATTGATAATCACGAATCGAGCCAATGTTGATGGGATATATCCAAGTCGTCATTGCGTCTATATTCAACTGGTGGTGGGTTGGAGGCTCATCCTGTGCTGGCTTTGCATGATCCAGGCGGTTGTTGAGCTGCGATGCCGGTCTGGCTTCCAGGCCCCGACCGAACAGCGTGGTTTGACGTAGACCTGTCTGTGGTGCTGCAACGACTCCGCCAACGCCTGCCCGCGAGGATTGCGATTTCTGCGGTGATGATGATGAGTAGTCAAATGCATCCGACGGGATATCAGCAAGCTCTCCATTTGTGTCAAAACCAGTAGTGAATCTGGGTCTCATCAGTGACTCGGTCCATGCAAATGCTAGCAAAGAGAAGCTGACCGCGGTATTACTAGAGACTCAAACGCATCGTCTGAATCAGAACATTCGGCGGCCCCAACTTGAGGTGTCTGCTTCTTCTTCTTCTTTGATGGTGGGAGGCCGACGCCAGTACGGCTGACGTAGCCATTCCTGTGAGGCGAGTCACTGCTCGGGATCTGTGAGGCAGTATATTGATAGGTGGGAACTTTAGTAGACGTCTTCACGACTGCTTTACGAGCACCAGGGCGCTGGAGTTTTGATCCATGTGCTACCCCTCCTCCATTAACCTTCCCAGCGGCAGGTCTAGGAGGTGGCGCAAATCGATTCTTCATGGCATGCAATTCACTCGCGAGCGGAGCTGGACCGGATGCATTTGCAGACTTCTCACGCCCGAAGCCATAGGCATTGAGGCTGCCATTTGCGTAGCCAGTGCGACTGTCAAGCTTGAGGCGCTTGGCCGGACGTGGCGAGTCCTCGAAATCGGCAGCGGCAGCGGCAGCGGCAGCATCTGTTGGAGCATCTCCAGTGAGCAGTCCTGTGGCAGCGATAAGGTCATCGTCGTCGAAATCGCCATAGTCGCTGTCGGGCATTGTGTTGAGCCATTAATTCTGCGTGCGCGCGTGATTGAGCAATCAATGTTGATGATGCTCGCGTCGGCCTTGGGGTGAGGTGAGGTTGAGTAGTTGCCTTGGATGTAAGGCATCAAGACGCGTCTCATCTCACGCGCCTGCGATTGATTGTTGTTCCTGTGATATCTAAGGAGCAGGCATGCACTAACATTTCGGCCATCTCCTGCAAACAGTGGGCAGTATCTGCCATTCCATCGTGTTTCTCACGCAAGAAGAGTCTGCTGAAGAGTAATCATCTCCATCTCCAACATCAGCATCCTACGCACGTACTTGTATGCACGATGCATCGTACTTTGTTGATCTGAGATTCGATTTCTGCGGGGAACCTGCTCCTTAAGAACGGGCGCCCCTTGAAACCCAGACTGGCCAGCCAGTCCTTGCCTTGTGACAGTAATTAAAATTCCCACAGGCGGCGCTAAGATGAGCAGAAAGGGGAAAGGGAGTGTTGGAGTGGTCTGAGAACCTTGTTTGGGGCCTTGTCTGGCCTTGTTTTTATGCGGCGACAATTGCCAGTTCCAATAATTTCCATTTCCCTCTAATTTGGGTGACATTTCGCGGCAAACTAAAACCCTTCGTTTTCCCGCTCCTCTTGCACACACTCGTTCACTCACTCACTCACTCACACACTCGTTACTCTTTTTCTTACATTCGCTTTCAACAGACACTTTTTCTTCCTTCCAAACCTTCAAATCTCACTTCTAAACCACTAAATCTCTCATCCAAACCACCGAAAATGAAGTTCTCCACCCTCGCCCTCACCACCTTCGCCGCCGCCGTCTGCGCCCAAGACGCGCCCACAACCGTCCACTCGGCCCCCTCCATGACCGTCTCCCTCCGGCCCGAAGTCTCGTGCGTGAACGCCTGTCCGATCGGCGACGTCAACTGCCAGGCCCGCTGCGTCGGCGTGCCCTTCCCCGACGAGAACCAGACCAACCAGACCAACGAGTGCGCCGGCAAGTGCGACCAGGGCGACGGCTCCCCCGAGGCCACGGAGAAGTTCTCGCAGTGTGTGCAGGGCTGCATCTCGTCGTACTTTTTGACTGCGACGGCCGCGCCGACGGCGGGTGGTGCCGCGCCGAGTGGTGGTGCTGCGCCGACGGGTGCGGGTCAGACTACGGGGCCTTCGTCGGGTGAGTTTTTGCGATGGGTTGAGGGGTTGAGGTGTGATTGATGCTGATTGTGATGCTTAGGATCGCCGTCTGAGACTGGTAGCGGTGCGCAGCCGTCTGGCTCGCAGGGCGCTGCTGCTGGAAGCGTGCAGATGAATGTTGCGACTGGCTTTGTCGGTCTGTTCATGGCCATGCTTGCTCTCTAAGACAGACATGCACGATGCCCATAGTCTTCTAGCTAAGGTAGTCTGTCACCTCTCCACGACATAATACGACGGTGTGGTCTCGGACTTTCATCATCATCACGAACGATACGTCCGAGCTGAGACGACGGTTATCTGAAAGGGACGCATTTCAAGGGTTGTAGTATAGTAGTGATTCGGCCTGACTGGCTGTAACCCACGCGCCGGGGGAGGGGGTTCAAATACATGGTATAATATGGAGTTTTACTTTTCTACTTTGCGCAAACTGTTTCCGTCGTGCGTGTGCGTGCGTGCATGCGTGCATGCGTACATGTATGCATATATGAACCGAGTAGCGTGCCGATGATCTCGGTATCGCGTGAGCTGGATGCGTGTGTCACGTGACGTGCATTCGAAACTTACAAGCCCGGTCTGCCAGGGCCCAGTGGTGGCAGGCATCAAACTCTACTCCGGCCTACCACCACCACCTAATTACCAACAATCATCACTATCATAAAGTATGATTATAGCAACACTCCCACTCCTCGTCTAGTCGTAGAGTAGTGCTTCTTAAATGCACATGCCATGTGCAAACGTTAATACTGTATCACCCAAAGCTCCCCGGCCGGCCGGAGTTACATACCTGTGCGGGCATCAAGTTGGGCTCATGGAAGTCTTGGAGATGCACGCGGTGGTGCGTGTTCTCGGCTGACCTCGGCGGGTTTGCGTGCTGCTTGCTTGCTTGTTTGCTTGCTTGCTTGGGAGACAGGCGTGTGGTAGGTACATGAGTGTCAGTGTGTGTTGTGCAGTGCTGGCTGGCTGGCTGGCTGGAGGGAGGGAGGATGGGCGGATGGGCGGATGGCGCAGGTATGGCGCAGGCGGCACTCCGTCTGGCCTTGGGGGATGGATCTACAGAGTATTATCATGTTGAGTGAGTGATGACTGACTGGCTGACTGAGTAATGATGGCGAGTAAGCAGTCTATCAAGTATTATATCATCCATTCGCCTGTTACTGTGACTGTGACTGTTACTGTTACTGTTGCTATCACAGGCCATCCCATCCAACCCCCCAAAGCGCCGCCGTTAGGTTTCAAACAGCGTAAAACGCGCCGGAGCTCGAACAGGTCAAGTCCCAGGTCCCTCCCCCAGGCTACTACTACTGGATCCCAGACTAATTAGTATTAATTAGGTCCCTCCCCCCGTGCCTGCACGTCAAAACGGGCGCATCGCATCGTACTTACTTGCTCACGTGACGGCGTGGGATTCATTACTAGGACGTACACTCTATAAACGTCTCAAAGTCTTGAAAAGAATGGAGGAAGAAAAGATAAAAAGGAAGAGAAAGCCAAAAGAAGAGAATGGCGCACTAAGCCCCCGACAAAGCCGTGACACGCTGACTGGTGGGGTTTGGTGATGGCTTGATGACTACGTATGGTATGGTATGGTAAAGTTCGTGTAGAGTACGATGCGTGGGCTGCTTATTTTTACATACATCCATAGCACTGCCGCTGCTGTTCCTTGCTTTGCTTGGGGGTGTGGCTTAGGACTGCTACAGAACAGTACAGTACAGTACAGTACAATACATAACATACCTTACACCCTCCCCGTCCCCCACCCATCCCCTTGGCCCTGTCCTGCCCTGTCCCGCCCCTGTCTTGCCTTGTAAGTAAGAAGTCAGAAGTTAGAAGTAAGAAAGCGATGCTGACGAAGCCTTGTTCGTTTCGATGCGGTACGTGCGTGCGTGCGGCTGTCTCATGTCTCTCTCTGCCATGTCTCAATGTTCTTCAATTTATGTACTGTATGTATATCGAAGTGCGCGTTTTAATTGTCTCGTTTGGGTTGGTAGTAGGTAGGTAGGTAGTGAGTGGTAGGGGTACCCGGGTCCCTCCCACCCCTCCCCGCTTTCTGCGTTTTGAAAGTAATTTTGCTGGCTGTGTGTACTTGCACTTGGAGGGCTTAGTAAGGGATGAGGCTGTGCTGCTGTGGCAGATGGAGGATACTGCGATATTCCACACTATTCCACATTATTCCCCGTTTCTCTAGCAGATTGCGTATTCAGTCAGACTGTTGTGTAGCCTTGTTCGAACTGTTATGGTACTTTAGCTCCTACGTCGGTAGGTAGGTAGTAATTCAGTAGTGTTGACTGGCCTTTTGTCTTTTTCGCGCGTTGGCGGCCAATCCAGGGCAGGCAGGCTGGCAGGCTGGCTTTGTGTCCGATTGCGTGCCCCGGTCCATCCATCAGCCATCAGCCATCAGCCATCAGCCATTACAGTATCCACCCGTTGCTGACATTGGGCGGAGTGGCGATTGGATCGGTGGGCGCATCATGTTCGGTGAAGCTTTTTTTTTTCTTTCTCCACGCTGTTACTTTATGTGCTGTGTGCTCGTGTGTGCTGTCGCTCTGACTTCCTCTGCTGGAGACTAACCCATGTATCTATCGTACTATAATATCAGGCCCGTTTCTTCTACATCTGAGTGGTGGTTTCATGCGATCCATCGCGCCAGAATAGGCCACGAGCATAACACTTGTTTTGTATGTGCAGTTCAACTGCCACGACCGAGACGTCTACGTGAAGATAGTATGGATGGAATTAATGAGTGAATGGATGGATGGATGAACTGGCCTCCAGCTCACAGAAGGCTGTGGTCGAGTGAGTGGATTAATGACTCGACAGAGTTGGGCGGATCTGCAGACTGAGTGACTGCAAGCAAAGTAAAGGGTAATAAATGACGATACTGCGCCCATCGAACGTCTAAGCGCTTCGAATTGTTCTCATTATCATTCTTCTTCTTCTCCTTCTTCCTCTTCTCTACCATCAAGACGTCCCCTGGCGATATAGGCAAGACTATAGCTCAATCAGGCCCTTCGAGACAGCAAGCGGCAGAAGTGAAGTGAGTGGGAAGTGAGACTGGGGGTTTTGTGGTGGTGCGTAACAGGACACTAGGCCTAACGCGATCTAGGATACGCTAGACCAGGGTTCTGCAACGCTAGTGCCGCTTTCGGAGGCGATGCGTTCAAAGCACCTCGTGGTTCAAACATCTTCCTGACTTAGCGACGAGGATTCTTGTCTCATCCTTTCTTCCCCCTCCCCCCTCCCCCGGCTTCAAAATCACATAACGTTTTGCCGGGACTATACTCGACGACTGGCACGACACTAAAAGGGCATCTCGCATGGGTGAATGTGTGTGTGTGTATATATGTGTTGTATTTGCCTTATGATCCGTGACTCTAATCAAGTACTCCGGGGAACCCGCGACGCCCCGGAAGCACGGGTCTGATCAGGCCAAAAGACGAGTCTGGGGGCTAGGGGAGTCGAAAAAGTGCGCGATGGATAGAGACGGGCTTGGGGAGGGCAGTTCTGATGACGAGAATGGTAGACGGGCGTTTGTTGGGGACGAAAGAGAGATGAAGGGCAGATGGAGGATAGAGAGGACGTGGAAATAGGTGTGGAAGAAGGGCCCCACGCTGCGGCAGGGTCGCGCGCGCGGATTCGATCTGCGGCCAACGAACATGGAAAATGACATACGTAGGTATTAGTAGTGTAGCTTGGAGGCGGCAGGACTAGACCACACACACACACATCTGATGATGATGATGATAATACTACTACTACTGCTGCTGCTGCTGTCCACGTACTACCAACACTGACCTGAATTACACGTGGAGCATGATCATGTATGTTTGACTGTAGCTGCACACGCGATCTCTGGCTGGGAGTGTGTGTGTGTGTGGCGCATGGAAGAAGGGTGTTGTTGTTCCTTGTTCCTGCGGATGGATCCATTAGGTGTGTGGTGGCCATATACACCTACCTCACTTATCGTCGCCGTACGTAGAGAGAGAGAGGCAGAACGATGTGGCAGAGACTGCTATAATAACGATAACAATGACGATGATAATGATGAAGAAGAAGATGATGACGATGATAATAATAGCCACTACTACATACATACAGTACTACTACTACTACAGCCATAACAAGAGGCATGGGACAGGCTCGGCACGCCGCCGCGTAGGTCCATGTTTTAATCGTTCTATTACTGTATTACTTGCATCCATCACATCAGGTTCTGCTCTTGGCTTTTCTTCTCTTCTTCCTCTTGTTCTTCTTCTCCAGTCTTGGAGCCCCAGAGCCGCCGTCTCTCTCTCTCTCTCTCTCTTCATCTGCTTCATCTGCTTCATCATCCTCTTCTTCTACTTCTTTTTTTCTCCATCTCCATCTTCCCCATCTTCCCCAATCCGTCCATCCATCCATCCATCCATCCATCTTCCTCCCTCTCCCTCCCACTCACTACACTTACTCTCCCACATCTCCGCTGCCATCCAAGCTTACTACTACTACCACTACCACTACCACTACCACTACCACTACCACTACCACTACCACTACCACCACTACTTTCTACCTGACCTTCCTCCGTGACCCACTTTTTTTTATTCCTCGCTCCCTTCCCCTTCCCTTCCGACACTTTCTTTCTTCCTTTCCTTCTCCCTCCCCCATAAATCACTTTCTCCTTCACACACAACACACCCACACGCTCCTTTGCTTTCACCAATTCGCGCCGCTGTCCCACGGTCTACTTTGCAAGCCAATCTTGCTCTTGGCTTGTATTCCCCCCCCCCCCTTGATCCTTACCCAGGGTACACGTTCAACGGCTAGCCGCATCGGCCGTTCCAGCGGTGCTTGCCATATCAACGGCTTTTCTTGATATATCCTCTCTCTCACTCTCTCTCTCTCTCCAACAACACTCCATCCTCAGCCACCACCACCACCACCACCACTTATCCTGTAATTCTTCGACCACACCCAGCCCCGGCGCGTCTATCTCGACCACACGTCCGTTGGCTTTTACTGGTCTTCTCTATCCCTGTGACGCCTACAGAGCATACCAGGTACCAACTACTGTGGCCTTCATGCTGGATGCTCAGCATGCTGGACGCGACTCTTCGTCCTTTCACGCCGTAAATCATCATCATCATCAGCATCAAACCATGGCGTCCCCAGCTACTCGCGAGGACGCAATGCAACACGACACTGTGCAGCCTGCAGATGAGAGTGCTACGGGCACGAGCGGTGTGTCATCCGCCAGTCTGCCAAATCATCCTTCTACTTCCTCAAACCCTACCGCTACCACCTCTGTCGCCCAACCCTCGACAGACTCTCCCCATCCTGCTGCCATCAACAACAACCCTCCCACCGCCGAATCCACCTCGACGCCAGACCAACCTGCACAGTCACAGCCCATGACCACGTCCAACTCGACGTCTTCAAATGCCTCTGCCAAGCAATCAAAGGACTCCAACATGGCTGCTACTTCTACTACTACTACCACTACCAACACCACCAACACCACCGCCGCCGCCGCCGCTGCGCCTTATGGGACGCGTTCTCGAGGCACTCGCAATGTAGCACGCCCCAACTACGCCGAGGACGCCGACCTCATGGACTTTGAGCTGACCCAACCGGCCAAGAATGGCACTGCGCCCTCTGAATCAGGCGTGAAAAGCTCTGCAAATTCGGAGACTCAGGACTCGCCGACGGTGGCATCGCGCAAGGCAAACGCGAATGGGACTGCAAATGGCGCTTTCACCTCTGTCAATGACGCGAAAAAGGACGCGCCTGTTGCTGGCACTTTGACTTTTTCGACGACTGCTACCACAACCACCACCAACTCCTCCACTCCTGCGCCTGCGCCTGCGCCGGCACCGTCAAAGAGACGAAAGGCCCAGGCAAACCATGCTGCATCAAACGGTTCACTTGCGACGAGCACGGCAGGCACGCAATCAAGCTCGCGAAGAACCTCACATCAGATTGCAGCAGTTGCACAGCCATCACGCCAAAGCAACATGTACACGTTCGAAAAGTCAAAGGCCATGTTGAAGAATGGCAAGCTGGAGGCAGACGATGGCACAGTATTCAACGTAAATGGTATGTTTTGTTTTTTGTTCTCTTTTCTCTCTTTTTGCACTTTTTGTTCAAGCTCTGTGCTGTTGTTGTTGTTGTTGTTGTGGTGGTGGTGGTGGTGGTGGTGGTGTTGGAGGTAGTGCATGGTGCATGCAGTTGTGGGTGGTGGGAGGGTGGCGATTACTGGGGCAGGCGCACGCATTGGCTTGAGGCTTGGCTAACGCGTCACAGATCACGTCTATCTAATTTGCGAACCGCCGGGAGAGCCATACTATCTCTGTCGACTGATGGAGTTTGTGCGCGATGAGAGCAATGATCCAAACTCGCCGATTGTGTCAATCCGAGTGAATTGGTTCTATCGCCCTCGAGACGTGCAGCGTTTCAATAACGATACGCGACTTGTCTATGGCACGATGCATTCCGACATCTGTCCGCTGACTTCGCTCCGAGGCAAGTGTCAGATCAAGCACCGTGCCGAGATTGGCGACGTGGACGAGTATCGCAAGATTCCAGATTCCTTCTGGTTCAATCAGGCCTTTGACCGCTTCATCCATCGCTGGTACGAGGTCATCCCGACGAAGCAGGTGATCAACGTGCCAGAGAAGGTCAAGAAGGCCCTGGACGAACGATGGAAATACGTCGTCGTGGAGACGAGTCGCGTCAAAGAACTGACGAGCGAAGTCAAGACGTGCAAACGGTGCACCGGGTATTGCCCAAAGTAAGTAATATGGAAGGAAAAAGAATCGTTTTCGGACTCGTGTGCCGTTTGCTAACGGCTTTGGTGCAGTCCCGAATCCGTGGAATGTGCGGTCTGTCACAATACCTACCACATGAATTGTGTCCGGCCGCCGTTGTTGAAGAAACCGTCGCGGGGATTTGCGTGGGCATGTGGACCTTGCAGCAGGGCGCAAGAGCGGAAACTAGAGGCGCGACGGACACCCATCATCGGCGAGGCCAGCCACGAGGCGGAGGAAGACGAGCAGATGGAGGAGGAGGAGGAGGATGGTGTTGGGCTGGCCAAAACAGCCGATTCCACCACTGCTGCCCCCAGCCCGACTGGATACGAAGCCCCAGCGGATTTGCATCCTGCCACCCAGGCCGAAATCGCCCTTGCGCAGATGTGGCCAATGAGATACCTGGGCATTCATGCTCGCGTAGAAGACGCTCTCCAGTACGACGATCGAGCAATCTACCCACGCGCAAGCTCTCGACTGGGCCCGCGTCATCAGGCCAACGTCAACGTCTGGCATGGTCACCCGGTCGAGTTTGTCAAGCCTGCCGAGATCAAGAGACGCTACGTCAAGGCGGGCGGCCAGAAGAAAGACACGAAGTTGTCCAAAGAGACCGTCGCCGCGCTAGAGGCTGATCGCCAAGAAAAGGCCAAGCGCCCCAAATGGGTCCAGGACGAACCGCAGGGTTACGTGAGGCGAGGCGAGGACCTACCAAACAAAGACTCGAAGAACTCGGCGAAACTCATGTTTAGGATGCCTCCTCCACAGCCGGTGCATTCAGAGCGTGGCAACGATGATGTGCCTGCTGCTGCTGCTGCGGCTGCTGCCACGGAGGCTGACCTCGACGCCTACATGCACCGCGTCAAGACCCAGGTCGCGCCCATCATCGGCGTCGAGAAGTGGAACACAAACTTCCTCGACAAGGCCCTGGAACTGTACACGACCAACAACTACAATGCCGATGCCGCCATCCGGCAGCTCAAGAAGGTCGACCGCAAGAAGGACTTGAAGGAACCAGAGCTGACCAAAGAGGAGATTAAGAAGTTTGGAGAGGGTGTTGCCAAGTACGGTTCGGAGCTTCGGAATGTTCGACTACACGTAAAGACCATCACGCCCGGTGAGGCCGTCCGCTACTACTACTTGTGGAAGAAGCGAGAGGGCAAGGAGATCTGGAAGAACTATGGTGGTCGCAAAGGCCGCACGAAGAAGCCGGATAGCGAAGCCACCGCGAAACTGCTCGACGACGTCGCTCACGACCAGGACGACTCTGCATTCGACTGCGAGAAGGCCGAGAGGCGGAAACGCGGCTTTCAGTGCAAGTTTTGCAACATCAGACACTCCCGACAGTGGCGAAGGGCGCCAAACGCAGCGCCCGGCCAGACTGTGCTTGCCGATGGTCGAAGCAAAGAAAAGGGCCAAAGCCTCGTCGTTGCACTGTGCCAGAGATGCGCAAACCTGTGGCGTCGCTATGCCATCAAATGGGAGAACATTGACGAAATCGCAAAGAAGATTGCCATGGGCGGTCTAAAGGCTACCAAGCGGCGCATCGATGAAGAGCTTATCAACGAGTTCAACTTTGCAAAGAACAATCCTCACGCCATGGACATTGACCCGCCTGTCGAGCACGAGACGGTAGCGGAGCCCCCCAAGAAAAGGCTAAAGGTCGCGGCACTGGACAAGGACAGAGACGGCCACTCATCTGCGTCTGAGTCCAATGTAAAGAAGAAGCAGCAGCAACAACAACAACCGCGACAACAATTCATCCAACAACCCCCTCCTCCGCCCCCGCCGCCGCCAAAGCAACCTACACCACCCCCCGTCCCAGCGCAGCCAAAGATGGCCACCCTACCATGTTGCGTCTGCTACCAGTACGACCTCGAAAACGACCGACTGATGACCTGCAACGAGTGTCGACTCACGGTCCACCGCAAGTGCTTTGGAGTCGACAGTCGTCGCACGAACAAATGGACATGCGACATGTGCCGGAACGACCGCAAGACCCATGTCTCGTACGCGTACGAATGTGTGCTCTGCCCGGTCACACTGAACAACATAGACCTAGTCGAACCGCCCAAGGTGTCCCACAAGAAGAAGACGGACCGCGATCGTGAACGGGAACGGATGGAGAAGGAACTGGCAGCAAACCTAGCGGCCAGCTATCGCCAGCAACAGCGCGACAAGGGCCGGCCTGAACTTCCACGGGAGCCACTGAAGCGAACATCTGATGGAAACTGGGTGCACGTATACTGCGCTGCCTGGGTGCCAGAGACTAGGTTCAACGACCCAAAGAGCTTGGACATAATCGAAGGCATTGGATCTGTTGCGCTGCGGTACGAGCAGACTTGCAAGGTGTGCAAGACGGACAAGGGAGCATGTGTGTCCTGCCATCAGCCCGGGTGCAACGCATTGTTCCACGTCGGCTGTGCTCATCAAGCTGGGTACATATTTGGATTCGATGTTGCACCCGTCAAGGGCTCTCGACGCGATGTCAATCCGGTGTTCACGCTGGGTGCGGACAAGGCCGAGACCGGAGCACTCAATCCTGCTATATGGTGCAGGGAACATGCTGCTCCCAAAACGATCGTCCATCCCATCACGGAAATCGTGAACGATACTCCAAACCTCACTGCCCTGCAGGTCTACGTGCGCAACTACAAGGAGGCCGACTCGTCGACAACAGGCCCGGCTCGCAAAGCGGCCCTGATGGACCAGTCAGTGCTATCCAACTCTCTTAGCGCTGCCAACCGTCGTACGTCCGCAGTGCAGGGCGGCAATGCCACGGCTGGACGTGGCTCTCGCAGAATGTCTTCTGGCGATGCACTCAAGACAGAGGACGATGAGCATGCGCCTACCATGGACCGTCACTGCACAAAATGCAAAGTCGAGGTCTCGCCAAAGTGGTGGGTCGCCAACGAAAGGACGTTGCAAAAGGAGCCTGAGCGTCCGGCTACCGCGAACGGCATCTCACCCTACGATATATCGACCAGAGAGTACTCCGCCACGGTCGGTAAACCAACAGTCTGGCTGTGCAACAAGTGTCACTGGAAGAAACGGAATGCAGTCGAGGAGACTGAAGAGCGTCCACCGTCCAGGCCTGAAGCTATACGCCCGGAAGTGCCTGTCACCATGCCTCTGCGATCACCCACGACCATCCCCTACCCAGCTCCAACTCCCTGGAACCAACCTGGAGGTCCCATCGCGCAGCCCGCGCCTCCACTGTCCAGCTGGGCTGGCAATCACCCATCTTCAGCCCCGACACTGAGCAACGGCGTCACCTCCCACTCGCCTCGCGCTCACACACACCCAGCAACATACCACGCACCCCCACCGCTACACCATTCACACCAAACAAACGGCTACCACCCCCCAAACATGCACCCAGTCGGCATCCCGCCTCCATACGGCACCGCCCATCCATCCCACGCCCCTCTCGCCCCAATGCACGCTCCCAACGGCCACCACTCCCCCCGCCACCTCCAGCTGCACTCCCCAACTCACCCGCCTCCCCACCAGGGCTTTCCCCCTCCTCCGCCTCCTCCGCCACCATCTCGCCACACCAGCAGTCCCTACGCACCTGGTCCCTCCGGCCCGCCCCAACATCTCCCCGCTGCCTTTGGCTCCCATCATCAGAGCCCCCCGCTCTCCGCAGCGCATCCTCATCACCATAGGCCCACCACGCCGCGTACGCGTGAGAATACCCTCCCGCCGCTGCCTGCTGAGCGGCCGATGCCGAGCGGTGCGAGTGCGAGTCCTAGTCTGCGCAATCTCCTGCACTAGGGGGGGATTGAGGGTTGGAGCGAGGGAGATGATGGATGGATCGAGGAAGGGATAGAGAGAGAATAAGGGAGGAGAATTTTGGGGGCATATTTGTATTTGTACTTTTTAGACAAGAAAACGGAGATGATGCAGATGAGGCCGATGAAGAGGTCGATGGAGATGAGGCAGTAGAAGCTAGGAAGGATGGGAAGGAGGGTAAGGAGGGGAAAATGTAAAAATGTAAAGAAATTAAAAGACAATTAAGAAAGGATTTTCATTTTTCGGTTCTCATTGATTTTCTGATTAGCATTTTTTGCGGGGGAGAGGGGGAAAAGGGGTGGTAAGTCCGATTAGTGGTATGTGCTGTCTCGTGTCTTGTGTCTTGTGTCTTGTGTCTTGAGTATACGTCTACCACCACTCACTCACTCACTCACTCTCGTCGATCCTATGGTCATCGATCCCATGGATATATATATATATATATATATATATATATATATACATACGCGCAAACATTCAGAGGGCTTTTGAGGTTTCTTGAGCTTTTTGAAGTTGGGGGTGGCAGGGAGTTGGATGGGGAGTTGGATTGGGGGGTCAGAGGAGGGGGGAAGGGGGGTATTCAGGGTTTTTTTCTATTTCTTTTTTATCATGAGGTTGGTGTTTTTTTTTTGGGTTTTTTTTTTCTTTTTTTTTCTTTTTTTTTTCTTCTCAAATGGGGTGAGTGTGAGGTATGAGAGGTATGAGAGGTATGTGTGTGTGTGTGTGTGTGTGTGTGAGAGAGAGAGAGAGAGAGAGAGAGAGAGAGAGAGAGAGAGAGAGAGAGAGAGGGTGTGTAGGTGTCGTGCGTGCTGAATACCTGGGCCCGATATGGGTAGGATAGGGTTGGATTAGATCCAACTGGATGGTGCTTGTTACTTGTTTCTTCTGATATTCCGGTGGCAGTAGTTGATACTTACTCGACACCCCGTATCTCCTGGGTCGTTTTTCGTTGAAGAAGAAGAAGAAGAAGAAGAAGAAGAAGAAGAAGAGGAGGAGGAGGAGGAGGAGGAGGAGTTTGAGAATTGGGGGGGTTAGTTGGTTTTTTGGCGGCATTTGCCAGGCAGGGGGTTTATTTTGTTTGGCTAGGGAGGGGGCAGAGTCTATAGAAATCATCAAATTGGGAATACGAAAAGGAAACATTACCGGATTTCTCGATTGATATTGTGTGCTTTGTGCGCGTGTGTATACTGTGACGGGACGGGGGGCGAGTTGAGATGGAATTGAATGAGGTAGATGATGAGTGAGTGGCAAGGCAGGGGAAGGGGAGGTGATTAGTTGAGATGTTGGGTAATTTAGATTGATTAAATACAATCCAAAGAAAACATATAGAAAATGCACACACCAATTACACGCCAATTACGGTTTCTTCTTCCTTGTGAGATAAACACAGCTTGGTTCCTTGTCATGTACCGTGAGTAAGTGAGTGAGTGAGTGAGCGCCTGGATGCTAGGTATACATATATATAAATATCCGTAGGAGCGTGCGTGTGATAGGGACCACTCATAGGAAAGTGATCGATTGGTATATATATATGCTATGCTATGCTACTCTATATAGTACAGTACGTGGAGGATGCTATGGACGGATAGTCCTGGCTGTGCGTATGCAGAGGAAAGACTGTTCGCCGGCGATGGGCATATGTCTGGCCCTCGAGCACTACTACTGTGCGGGGACCGGGGTGCGTCTGGAGATACAAGGGAAAAACACGGCCATTAGCTGCATTCATGCCGCATGTTGGGGGTATGATTATGGTATAAGAGTAAGAGAAACGTGGAGCGAAAGTGATGCGATGCGGCCGTGAGTATCATGAGTCGTCAATCGGGCGGTCCTTGCTTTCATCACGGCCACCAGTTCATGCGCTTGTAACTCTCAATGACACTCTCCACCTCCTCCTTCGTCAGCTTCGGGTGTGTATATCTGGCAACATGTTAGTCCGGTTCTCGTCCCCCTTACCGCCCTCAATCACTCACTGAAATCCCGTCGCATTTTCAAACGCACTCCCGTCCAAACACAGATCGGTATCCTTCAATAACTCCTTCTCCATAAACGGCGACAGCGGTCCACTCGTTGGAATTCCCGCGTCGAGCAGCAGGTCTGCCCAAGGATCCATTGTCTCTTCGTTAACATCGTCCACCACAGAATCCAGATGCATACGGGCGAATGTGCTGATCAGCGTGCCTTGAAAGCCTGTTTCAATCTTGAATATTTCATGAAATATACGCGCTTGCGTGCCCTGGCTCGTGTCGCCGTGGTCGACAATGTTGAAGACCGTCGGCCCGGCCGTTGGCGACTGTTTCGAATACCAGTGTGCTGCCGTCCATGCCGCAGCTGTTACATCGTCAATGTGAACTGTATGTGTACGCAAGTCTTCCTTCCACAGCCACTTCATCTCCTTCTCCTCGCTCTGGTACACGCGCGCCATACACAGTGCAGTCCCCAAGAACTTTCCTACATACGGACCATACACATGTGGTAATCGCAGAATCAGAAGTGGCAAGCCCTCAATTTTGGCGAGGTCCTCTTCAGCAGTGAGTTTCCACTTTGCGAGCTTGAGCCATGGCTTGAGTTTGTCAGTCTCCTTGCAAGGCGTCGACGACGGATTGTACACCATTCCGGTGCTCATTTCGATGAAGCATTTAACTTTGCGCTTTGCGGCTTCGCGGCCAACAGCGAGCGAGAGAGCATGAGAACGCAGGCGATAGACCTCGTCTTCTTGACTGTAGCGTGTCTCGCCTCCACAATTAAAGACATAGTCGAACTGGGCGCCGTCCGGACGGTCGAATACCTTTTGTAGAGTAGCTGGACAGAAAAAGATTGAGGTCAGCTTTCAACTTTCTCTTTCACCCTGGCTATATCTTTTTGACAGGAGATTTTCAAAACGCACCCTCTCTTGACGCGTCTGCCTGCATGAATCTGTCCCGGGAGCACGCCTCTTTCAATTCAGGCGCAAGCATTGCCAACTCAGGCAAATGTTTGTCCACCAGTCTCATATCGGAGGCGAGGCCATTGTCATGTATGTATTTCGCCAAGAAGCGGCCGATATATCCTAGACAATATGGAATCAGCGTACATGGTCAGACGTGCGGATGTTATGCACCAAAATCTGGAGCCAAAGCGGCACAGCTCTAGAGGCTGCACGACGGCCACGACCACAGTACAGTCCAGTGAAGAGACAAAGATGTGCTTATGGAGAGCCCAGGATATCTGCATTGCAGTCGTATGCAGGATGAGTGAATCCGAGCAATAACATACCGAGTCCCCCAATGATCAAGACAGAGGGCTTCGATCCATCAGTTTCTGCCATGGCGGGGTAGTAGCGTACAGCAAAGTCCAGCGCAGCCAGCCAATGTCAGACGGCAAAAGCAGATCAAGAAAGGGTCCTGACTGTAAGAATGGCGGGGGATGAAGTGCTGACAGATGGCGTAGGGCAGCGAGGGTGATGCTTGGTTGGTGGGGTTGTTGAAGGGAGGGAGCGGACGAGTGTGGTGGCAGGACTCCAGGAGAGACGTCAATATGCTCTTTAACAGTTTAAACTCAGAGGAGCAAGAGGCGTGAAAGTCGGTGAGAAGAAGGCATACCAGGCCAATTGCGGAGACGGGGGAGTAGAGAAGTGGAGAGAGTGAGTGGGAAGAAGATGGTGCTGGTTTTGGTCTTGTATGAAGTTGCGTTGCCGGCGGATGTCAGGCAGGCAGGCACACACACAGGCAAACACAGGCAGAAAGGCAGGCAGGAAAATGCTCAACCTCAGGCTAATTACCACTCCCACTTACTACCTACCACCGCTATCGCTACCACTACCACTAATACCGCTAATCACAAGTACAGTAAATAAGCAATAAGCAATACTACATTATCCTACACTGCAATCGATCGAACACACCGCGGACAAGGACGGGCGGGTCTTGGCTAAACACACTCACACGTCCCGAACTCTGCATAGGCGGGAGTGCAAGGGGCAAAGGCAAGGGGGTGACGCCCACCAACAAGCGAGTGACGACACCGACCGATAGCCAACATCCCAGGCGCATAGTGAAGAATCATGCGGGCTCTATCGCACTCTCGATCAGGCTGGACAGAATCATCTTCATCATCATCATCTAGTGATAGCCACTTCACCACCCTTTCTTCACGTCACTTCTCTGTCGTTGACGCTGCTGCTGAAAAGCAGTGAGCAACTGTACAGGAGCAGAGTCTGGCCTGTCCTCGGACTTTCGTCATCCAAGGACGATTGACCCAGGAGGAATGAAAAAGGCCGCAGGACTAAAAGAAAAGTTTGCACCGGCGATTATAGCAGACTACTGAACTTATAATCTATGATAACTTCAAGACAGCACCTACGAGTCCACAGCGGCCGCTCCCCCCTCCTCCAGCAATACAGTAAGTACCCGGCCAAAGGAACCCCCGACGCCGTCGATGGCATGCATGCAGTGCATGTCGAATGTCGACAGGGCAGCTCGCAGTGGTGGCGGTCCATCTATATGCAGGAGTCAGTGACCTGCATGCCTCTGCAGTGCTAATTTGATGCTAATATCGGAAGCGGAGCAATAGCCTACGATACGATACGCTGCCCCCATCGTCCGACCCGCTCGCGCTGCAGCCGTTTGCGCGCGGCACTGCGGCAGTAATCACAAGGGGTAGTGACAATGCTAAATGCTATCTATCAAGAGAACTCCAAGTCTTCTTAATGCACTTGCAGCTGCAGCTACGAGAGCCGGCAGCATATCGCCCGTCAGGATTGCATCGCCAGCTCCGTCGTGCTGCATCACTCAACAACTTCCACTTTGATGGCCAGAGTCGGCCCCCTCTTCTTCTCTTCTGCATGGCCTTGTACATATACTGGTACCTGGCTCCACTGTTATCGAAACAAAGTTTAGGTATCTTCTTCCTTCGACTTCATTTGGGCAGCTAGCACCACCGAGGGCGACGTGCCCGCCAAAGCTCGGTCGAAATCCAGGGGAAAACGTTGCTGTGTCATTATTTCTGCTTCTCGCTGCAATCTTCTCGGCATCGTACGGAGTGGACAGTACACGTTATCTTGTCCTTGGCCGTTGCTCCGCACTTCAACGCGCGCGCATGCAGTGGTCCCGCCCCAAGAACGCTGCACCGTAATGACCGTCCGCGTAGACCGCCCAGAGCAGACGATCACAAGGTCACCGCATGAATATCTCTTGGCCAATACAATCGACTAACACCCCGACTGACCTCGGTGAGATTCGCGACTTGGACCGCAAGCCAGTCAGTGAGGCGCGGCACATACTGTGCATCTTATCAACCACTGAACAGATCCCACACAATTTTGACCGATCAATAATTAGCGACCCATCATGCGTTTGTGAAAAGTGCTCACTTCCACTTCATTTCCTGAATGCACGTGAGTATAACAGTGGTCTAGCGCCGCAGTGCCTAGATCTGCGTAGTAGTACTGCGCCCAACGAACGAGTTGAACTTCTTTTCTTTTCACCTACAGGTCGACTGTTATAGAACGACGTAGCAGATAGGTTCATATCATCAACAGGCAGTACCAATCAGCCAGTAGAGCCAGCAGTCGATACTTAGCAATGGGGGGTAGGTCGTGGGTAGCGGACAGTCTTGCGGTATAGACCGTATCTCAGTCAGCACTGTACGATTCCGATCTTGTAAAGGGACGGTGCGATGTTACTAGCAATCATCTTCCTTAGTCTTTCTTCCCACGTGAGTTTGTAGAGGCATAATCCAGAACTTCTGACATGACACGATCGTGTTTTGTTCCATCTTGCTTTCCCGTTCTGCAGGCATCTTCGTTCCAAACGCAGGGATGCATGGCCCCGCTAGCTGCGCGTACCGATCCGCCCCCTGGAGCCTGGGAACAAGCGTTTCCCAAGCCAGACGACCGGGGATGCCCGCATTGCATGCACTCCGCAACAACAGGTGATTAGGTGCATCTAAGAATTCTATCCTCAAGAAAATATGCTAGCGCGGACAACTGTTGCTTTTCGTGATATATACAATCCGATAAAAGATGCGTAGCTAATGCTAGATCGCCTTTCGCCCAGGCCTCGTCCAGATATCCCAAAGCCCCTCGTGCTAGCTATGTAACGCTCTAGTCCTCTGACCATAGATAGATATGACGGTTCAGACGAGGACGCTATGTGGAGACAGCCTTATCCTGATTGCAGTCGTCAGAGCAGTAACTCTATGCTTGAATCCCATGTGTCGCATACTTACTTCGCCAATAGTCTTTAGCTTTTCTGTATCTAATGTACGACGCCGCCCCAACGCCAATAATGCAAGGAAATGTACATGAAAGCAAGCAAAGTCGAGAAATCGGAAGCCAGACGGATGGCCGTGGTGGAGGCATGAATCGCGGAGACCAGAGTCACCATGTATAGTATGAAGTGGAAGTCTTAGAATTCCCATGTTTCGTCGACAGATTTGACCGCCCAGTCGAACTTCTCACGGAGGGTTTTCGAAAAGAAACGTTCGATCGGTACGTTGAATTTCTTGGAGAAGACGACAGTCAAGCGTGGATCAATGTAGTTCTAGCGTCTCGTTAGCAGATCTACCAATTTAAGGTTTCTCAAATACTCACGATCTTCGATGTTCCAAGAGCAACCTCCTTGTTGCCTTCTTTGTCCTCGTACTGGATCTTCATGGTCCGGATGCGCTGTTCAAGTTTCTCGATGTTGGCCTCAATCTTTTCAATCGTTGGTCCCTTGCCTTCGGCCTCGACCTTCCCTGTTTTGTTCTCCTTCTTGAATTGCTTGGCTAGGTCGTCTGCGTCCTTGAGACGCTCATCAAGCTCCTTGTCTTTCATTTCCTTACCACCTTCAGCCTTCAGCTTCTCATTTTCCTTCTCGAATTTCTTGGTAATCTTGGTCCGCTGTTCGTCAACAAGGAAAGCTTGATGTTGCAGGACCCATTCGTCGTCAAGGTCTTTATCGCGCTGAAAGAAATCGGCGCCTCGCTTCTTTTTCTGTTTTGAATCCAGATCTAGCATCTGCTGTCGGAGACGCCATTGCTGATATCGCAAACCGTTGATTTTTTCTTGCATCTTCTCCATCTGACCCGCGTGACTCGCAGCGACTGTACGCTTGTGGTTACAAAGAATGGCAACCCTGCGATTGGCATCATTGTAGTCTTTGACTTTCTCCGGGACAGTCCCCACTGACTTCATATCTTGCAACAGACTTGACATGGTCCAAGACGCATTATAGGTACGGAAGACCTTCGCTGTCAATCCAGGCATGTAGTTGCTCAAGTGCTTGTTGAGCGCTGAGGTGGTCAGTCTGTCGAATATCTCATCGCCATCAGTCTTAGGAGCCTTCTTGAAAAGCTTCAAATTCTTGAAGACTTGTGGATCGACTTCAACCTCATCGTAGAATCGGATAGAATCTTTACCAAGGAAATCGAAGATGACAATGTTTGGAGGCTTGAGAGTAACATGCTCGTACTTCAACGAACAACATCCCACCGTGTCTGCTTCATCTTCGCCCTTTTCATTGCCCGCACGAAGCGCAAACTTATCGATGAGATAAACGGCTGTCGCGCGCTGTCGATCGGCCATGAGGTCAGCTTTCAGGTCCTTGGTGTAGTCCTTGCGAATCCTCGCGATATGCTTCTTGAGCTCACGAGCCTTCTCAAATTTCTTGAAGTCGCTTTGACCCTTGATGTCTGAATTGGCGGCAAGCATGACATACTTGTAAGCACCATTGATGTTTTCTTGCCACATGGCAAGCCAGGTTCCAGTGTTGTCATGTTTCACCTCTTTCCATTCATGGCCTTCTGGTGGGGGTGGCACCTTTGCCTCTTTACCGATGTTGATTGTGATCTGCTCTGGCAGGACTCTTTTCTTGACCCGGCCGGTCTTGGGATGTTCTCCCCGACCACGGAAGAGCGAAGGAGGTTCAACACGGAAGTTCCCGACCTTTTGCTTTCGCCCATCCCACATGCAGTACTGATACGGAGCTTCTGCCTTATCCTTGACTTCTTTGATGGCCTTCTTCTCATCCTTGGACAAGTTCTTCTTCCTAGTACGCTCAGAGTCGAACCACTCGAAGATGGGCTTGAAGTCGCACTTCGAAAATTCTTTGATTTTCACAGGCTTGCCATCCCTATCTTTGGCGCCTCCTGATTCTTTGATGATCTCTTGGAAATCTTCAAAGAAGTTTTTGTTAAAGGTCGGGTTCTCGACATTGACGGTCGAGTTGAGCATAGATCCGTAGAATCCAGCAACTTCTTCAGCCTGAGGGGCCAGTGTGACGGGAACACCATCATAGAGCAGCTTTACATGCTTTGGGAGCCGTTCATACTCTGGAGGGAAGAGCACACCGTTATGTTCGAGAGTGGTCCATTTCGTAGTGCCATCTCCTTTGGCCGTATCTTCCCACCAGCGATATTCTTCCTCTTCCTCCTCGCCTGCTTCTTCTTGTGGCGACTCCTCTTTGACAACTTTGCCCCTTTTTTTCGCCGGTGTCGAGCTTTCATTTTTCACCTTAGATTTCGCCTTCGCTGCTGTCGTCTTCAAAGGTTTATCATCATCAGGTTCTTTCTTCACGCCATTTGACATCCTTGGTTTCTTTGCATAAGGTGCAACTTTTGATTTCTTGGCCAAGGGAACATCGCTGTCACTGTCAGCGGCTTTGGACTGACGTTTTGGCTTCCCATTAGATTTGTTTTTCGCGTTAATAGCATTTGCTGTCCTTTCGGCCTTCTTTTCAATCTTCTGCTTCTGAACGGCAAGCTTCCTCTCTATGGGTACATCTGAGTCCTCTGATTCACCTATCTGACTGGCGCGTATTCTTGGTGGTTTCCTGATACCCCCGATCAAGGGCTCATCGTCAGAGTCGGATCCCATAGTAGATTTTTCAGGTATTGCAGTCTTCCGCCGTTTTGACTTCATCATCGTCAGTAATTATGAGCTCATGAATGACGATTGTGAACGAACCAAAGGTTTACTGTCTTCCTCGTCTGAGCTAGACGCGTCTTTGTAGTTCTTCCCATTGGTGATGCTACTCCGTGCCTTGCGTTTCCCATTGGTAGTACCGTTTGCCTCGGTAGTGTCCACATTCATTGGCTCTACTGGGCCCATTCTGACCGAGATGCCCGCCGGCTGTCCATTCGAAGGGTTCTGTCTGTCCATGGCACGATCAACACTCTTTGGAATATAAGTGCTTGACTTGACTGAAAGGATCTATGATCAGCAAAATCGGATGAGGTTGGACAAGTAGAGCATGCCAGGATGTGGAGGATACATTGGGGAAATGCTGGTCGCGGAGCAGTCGACTTTTGAGCGCGTGTCCGTGTGATCCGATGAATGAGAGCCAAGACAAACAACGACAATTGACAGCTGTTATGCAGCTGGGGGAAGTGTTGGGACATCATGAGAGACTACAAGCACGTCGCGGGAATCTGCTCACCTCCATTATTTCTGCCTCGAGCTAGCGGCCTGTCATCCTCCGACGAAGACATCTTGGGAGATAGCAAAGGTTGGGACCGCGCATAGAAAAGCGAAGGTTTTTCAGTCAGTGATGTCGGCGCGTTGTGTGCAAAACGCAGCGTTGAAAAAGGACCGAGAAGTTTCGAGGAAGGTGAACCGCGCGTGAAGAGGTGAAGACCACGCTGACGCGCGGAACTACAGCAGAGGGCGGCGATGATGGCTGCGGAAGAGGGACAGAAGTACCTAGAGGATCGATATGTATAGATGAGCGTCTGCAAACGGAAGACCAAAGGAAATGAAGAGAACGAACGACTCGGGAACTTGCGAGGGTGCTCATGCCCACCCTTTAGCTGAAGTCGTGTCTGTGCGCTTCACGTGACTAGCCCATCACCCTCTCTAACCAGCCGAGCTAGCGCAGTTTTGACCAATTCACAAGAAGCCGCAAAGCTCTCTTCAGCCATCAACCTTCCACTGTCGACGTCGCCGCGACAGCCATCCCATCTCTACTCTGAACTCAGTCTCTTTCGGCTTCACGATGCTGTCGAGAGCTGCACGGCCCGTTTTCAAGGCTGGCACCGCCGCCGCTGCCGCTCGGTATGGCCTATCGACCTCTCCCCGGTCCCAGTTTCCCAACATCAATTGCGTTCAATTGCTAACAGGTCCATCCTCACGAGCAGTCCAGTGGCGATTGGAGCGACCAATGCCGCCAACTATGCTACCCTCCGCGAGATTGAAGGCCGTCTGAAGTCGATTCGCAACATAGAGAAGATCACCAAGACGATGAAAATTGTTGCTTCTACCAAGCTTACCCGCGCGCAAAGAGCCATGAATGAATCCCGTAACTACGGTCAAACCTCGCAGGAAGTCTACGAGCAGGCCGAGACAAAGCCATTAGAGGGCGAGAACAAAAAGTTAATCATCGTCTGCAGCTCTGACAAAGGTCTTTGTGGAGGTATCCACTCAGGTCTAAGCAGAAAGATTCGTGCTCTTCTGCAGCAAAATGCAAACTTTGATCTCGTCATCCTAGGTGAAAAGTGCAAGGCGCAGTTGGTGCGGTCCAGTCCCAAGAGCATTGTTCTCAGCTTCGCTGGGATTGGCAAGGATGTTCCAACCTTCGCGGACGCTTCAGCCATCGCCGACCAGGTCTCTCTGCTTCCAACCGAGTATTCTTCTGTTCAAGTTCTATACAACAAGTTCATCAATGCAACAAGCTATGAGCCGACCTTTATCGACGCTTTCTCGGAGGATGCCATAACACAGTCCCGTAAGCTTTAGCCGTGCCATCCATAAAAGTCACGAATTCCTCTGACATCTTCAGCAAACTTCGCTGCATACGAAATTGAGGATGAGACCCTACCCAACCTGCGTGAATATTCACTCGCCAACTCACTATATTGGGTGAGACGACTCAGAGTTTACTGAACTATTTAATGAACATACTAATCATTTGATAGGCTCTCGCCGAAGGCCACGCTTGCGAGCAGTCAGCTCGACGCAACGCTATGGAGGTAAGTATCTCATCTTTTCTCCAGAACCTGGGTCCGTTCGACACTGACATGCCTTCAAGAACGCCTCTAGCAACGCTTCCGATATGATCGGCAAATTCCAGATCCTGTACAATCGTACCCGCCAAGCCGTCATTACAGGTGAACTGGTTGAGATTATTACAGGTGCAGCAGCATCAGCAGATGCTTAATCTCACCCGTCTGAGGCATTTCCTATGTCAACCGATTTAGAGGTTGGGCCCCTAGCATATGCTTCGCTAGTGTACGTATGTAGAATAGGTTAAACCTGAAGTCTGTTCAAATATTGCTACACTCCGAAAGTGCTAGTGTCTACGGTGGCCAGTGGACATGAAAACTTAGCGTAGCACAGTTGATTATGAAGGCAGGGTAAGCGTTGACCGATTGCCGCTTTGATAAATTTACATATTACATAGTACCTAAGTGCTCATTTCACGCAACGTTCCGCACACATTCCAAATTCTATCGACTTCTCTATCTCTATAGAAGAGCCTCTACATTTTAATCTATATAGACTTTTAGCATGGAACTATATAGTGATTTTGATATGGTTCTAGAGTTCTAGAATCCTTACCAATCTAGCTTGGAGGCTCTCGAGCCAGAAGAAAGAGACATTGTAAGAATTCTTATCGGTCAACTCTGTTGGAACTTCATTTCCTCTAAGAAGCCCCCTCTAGACCTCAAAACTAAATCATAGAATTAGGCTTATATACTTGAATATTTACCATATGTCTTTCTACACGATATATATCGAAGTCTATGATTCACGGCTCTTCAACATATTGCGCATGCCTAGCGCCGCAGAGTACAGCTATTCTACATAAAATTGCTCTACAGATGTAGAGCAGAAATGAAGACTATCTCAAGAGGTCCTTTCGTTGGTTAAATGCTTTAATACCTCAGCGCTATGCTCGTAAAATCTTTCGCAACAACAATGTACTCAAGCCATCTCTGTTCGAATCATGCAAAGGCAGAATGAACTTTTTCTTCAATACTACGCAAATAAATGGATCCTCTGAGTCAATTATCTTGTATATAATGGAGTCACGACCTCCATGATTCCAGGTCGACGAATATCAAGAAGTCCATCGCCTAATTACCAAAACAATATATATACACCAACCTCTACTATGCACTTTTTACCGACCATTATCGCTACGTTGTTGGCTGCCACCAGCGTAGCCCCTGTCACTGCACATGAGATCACATCAATTGAGGCAGCTGTCGATGAGATCCACATGCTTCTCAATCATACAAGTCCTCATCCTGGAGAGGTATGGAAGAACACTAGAGTTGCATTCCTCGATCACGGCAGTCATATCTGGCTTCAAATTATTCGAGATTTCGACCGCATCGAGTTACCTGAACACTTGGTGAAGGGAAAGGTCAAATGTGGGGACTATTTTATGAATATAGACGATTACAGATTTCCCATTGCGCAACTATTCGAATGGATACGGGATTCTGGTAGAGGCAGAATCCGATTCGACGATTTTCATCAATTCCACGACGGAACTAGGATCAGAGCATATGCCTGTGATTCAGCCTGCGGACAGACAGCACACTTAGAAGATATCATACCCATGTTTGCCGAGATCTGGAAAAGGTGTCCGGACAGATTGGGAGTATTTAGCATGGACAAGAAATGGCACGCATCTTACGGTTTAGCCGTTGTTTCGGGCTATACTGTTTGCTTTAAGCTAAAGATATTTGGGGCTACATTGCCCCTTTGCAAACACCATTACAAGTAGGTTCAAGAAAACCTACGAGTCTTGGAAAAGAAGTTATTCGAGAGTGAGCTCGCGCAAGAATGTAATGCTGGTATGGTTTGAGAAGTCACACTCTCTCTCTTGCTTTTCCTAGATTAGAGTGTTTTGATACGATATACATGTATGTAATCGACTACCTTACTTCACTCTATACGTTTCCCATGTACTATAATATATAGACTTTTTGTAGAGATGGATAAAGAAATTTTATAGTCCTTCGGAAAGACGGAGGTGGAAGCGCACGCTGCAAGTGCTGAATGGTTTTGCTCTTTCTGCTCGTAACTGATGGTGAGAGACAGGATAGGCAGGCTAACCGAAACACCAAAGCTGAGCCCAACATGCAGGTACAGCCGATATGAAACATTACAGGGAAAATCCCGCCATATGCGACCCAGTGAGACTGCAGTTATGCTACCGAGCATGGATTAACGAGTATTTGTTTGTGCGCAAGAATCCCAAATGAGCGTGGGAGAGCGTTTAACCCTTGGCTAACTCCCGCTTTCATCCATTCATTCAATGCCGCATCCATCTCTCTCCCCATCGAATCCTCGCGTCCTCACCCTCGCCCCATCTAGAAAGATGCATGGGATGAGCAAGCTGATGGGATGCACGCGAAGGTGAGAAGTCGAGTGCAGATGATCCCGGTTTCCCAAGAAATGTTATAACAATGTAGGCCATGCCATACGTATGCAGGCAGTGCGGCACAGGTAGGCAAGTGAATTACTCAGTAATGTTCACCATTCTGTTCCCTCAGTTCCCTCAGTTCCTTCATCTGCGATAATCCAGAGTGGAAAGACACGATATCTGATCGGGCCAGTTCAGCTTCGCCTGTTTCTCTCTCAGTCCACTCTCTTATTCCTCTTTTTGGTCGCCCAGGCGTCTAGCTGTCGTTGTACTGTGGCTCGTCTCCGCTCGCGGTCCCAGTGCAAACCTGGCTTTCCTTGCGCGTCTCTTTTTTTCTAGCCCTTGCATACATTCGCGTTGCCTTGTCTTCCTCCATTGGGCTCTAAACGTCCGAATTCGTCCATTCCTTGCACGTCATTCGATCTTCGCCTGGCTCTGGGCGCCTTTCTGCACATATAGAGATCACCATGAGCCCTACTTTCAGTCTCCAAAGACCTGACTTGGGCACGTTGACGAGCGAGGACGATAAAATCACTACCGCGCTGTCCACAATGAATGCACGTCTGCCCGAGATCAAGAGCCTCTTCTTGACGCGACGCTTCAAGAATTGTGCTGCTGCATGCGAAACGCTCCTCCAGGACACCACTTGGCACAAAGATACCAACAACGTGAGCACCAACAGCATGTGCTAACACCTACAGATCAAAGACTGACACGTCGTAGACCGTTTCTCAGATATACGAATGCTACCTGAACTTCTATGCGGGCCTTTCTTACGATGCTCTCGCTCGAAACATGGCTCACGCTGCTCCATCCCGTGTTGCTGTGCTCCGTCAGGCTGAGATCAAGTACCTTGCTGCTGAAGCCAATCTTCCGCAGCCCGCCAGCACTCCCCTATCTCATTACGAATCTGACGAGGGCCTCACGGCTGACGATGATGATGTCTCACCCGAAAGCTCTGTTTCACACTCAACGCGCAATTCCATTAACTCGTACACTTCTCACTATTCCGCCTACAGCCTTAATTATCTCCTCCATTCTGAGACTATGAGCACTTTAATGCGCTCAGACACCATGAATACCTTCGATCCAACCAGCCGCATCATCGATCACTATTACTCATCCGACCGTGTACCCAAGCCGTCGCCGCTACATATCCGCAAAGATAGACCTGCCGTCCGCTTGAGCGCCGTCTCCTTCCATTTTCCCGTCACTCCTACTTCGTCTCTGGGCAACGACCCCTTCTCCGATATCCTCACCCCGCTCTCAGCAGCCCTCGACCACCCGGACGACTTCGCAGAGACCGCTTCAACATTCAGCCCGTCCGAGCCAGACTGCGAATACCCGGACGAGCAAAACTCGCACGACCGCAGCGGCGCAGACTCACCAACCCTGCCCCCTTCGCCCATGCTAGCAGTCACGAGACCGCAGCACACCACCTCTATCCCACAGTTCCCAGCACCTCCGTCACCACCACCATCTCCACTCACACCCTCCGCAAACCACCCCTCGCGCTCAGCCAGCTCCTCTCGTGGCCTCAACTCGCCGCTTCCTAGCCCTCGCACATCCAACCCTCGCCTCTCCGTCAACTCCGCCCTATTCGCACATGTCCTCGCGTACAACCAGACCCTTCGCTCCTTCAGCACAATGCTATACGCGCACATTGCCGCTGTGCGTGACATGCAAAAGGAGGCGCCAGTGGCTGCGGTCCGCATCGCCAAGACTAAAGGAAGCAGCGTGAACCAGTGGCGCGAGCAGGAGAGCCATGTCGTGCGGGAGGCGAAAAGGACGGAGTTGGTACAGAGGGCCTTGGCGAGGGAGAGGTTTCGGCCCGAGCGCTATATGGAGCTGTGCCAGAAGGCATTGAGTGAGATTTAGTGTGTGATTATTGGATTTTGCGGGGCTAATGTGTAGGATGTTTGCAATCTGGTTGGAGACCTGATGTACTTTGGTCGATAGTGCTGTGGTGATGGTCCGCCTGGTCTGTTTGTCTATGATTGTTTCTGAGTACGGGGAGGACGAATTTGGGAGACGAGATCCTCGCGGCGTACAAGGAAGGCTCGGGCGTGTCGATATCTTACCTTGTTGCTATAAGCTGCTTTGTTATGAGATTATGCCTAGATACCGAAAAGTTTGACTTACGATGGAGTTCAGAGGTGTACAGAGGTGTTTAAAGCACACGTCCGTGACGAGTCAAGTCACTCTCCGTCCTGTAATATATTCTACGCGTCCTTTGATATCACTACTACAATGAATCTAAACTTTTTCTAACCATATGTCAGGCCAATGCGCCGCCAATCCTTAACACCAGCGCTATGCAACCTGAAAAATGGACAACATCACCCTATGTACGCCTCAGCTCTGTGTCAGCAGGTCCAGATCCCTCTTTACCCGCAGGCACTTCGCTTTCAATAGCTTCACACTTTCCAAGAAGAGCTCGTCGCTGTCCCACTGCCCCGTGCTTTCGACCTGGAAGATAAAGTGATCCCGCACACGCCCAAGCTTGACCTTGTCTTTAAACTCCTCGTGTCGTAAGCACTCCCTGCTCACAGTGTCCTTCATGGCATTTACCACAACCGCCTTCGGCTCGCCCTCATGGCCAGCATATGGATTCTTCTCATCTGGTTCCACGTCACGCACCGTTCTTCGCCACACTGCGTCGGGCATGCTTGCCTCCTCGTGCGTGACTGCCTCGAAGCCAATTACACCTTTCGGGAAACAGCGCGCGAATTTCTTCGCGTGGTCTTTCCCTATGATTGGACGCTGGATGTCAATGTGCGGAAGTAGTCTGTATGATGCAGGACAGACGGGCGAGTATTTGGCGTGATCCGCGCCAATACCCTTTTCGGCATGCATACTTAACACAATCTTCTGGCCGGGCCGCAGTTTTGCGATCAGAATGTCTGGATTGACCGGTCTTATAGTTGTCTCTGGCGTTCCAAACCAGCGATTGTGTTGGCCCATGGGATGGAATACGATTTGGTTTGCAAGCACGTTATGCCCCACATATAGCTTATCCGGATCTGTCTCGCCTTGCGCGGAAAGAGCAGGCCCGTCTTTGCTCCATTTGCATTCTGCCTCGAGTACGAGAACGATGGTGTTGAAGTCATTGGGTTCTTCGGGGATATTATTTTCGTCGCGCTTGCGCCAGCGCAGCCAATTTAGGCCTTCTTTGCCACCTGTGAGGGGGACTAAGCCGAGGCGGTGGGCGAGGACCTCGTCTTGGATGATCGAGGTGTTGTTGTTGAAGAAGACGCTTTCAATGGCGAGGACTGGAATTTCGGCGATTAGGATGCGGCGAAAGGCATTTGCAACGGCGGCGTCAAGGCCAATGAGGGAGAACTGCGCATTATGAGGTTCGTTCATGTGGAATTGAACACGGAATTTCTGAGTTTCGTGAGCTTGACGAGAGTAGGTTGATATGAGGTCGAACTCACGTCGCGAAATTTGTCTACATCCCATGAGTTATCCTCGCCAGGCCAGTGGCCAGGAAAGTCTGTGGATGTGATATTCGAGACTGTTTCTGTGCCGATGCCAATGATCTGAGAATTGTGAGCAGTCTTAGGGTAGGTAGGAACGGATGTAGGCTCACCCTTCTCTTTTGGATCGCTTCTTCCGAAGGCACTACAGCTGGACTCATCGTATTTATCGTTGCGCAATAAGATGTAACGTGCTGCCAGGGTCTGTCGCATACTCAATTCCCGATAATTAGCTTTCAACTTTTTTGAAAGCATATGTCTTGGCAAAGACTAGCTTCAATCCAGCGATGGTTGACTAAGCCTCGAATCTGCCCGTCATTGAATGCCACCAATGCTGGAGCTCTCATTTGTAACATCACGAAACCTTGTACTTCGCCTCTCCACTCCTAACGACGCCTCTGAACGGGATCAGGGCAATTGAACGAGCTCAATTGCACAATGCCCGTCAATCTCGCTCGCGCTGCCGGTCATGCAGCGAAGCGGGTGTGCCTGACCCCCCGCGTCTCTCGCACCGTACCCTCCCGTCCTGTTATACGATGCCTCTCGTCCACAACGCAGAATCGATACGCTGAGCCATATGAAGGAACAAGACTCATCCCTACTGATGAGAGATTCTCCCAGCAAACACATGGACCCGAGGCCACACATCCCAACAAGATCACCGATGACGCTGAGAACCCTGAAGAGCGAAAAGTAAGACACTACACCGTCAACTTCGGGCCACAGCATCCAGCGGCGCATGGTGTGCTGCGATTGATCCTAGAACTGGATGGAGAAATCATCAAGCGAGCTGATCCGCACGTCGGGCTGCTGCATCGAGGAACAGAGAAGCTCATCGAATACCGAACATATCTTCAAGCACTGCCATATTTTGACCGTTTCGATTATGTCTCCATGATGACAAACGAGCAATGCTTTTCCTTGGGAGTGGAGAAGCTCCTGAACATTGAGATTCCAGAAAGAGCGAAATGGATAAGGACAATGTTCGGAGAGATCACACGTATACTGAACCACCTTATGTCGATCCTGTCTCACGCCATGGACGTGGGTGCTCTGACACCATTCTTGTGGGGATTTGAAGAGCGTGAAAAGCTGATGGTCAGTATATTACAGTCGCTCTCAATGGGTTGCGCTAATCGTTGAATAGGAATTCTACGAACGTGTTTCTGGTGCACGTTTGCACTCAGCCTATGTGCGGCCAGGCGGAGTTTCTCAAGATCTTCCTCTTGGGCTGCTCGATGATATCTATCAATGGGCCACACAGTTTGGTGATCGCATTGATGAGACTGAGGAGCTGCTCACAGACAATCGTATCTGGATAGGCCGGACAAAGGGTATTGGTAGAGTCTCTGCAGCTGAGGCTCTTAACTATTCATTCTCCGGTGTCATGCTTCGTGGCTCGGGTGTTCCTTGGGACATTAGGAAATCACAACCATACGACGCATACGGCGAAGTCGAGTTTGACGTTCCAGTCGGCGTCAATGGAGACTGCTATGACCGTTACTTATGCCGGATGGAGGAGTTCCGCCAATCGCTCCGGATCATTCACCAATGTCTGAATAAGATGCCCGCTGGTCCCATCAAAGTCGAAGATTATAAGATCGCTCCTCCTCCTCGCGCTGCGATGAAGGAGAACATGGAAGCTCTCATTCATCACTTCTTGCTCTACAGCAAAGGTTATGCCGTACCGCCTGGCGAGACCTACAGTGCTATTGAGGCTCCAAAAGGCGAGATGGGTGTCTTCATCGTCAGTGATGGTAGTGAGAGACCATACAGAGTCAAGGTCCGAGCACCTGGTTTCGCACATTTAGCCTGCTTTGATCAAATTTCGAGAGGTCATCTGTTGGCTGATGCTGTCGCTATTATCGGTACTATGGATCTGGTGTTTGTAAGTGACCTGGACCATCTGGTCTGTATTCAATGCTAATAACTGTACAGGGTGAGGTTGATAGGTAGAGCTTGTATATTGAAAGATGCAGTAGACACGTGGAGATCATACTTTATAGGACAAAACTTGCAACGACCGACCACGTCACGACGCAAGCCTGTACATATACTTCGTTTGTGCGAGCAATGTTATGCGTAAAACTACAGATATCCTCCAAGGCTCCTTATTACTCACATGCGCCTGCCTTCACTATATCACAGTTCCGAGAGCCCCATACATTCAGCAATCAATAGCACCCCGTTCGCCTCCATGGATGAAAGGCAGTCGAGAAAGGCGTCAGCGACCTGTGAACGGCTTCGAGATATCATCCGCAGCCTCGCCAGCTGTATCGCCAAGTGGGTTTTGCGCGCTTCCACCAGCAATATTGCCAAGACTAGACTTCAAATTTTTGATGTCTTGCTGGTCAGCATCTGGGACCTTGCTGATCTGGTCTAACATTCATTCACATTAGACTCGAGTTGAGAAGTCCACACAATATATACTAACCTTTCATCATGTACGACATCTTGTTTTCGCCCATCGTTTTCAGGGCCCCTTGTTCCATCTTCCTTTTCAGCTCCGGAGGAATACCATAAAAGTAAACGAACAGGGAGAGCAGTGCAACTATGCCTGCGAAGCTTGTGAGGATTGCTGATGTGGACGGCATCGTCGAAGGTTCGTTCGTAGGAAAGGGTTCTTAAGCTGCTCTCGCTTGTAGTGTGATGTAAAAGTGCAGCAAGTAGCAGAACCAAAGAAGCTGTAGAAGGAATATCAGAGTCTATTTATCTCTCCAGATAAGCTAGACAAGCAAGTTTCTCGTTTGCAGCATGTTCTCTGTCATGGTGACATATGACGTGCAGTGGGCTTGTACGTTTGATTGCCTGTTTGCATCCTTGTTTTGCGCGGGAGGCCCTCGGAGACGCGGGGCGATGCTCTCGACTGATTCGTTCGACGGGATATATTAATTGCAGACTGGCTACTTGTTTGTTATATGCAATTGGTACCTCCAACGACTCGGCGGGCTCCTTAGCATTGGAGTATGCCAAGGACGCTTCTTCTCAGGACCTAGGACCAGATATATACCAAAGCCCGAGCTTACTAGAGATGGCTAGTGATAATACTCATGGTGTGACGGGAGTAGGAGCTTCTCCGAATAATAATCAACAGAATGCGTTATGTCGCTTTTTTTTGGACGGGAGCAGAATGCCCAGTTTGCCATTGCAGGCGAACTCAGCTGAGCATACAGAACGGCTCCGACAATTATCTTCTAGTAAAGAGAGAGATTCCATATGTTATCTGGTTGATCAGATACGCGTAGCGCGTCGGTCTTCAGAGACAGTAGCTGTTAAGCTAACAGCTACAATACACCTATTCACTTCATGTCTTGCTTATTCCTATAAGTATCCGCGATATTCTTATCACTTCGAAAGGCTGCTCCTTACTTCTGGGGATCCTTCTCAGTTCCCTCTAATTACTGCGGGGTCACGGAGTGTTACATAGATGGTACCCCGTCACGCGCCACCTTATCTTGTTGAATTCTGGCATTTTGGAACTTCCTCCTCCACGATAGCACTGCCACATCTTGTAGGAATTCAGCAACACAGGTACCCTCTAGGCGATACGGGATTGGGTCGTATGAGGGAGCTCAGCCACGGCAGTCAGCCTGGTACATGGTGGCAGCTGCGACCCCACCCCCACCGGCCCTTCCTTTGCGGCGGAGACAACAGCAGCTTTCATCTTGAGACACATTGAGGTATCAGTAACCAAAATTTTTAACCTGAAGTCCTTACTTATCTCCTTTTTGACTTTCCTCTACCTTATACTGCTTCCTACCTTATAACTCAGAATCCCTATTTGCGAGACACAATCCATTACGGGCGGTCGTCCGCATTGAGGACCCCTCTTTCAGCTTACTCCTTCGCGCGCCAGCTGGCAGCCTGATCGACCCTTGAAAGATATTGACAGTAGAATCTGACAAGCCTGATCAGGAAAACATGTCACGTATGAACTCTCATCTATTCCCACAGAAAGAAAGCAAATGCTGACTTTGCCCATCTCCAAAAGTCTCAAGCATGATGAACAGGCTACACGGGCAGCCTAATAGCTATGACAAGAAGTCAGCTTCCCCCCCCTCTCAAGCTCGAACTATTCTTACTGAACATCGGCATGACAGATCGAAATATAGCTTTGGAAGAACACTTGGCGCGGGCACTTATGGCATAGTCCGCGAAGCAGACTGTCCCGACGGCAAGGTCGCGGTGAAGATCATCTTGAAAAAGAATGTCCGTGGCAACGAGCAAATGGTGTACGATGAACTGGAGATGCTGCAAAGAATGAAGCATCCGCATATCGTTCGGTTTGTGGACTGGTTCGAGTCTCGGGTATGTCTGACTTGCTTCCTTTATGATTATGAGTGCTGAACACGGCATAGGACAAGTACTACATCGTTACTCAACTAGCGACTGGGGGCGAGTTGTTCGATCGCATTTGCGACCAAGGCAAATACACCGAGAAGGATGCCGCGGAGACGATTCGCCAGGTGCTCGATGCGGTCAATTATCTTCACAAAAATAACGTTGTCCACAGGGGTAACAACGAGTCGTCCCACGATCAACGCAAAGGCTGACACATATGTAGACCTCAAACCCGAAAACCTTCTCTATCTAACCAAAGATCCAATGTCAACGCTCGTACTTGCTGACTTCGGTATTGCCAAGATGCTCGACTCGAAAGACGAGGTCTTGACCACGATGGCTGGTTCATTCGGCTACGCCGCTCCGGAAGTTATGCTAAAGAAAGGTCACGGCAAACCCGTCGATATCTGGTCAATGGGAGTCATCACATATACACTACTATGTGGTTATTCTCCATTCCGTAGCGAGAGCCTTGCGGATCTCATTGAAGAATGCAAAAATGGGAGGGTTGTGTTTCACGAGCGATACTGGAAAGATGTTAGCAAGGACGCAAAAGACTTCATTAACTCAATGCTTAACCCGGACCCCGCGAAACGTGTCACAAGCGAGGTGAATAGACACCTCCTGCAGACTTGGTCCAATTGCTAATGAATCCTATAGCAAGCTCTAAAGCATATCTGGCTCACAGCTAAGACCGCTGGTGACCGTAACTTGTTGCCTGAAATCCAAGCATACGTCGCAAAGGCTCGGCTCAAACGTGGTATCGAGATTGTCAAGCTGGCCAATCGTATCGAAGCTTTGAAGATGCAAGAAGACGATGAAGGAGAAGCCCCTGGAGAGGCAGATGTTCCGGCCAACGCGCGACAAGCGGCAGGGGAAGCGGTTGCAACACATGTAGCCGGGTCTTCTTCGAAACCTGGTTTGTCGACTTCAGATGAACCAGCGAAGAAAAGCTTAAGCAAAGCTGCTAAGAGCGCCATTTTCCGGGAAGTCGTTTTAGCAAAGGTTCGAGAGATGAAGGCAAATGAGGATAAGGAGAAGTTCGAGAAGACGGCCACAATGAAAAAGTGAGGTACGATTATATTTTGGGGGATCCTAAGACATCGTTTGCTTGGGCCGCCGACCAATCATGGCCTTGACTCATACCGGTAGCAACATAGCACATGCCCGTACGTCCATGAAAGCGATACCCTTCATGAGATAGTCGCAGGCGGGATATGTGTGTTCAATAACCTGCTTGTATATCTTGCAGTACTCTTTTCATGAAAGTCATTTTTGCAGCGAACCTATCCAGGATGACTGGCCAATTCCGGCGAGCATTCCATTGTTGTTGATCCTGCGGGAATGTTGTGGTGGTTGTGGCTTGTAGACAGAGGCGCTTGGAGCAGGTAGTACCTTTTTATCTAAACGACGACAACATCATGCCACGATACGCTTTACAATAGCTTTGTGAATAGCTACGCAGGGTATCTTAGGTGGCTTGTGAAGGAGCACATAAATATAAGTCAATCACGTGATACCGTCACGGACCTTCCAATAACCCGCCCAACTCGAACCGGCAGGGATCGCAAACGCGCAATTGAAGAAAGCTCAATAACAACGTCGCGCCAACGTATCAACCCGCATTTCAAACCACGATTAGCAGTACTAGGACTCAGTGCATTACGCTGCAATCCCAATTCCATTCAAGATGGAGCGCGAAGGCAAGCGGAAGGGTGCGCCGGGCGCATCGCCAGACAACGCAGGGCGCTCAGCCAAAAGACAGAAACTACCTGTAAGTCGATTCTCTTTGAGCAACGTGCGCATGCGTAAGCTTGCGGTAGCTGCATCATGATGGAAAGGACGCGAGGAGTGCGGGCTGCGAGATCTTAAGCCGCAAGGCGATCGCGACGCTTGGGGTTTGTCCAGAAACGACCTTGCGGACCTACCCACCTCTCCTCCGCGTTAAGACCTCAAAATATTCGCACGGGTTTGATGCAGAGCGATCAACTCAAATTTCTCTTGGGAAGAAACCCACGAGCCATGGTAGCCACTGCTAACATATCGCTAATTGCATCAGGAACCCGTACAAGGCGCAGAGACACCAGAGACCACGACGGAGATGGGACAGTTGTTCCTCAATTCGATCACTTCGGCTAAAGATAAGACGTAAGCACATTGCAAAAGATCCATTTGTTTCTCTCTAGATTCCAGCTTTGGAAGTGCTCAGGTTTCAATGTGCTAACATCACTACAGTGGTCGACCTATCGCAAATGCATTCCTCACTCTTCCTAACGCCGTACTGTGTTCCCCAGACAAGAAATAAATGAATATTTGAACTGATGAGCTTCACAGAAGGATGTACCTGGATATTATGAAGAGGTCAAATTACCTATGGCGCTTGATACTATACAGGTACGCATGTGAATAGGGAACATACAACCAATCTTGATAGACCATGAATGCTCAGCAAAATCTAAAGAGATGGAAGAGCGAAATGAGTTCGACAGAGATGCTGACATTTGTCATCAGGAAAAACTGAGCAACAAACAATATCCGACGCTGGCAGCATTAGAAAGCGACTTTAAGCGCTTGGTCACGAACGCAAAAATGTTCAACGAAAAGACGTCAGCAATCTATCTCGATGCAGAAAGAGTTCGAAAGACAGCTTCGAATTGGATGACCCGATACAACCCTGCATACAAGGTGGCAGGATACTCAGCCGTCGCAACGCCTATACCAGGCGAAGAAATATCGACGCCCATCTTGAAGATCTCTACACCTCGCCCCATGAATTCTACACCAGTCGCACCAAGCACACAGAAATTGCGTCTCACAAACGCAGCCCGGCCACCACCGGAAACACCTGCCACAACTCGTCCAAAACGAGGCGCTGTCAGAGAAAAGGAGTCCGAGTCTACATCACCCGACGATGCGGGGAAAAGTCTCCAGGACGCTCAAATTGCAGTCATCGATTATATGATAAATTATACCGAAGAGTATTATTTCACCGGAACTAAGACAGAGATTCTAAGAGCTTTTACTGACTATTGCATAGAGACTTAAATATCTTCGAGCCATTCGTTACAAAACCCCCCCGCACTCTTGGCGACTACTACTCTATCATAAAATACCCTGTAGCTTTAAACGGCATCAAGAAAAAGTGTGAAGGCAAGTTCCACAGGGGGAAAGCGACTGACGTAACCGAGTTCCCGACATGGGAAGCGTTCGAAGAGGAAGTATCGTATATTTGGAAGAATGCCAAAACATACAATGAAGATGGTAGCGACATATTCAACCTTGCACTCGAATTTGAAGTAAGTCCCATGCGAAACTACATTGGACTGCTTTTTGACAACATTTAGACAATATTCAAGGAAAGACTTGCTGAGGCCAAACGAGACGTCCCGGGACCCTCCCACCCTACCATCAAACTAAAGATGCCTGCTCAGAAACCGGCTGCACGTCTTTCACTGAAGTTTCCAGGCAAAGGAAGTCCGAGTGTTGGCTCACCTGCGCCAGCCACACCAGACGGTCGCTCGTCTGCTACCCCTGGTGTGATCATCGACAGTGGTGCTTTAGCTCGCCAGCAGCAGCATATTAAGGCCAGTATAAATGGCAGTCAACAGCCATCACAGAGCCAGCCTGCTCCAGGGTCTGCACCTCCTGTCAATGGCACCAAGGGCAATGGCGTGAAGGGCGAAGTCCAACATGCAAGTTCACCACGAGCTGTAGCGAACGGTGTCTCGCATATTGCAATGCCCCCGCCACCACCACATGTGGCTCCACGACCGCCGACTGTGAGTCCTTTGTCTTTCCAGCACAACGTGCCCTTACAGCAGCAATATCATGCTGCTCCTTCTACCGCCAGAGATGATACTCGCCGGAAGAAGGATCTGGAGATCATACTACCCAACATACAACTTAGCACCAACCCGGCTTTACGCTCTACTCCACAGTGGAAACTCAACATACAGTCACATCCTCATCTCACGCATCAGTCTGTTACCTGCACGCTTCCAGCATCGCAGCACATCCTTCAAGTCATCCCAACTATCCCAGTCGCGAATACCGCACGACCTTATCGACTTTTTGTCACCATCAATGGTACTAAGCTGACCCAAGCTATACGACCTGGTCCAGGTGAACATGAACGCGAAAAAGACCATCCTCCATACGACGTCAAGCTTGGACCAGGCGTCAACAGAATCGAAGTAGAGCTCCTCGCAGGTAGCGACACGAAGGGCGGCAAGAAGGAAGAAGTCCTACGAGAGGTTTGTACCATATTTGTCAACCTACTCCGACCGTAGGTGTCTGTACGACCTTTTTCTGGTGGTTACGCCGGGCGTTCGGTTATGTTAGGTTCTCAAAATACGTCAGTCGAGGAGACTGTTCTACGTGGTATGGGAAGTTTCAGGCGTCTATTCTCCTTTATAACACGTTGCGTAGCTGCAACTACAGAGTACCGGCGTTTAGCATTATGGTGGTCACTACATCACTGTGGAACACTGGCACTACAACACGCTAGATGCTCGACTGCTAATAGCCACTGTCCCGATGTGTAACAAGTACATGGTCTCATATGGGAACTTCTCGCTGAGTACATCAGACTCGACGCTGATATGCATGTGGTCGATTGCGTGGCTCGTAGTATTTCAGCTCAATTCCATGATAGAACGTTGGCAATATAAACCCATGGTTCTTGCGTTCCATAGAGGGCAAGCATTCCTTTGCAGAATTATATTCCATACCACACCTGTCTATTTCCTTTGGGTCAAGCCTTCGAGGCTCAAAAACATGTATTGACAAGGTAAATGCACAGTATAGCTACCGACTCAACGAGCACTCGTGACGTACGCAAAGACTCCTGCCTTTATCTCGGCTTAGACTTTTGTAGTCAGGCAGGCGAATAATATTATATATATCAAGAACGGCTCCTGCCACTACAGGATAAAAGCTACCTAAACACAGGGACAAGGTGCGGAGTTAGGGACGTAGACGGATTTAACGGAGTGTTGGGCTCGTACATAGGATTCGCAGTCGTAAATATCGTGGTTTTCTCACGCTTGAAAGGCGGGAAAATCAGGAGCCAACGGCCCGGAATAAGATTCTTTCACGCTTGTAGCTCGGAAGGGAGGAGTTGCCTACAGTAGCGTGCCAGTGAGATCCGTTTGCACAACACTAGAAACGCAATAACCTATCGCTAAATTAACGAATTCAGAAAGATCGACATGTTTCATTTCAACCAATGCGTTTCCTTTCTACTTCACAATTATATACAGATCACAGGCCGCGAACTCGGACTATGCGAGCTTCTGATAACGGACGTGACGGAAAAGAATTATATAAACAAGTGTGAACGCCTTGATTAACATATCATATTCATTCAATACTTCTTCAACTCCCAATCATGAAAGCCCTCATCTTTAATGGCAAGGACGCACAACTAGTCACAGACCGCAAGCGCCCTGCCCTTCGCAACAACTTCATCCTGATCCGTACCATTGCTGTAGCACTCAATCCATATGACTGGAAGACTCTGGACTATGCTATGCCAGGCTGCTTGATTGGGTGTGACTTTGCGGGCACCGTCGAGGAAGTCGGCCCTGGCGTCACAAAGCCATGGAAACAAGGCGATCGAGTTTGCGGTACTGCACACGGAGTAAACGCCACCCAACCAGAGGACGGGGCGTTTGCCGAGTGGATCGTTGCGAAGGGAGATGTATGTATGCGGATTCCGGCAAGCATGTCGTTTGAGGAAGCCTCTGGGATTGGGATGGCAGCGATTACGAGCGGGCAGGCGATGTTCCAGAAGATGGAGATGAGTCTGCCGACGAAGCCGATTGAAAAGAAGGAATATTTGCTCGTCTATGGAGGTAGCACGGTTTGCGGGACGCTTGCTGTTCAGTATGCGAACATGTGAGCCTCCAATGCAACTTTCGTGAATTTCGAGCTGATCATGTAGCGCTGGATACTCGGTCATCACGACATGTTCCCCAAGAAATTTCGAGCTGTGTACGTCTCGAGGCGCAGAGGCGACATTCGATTACAACGACCCAGACTGTGGCCAGAAGATCCACGATTTCACCAAAGGGAAGCTAAAGCTCTGTTATGACACGATCGGTTCAGACGAAGGCATTCAGATCTGTATGACTGCTTTAACGACTGAGTCCGGATCAAGGTACGGGACACTCGCAATGAAACCGATACCTCGTCAAGATGTCATCTATACGGATAGCATCTGTTTGAAGGCCCTGGGCGAGGACATTCCAATGTTTCCTGTGACCAAAGAGGATTATGATTTTGGAAAATTGATCACTGGTGCGACAGAGCAGCTTTTGGCTGATCAGAGGCTACGTCCTCATCCCATCAAGAAGTGCGAAAAGGGTCTTGCAGGTATCATCGATGGCATAGATTTCATGAAGACTGGACAAGTGAGCGGGGAGAAGTTGGTCTATGTTGTTTCAGAGACGCCTTAGATAGCAGAGGTGATTGAGATGATTTGGCTACTCGAGGAGTACTAGCACGACAAGACTCTTCTGCCTCGTTGAATCATCCATTCTTTCTAACATTGCCGATGTGTTCATGTTCGCACTAACAAGTCATTGGGATTCAGAAAGCCATGTGAAGAGATACGCCTACTTCTGTGAGTAGTGTGGCTGAAGTATGTATAGAGCGGGTGTTTTCGTAGACGACGAGTGTCCAACGAACGGCCTTCTCAATCTTGCGTTCCTGCATACGCGTCTTACTGGCCCATTACAGTCCTTTCTACGCTTCCAGGAATAGACTTCGAAGTCTCTGAAGCTGACTGAACCTCGACCAATCCTATCCCGAGTTGAAGACCGGGCACAAACATCAACCTTTGCCGCTGAATAAATCTTCAACCATGCAGTTTCTCAATACTCCATCCATCACACTCGAGGAGTTGTCTGATCACAAAGCTAATCGATATGCGATTCTGTCATCTAAGTGATACTCGATTACCCTCCCATGACTGCAGAATGTTCCCAAGATACTTCGTAATTAATCTAGCCGTCAAAAGGTAGAAAGCCTCTGCAGACTTGTGAAATATCATGGCTTTGAATGGATTTACGTCGATTCTGTCTATATCGATACCCATAGCAGCACAGAGTTGGCAGAGTCCCTGAATACTAGGTAATCTTAGTATCATGACGGCAGATCGTGTATGATTTCTGTATCTGGTGTCCAGCCTACCTACAAACCCGAGTCTAGGGAGCCCGACGATATGCCATCATATCAAGCGCAAGTCGCACACGTTGACAATACCAGAAACATAATTGGGTCGAACTTGGCTGGAGTCTGCAAGAGCTGATCGCAAACCCATATTGGATAATCCTCGCGGAAGACTTGGTATTCATTGATACAAATCTCTAGGAACGTGCTGGCGTGTGAACGGTGTCGAGATGCAGGCGTACAGACGGATCAATTGCAGCATATTCATCGCATTACCCAACCCATCTGTTGGCTACGTTCGAACGCGCCCGTAATGATCACACCGATCGTGTTTGCGGATAAACATTCTCAACTGGCCAATCGTTTGGAGCTGGCGGACGTGACAGGCCAGACCATGAAGTTTAGCGACCCTTAAAGACCTTATAATAGCGAGGCATACTTCAGGGTCACTTCGCCGCGATGATTGAAGACTGGGCTTGTACGCGGCTGGGTAGTACAGAATGCTGCGGCTAGATATTATCCTAAGAAGGGATCCACAGGCATTTAGTTCCTCTAGCGCAGTCAGCCCTGTGTCTAAGCCTCAATACCACATGCAATTGTAGACCATGAGATAATCATTATGCTCTGCGTAATTATTAGGTTACTTGTCTTCTGAGTCATGTCAATGTTCACTCTAATCATATATTGAGCATCGAGGCTTCATCACGAGCACTTGTCGCTTGTTTTTGCAACTATGAAACACAGTGATACTGTGGATAGTCGCTACTAGTCTCTTGGCTGACGGAGTCCAAGACACCAGCGCAGTCTTGGTTTGCACGTGGATCTCGACTACACGATAATTACTAGTTACGGCATAGTGTGTACGTCAAAACATTGTGTTTTCTGTTGGATCTTCATTCTTTGAGGCTGTGAAGTCTGGGCAGCAAATTAGCATAAAGACGCTCTTTGTAGTTATACCAGCAAAGCATAATCTGTGCCACCATTACTCCATTGCTCATAACCTACCACGATCCTTATCCAAGACACAAGAATTTCATATTCTCGACCCGATAACATCAACAATGGCTGGAATACTCGGATACGTACCCTTTGTGGCCGCGATCTTCCTCATCTGTTGCAGCGTCGTCTTAATGGGACTGTCAGGAAGCCAAATCGCCGGTGTAGTCGAGCCCGATCCTCTCTACATTGCGATCATTTCGTGCGCAGTCGCAATCACACTCCTCGTCATTGGGTCTTTCTTTCTCCCGGGTCTCGTGCCGTTGAACACATCTGTATAGTTGCCTTCTCATAGCTTTCGGCTTTTTCAAAAACAATTGCTGACACGTTTCATAGCGCACCAGTCCTACTAAGGGTAAACTTATCGGAAATATCTGCATCTACCTTGTTGCACTTGTACTATCGGTACTCAACGTCGCTTGGTTTGAGATCGAGTCAAGCGGCGGATGGGCGTCTGATTACGAATGCTACTCCTATACTGGTGCCGACTGCAGGATCATTCGGACAATGAAGGCCTTTACAATTATCAGCATGGTCTGCACCGTCGTCATTACTGGAAGCCTTGTTGGACGTCTTTTCATGTTCCGCAATACTGTCGGTGTGCCAGCGAAGGGTGCTGAGAATGGCTCTGCATGAGTAAAATGGATCTCAGTTATGAGAAATAAACAGCAACGTGATAATGGTAATGGTGATGGTAATGATAAATATAATGGTAACGAATGGTAATGGTAATGGTACGTAACAGTAATGCGATGGGATGGATGAGGGTGTAATGTCTAATGGATAATTTCAATACGCAATGAGAGATCTCGCTTCGTACCATACGCTAGCCGTAACACGTTAGTGAGCTTTTCTAAGTTTTGGATATCTCCGATTCCTATCTCCGACTACGGCTCCGCCTTCGAACTTCATCTTGACATCTAGTTCTTCGGCAAACAGTGCAATTAATCAACCGGACTACCCATAGGCTCATTATAGTCTTATTCTAATTCAAGGCACCCGTAAGCCAATACGGCTGAGGGCTCTACGAAACATTAACAAGTAGTGCTGTAATACTGACATCTATTCACTGTACGAGACAAAGCATTCCAACCAAAAACTTGGGCTGACCATATAGCTGAGTTGTTGGACATCTTTGATATCATCTGGCCCGGGAGTTCTGTACTTACCAGCAAACACCAATAATTGAAAGATTCGACGAATTACACCTTCAGTCGGACTCGTTCAATCGCCGGTGTTATGGTCTGTCCCGATTGTTTTGCTGGCTATGAGAAGCCTGAAGTTGATCCCAAAGGCTATGTGACCACACTCCACGGCCTTCAAACCTACGTCGTCGAACCCGAAGGCGAAGTGAAGGGCATCATCGTTATGGTCCCGGACGCTTTCGGTTGGGTATTTGCTAATAATCGTGCTCTTTGCGACAATTATGCCAAGAAGAGCCAATGCAGAGTTTATCTCCCTGACTTCATGCAAGGTAAGTCCCAAAGCCTCCAGCTTGATACTTGTATCGAGCTAATTGATACGTGCTCAGACACGCCCGTGTCCGTGACCATCCTCCCTCTTCTCAACAACATCTTGCGCAAAAACAGCTGGTGGAACACGCTCTGGAAACCGTACGTTCGACTCTTCCTCTATCCCTCTTACGCTCTGACCCCGGCAGTTTATACGTCGCACAAGCAATCTACGGCATGGCGCCCTTTATCTACTATAACCGCTTCGGCAGCTCCTGGCCTATCGTGAAGTCCTTCTTCACCTCCCTGCGAACTCATGAAGCTGCCTCACTTCCCATCGGCGCTGCCGGCTTCTGCTGGGGCGGCAAGCATATTTTTAATCTAGCTCATGGACATCTCGCACCGAACTCTAAGCCTCTAGTCGACGCTGTATACACAGCGCACCCGTCTAACCTGGCTATTCCAGCTGAGATCGAGAAGGTGGTCAAGCCGGTCAGTTTGGCAATGGGAACGCAAGACTTTGCTTTGAGTGTCGAGAAAACGAAGGAGATCGAGAAGGTGTTGAAGGGGATTGAGGAGAGGGAGGGAGTGGAGAGTGAGGTCGTGTTCTATGAGGGTGCGGGTCATGGGTTTGCCGTCAGAGCAGATCCAGGTAATAAGGAGGTGGGAAGGATGGCGGTTGCCGCGGAGGATCAAGCTGTGGAGTGGTTTAGGAAGTGTTTTGCAAAAGTGGCCTATTAGGTCTAGTAGGGCTTTCGGTCGATGTGCTATCTCATTAACACGCTATGTGGAATGAGAATAACAATGCTCTTTCGTGAGTTGTAGGTATTCATAAGGCGCATATTTCCCACTCCCGTTCCCTCCACAAGCAGACGGAGTAGACGAGTAACACACAGCATAGAGACTCTGACAAACAATGAGATCCTCGAGGTTCGAGGACCCGAGTTCACTATGGCCGACGCATAGTCCCACGTCGCCATTAGTATGTCTCATCAACGAGGCCAACGAGTCCATTGAAATGGCACACCCACGACTCAGCAGATGATTCCAGAACCCAATAGTCCACCTCTCGTCCAACATGCGCCCCTGCTATTAAAGTCAGCCCGATGGTGTAAAGGCTTTCACTCTGCGTCGAAATCAGACCATGTGTAGTCGATACAAGCGAGTGTATGGATAGATGAGCCGTGTCCTCAAATAGACAAAGGAGGAGGTCGCGGTTCTCTCAGGGGTAGAAGTAATACCTGCCCATGGTAACGAGCGTAGGCGACTGCTTTTCCCGGCATCGGGTGCATATATATCCACTAGGAAGAGAATATATATCTTATCTTCCATGATCAAAGGCTATCACTGCTCGTCGAGCCGATCTCTTCACACAAATCAGACGTAACGGTGGGTCCTCTGTTTGAGCACGTAACAGAGTAGGCAGCAGCACTCTGTCAGGGGTTCCATCAGAACAGTGCCTAGCAGCTAAAATTGTTCCATAGCTATAGCCACGTACACTAGGACAATAGCAAGCTTACCGATTCATTTTAGTCTAGGAGTGATAGAGAGTCATGGATAGATAAAAAAATACTTACCTTATGCTTATAAGTATATGGAAATTACCCTACATCTTCACTATACATTCTGGGGGTGTTCTTACTAGTAGTGATCCTAACCCTCAAGTCGCTTATGGCTACAGACTAACACTGCCCGACAGGCTACTCCGAGCAATAGTGGGATGTTTAGTATTTTGAGGCAGTGCATGTATCTTTACATTATTCACACTTTGTGGCGCAGGAGACCCACTAAGAACAACCCAAGAGCAGCGGGCTGGACCCTAGCAGTTCGCATTATCGTAGGGTGCACAGGAGACGTACGTACCCAATGAGTAAAACTACACTTGGTGCTTGTAAAAAGACCAGCATTAGTTTGGCGTATAACTAAATTGAGACTCATGCTACATGCTAATATGTTCGGATAAGAGTGTAGTCGTGGGGTGTGCATTTGGGGTTGTTCTTGCCGATACATGAATAGCTTGCAGGTATCTATCGTTTCATAGTTTATTTACAGCTGGTCATTGTCCTATCACCTAGACGGACCTGACGTGAGAGAGAGTATGGTGCTACACTCCTCGGCCGAGACTGGTGATCTGACAACAACGAGGCTGTGGGCTTGGGACATCCCCAGTCTGACAAGAGCAAGGCTGATCTTTGCAGTGACTAGTAAAATATTCCAGGGGTATAATGCAAGATACGCCGAAACCAAACATCGATATCATTCGTCATCGAAGCGCTTTGGGCTTGCTCGAAATGCTGGTAATAGGTAGACTGAGGTGCGGCTGAGACAAATGCATGCATGATCCATGCAGCCGTTAGGTCAAGGATGTTGGTTATTAATTAGCCCCAAACGACATGGTTATAATGCAGCTCACTATCGTATATCTGTATTATGGGCATATTTTCACATAATGCAGCATGGATCGCTCAGTCACCGATCGATTTGCATGGTTTCCGGCCTTGACATAAGATCCTCATCGGTCTCCTATCCCGGCTGTTGCGCAGCTCAGCATCCTTCCGCCTTCAGATGCTGAATCTGATCATCTTGTTCACGACTCGAGATGAATTCTACACTGTTGCTTTAGGATGTGGACTTTGCCCATGGAACAGACATGAGGCGATAAGGACCGGCTGATGCCGAACATACTGCACATGATTATCCAGACTTCGCCCGCTTGGTTGGAGCAATGGGTCTCTTTTGCGTGAAAATCGCCCATACTTAGTCTACTGTACTGTACCTTTGCCAATTCAGTAAATCTGTTGGAAGTAGTGGCTTGCGTAGACTAGGCTGATATACTTCAGATTGAGCTCGAACTGTGTATTATCGGCACTCTAACGGATCCTTAAGCTTCACTATAGTTCGAAGCAGAGCAACGCGAGCATTACACGCCTCGCAGTTCTACCAAGATACTTGGCTTTGATTATAGGAATGATTTCGGGCTGTGAGCTAGTTCTGTAAGCGAATTCTGATGTATAATTAGCCTCTGAGATATGGCAGCGAGCCACCCGGACACAGCATTGATGGTACGCGAGGAGCCAGCAGAGTTTCCATCTGGAAATTCTGGTAAGAAGAGGGGGTATGGTTTACAATGAATAAGATCGAGGACACGGACCGTCTACCAGGGTTTGCGTTGGTCTCCACATCCGCATGAACGTTAGCAACCTCGGAGCCGGGACAGGGTCAAGGATATGACAGTTGCAAGGCTGAGTAGTCTTCGCTCGGCAGCGTAGTGAAACAATTCATGCATGCTCATGTACGGCAATACCATAGAGCCTTGTCTAAGACATGCATATGGATGGCCCGGGCCGCACCCTGTCTGTGTCCTATCTCGCCGTCAATCGTATTTCCCTTTCCGGCAAGCCTAGGCGTGTTTGGCTAAAGATTCAGAAGTTGTTGAGTAGCCCGTCGCTCTAGTCCAGATATAAGATGTAACAAGTTTCCTTAAGACAATTTTAGCTTGTTATCTCACACATCTTTCCCTTCAGAACCTGCAGAGACCACAGCTTTCAGATATTCCTCATCTTCCTTTGAGACGATAGCTCAAGACCCAAGCCATACAGCTTGAGCTTACCATGGAAAACGCAAGAGACCAAGCGACTTGCAGAGCGGAGGAACACACCAGGAGTGGATCCAGAGATGTAGGCCGAGCATCTTGAGATGGAGGGTATCGACTGACGCATAGCAGAGGGTTGTCCCCGCCTCAAGTGGCAGTAAAGAAGGGTCTTTGCTTCCACGGAAAAGTCGACGGAGCCAGAGTTACGCCATGAGCAGGTGGCTTGAACAGGGACAATATGACGAGCCGTTACGCGGCACATATATCGCGGCTAGACTGCATCAAGTCGAAGTAAAGACAAGCACACATAATCAGACTTATAGTCCCTGATGAACGATGGCAAGATGGGATATAGACTTCTGTATGAACACCGTGGGAGGACTATTCTGAGATGGCGTCATAGTGGATGTATTGTATTATACAAACAAGCTGTATTTTCGAGGATGAGTTGAGGCTAGAAGAAACCGAGCAGGAATTTTGCATGTAATAAAAAGAGATCGAGGAAGGTCTACACCTTGGGTCGACGTTGAGACGTTCTCAGAATAAGGTGTGCAGATGTACCATTACTATCTAGGCCTAGTGGCGGCTATCCATAGACCACGCTACCTCTAAAAGGGCTAGGAGCAAACTTCATACGAATGATAAATCTAAGATGGACATCAATAGTACAGTCTGCATCGTCAACATGGTGACCCTGTAATTGCTCTCAAATAGAAGTTCTCCGCGTAGCCTTGGAGTAGTGCTTTCATATAAAATAGACCCGTTATCTAGAGACAATGTGAAACTCAGTGAAAAGAACAGTAGCAGCCGTTCCTGAACGCCTGGAAAGTGAAAATGAGCATGAGCCTACATGAGCGACACTACCTTGTAGGAAGCTCTCGAGATCTCGGTCCTGCTGAGCTCATAGGTTTCGCTTTCGCAACCTCGCTTCTTTCTTTTGCCTCATTCTCCCACTTTTCCATGTCGTCCACAAACTTCTCCCAGGTGTCAATCGTACCCTTGAAGAATGCGATATGTGTGTCAGCGAGATCTCCTAGCGTGTCCTTGAATTCAACCGCTTTGATACGTTCGAAGTCTGCGATTTCCTTTACGGTAGACTCGTCCGCGGTCTCGGAAGCCTTCTTAGCTTCTTCTACATTAAGCTGCAGCCTCTCGATCTCGAGCTCTAGCTTCCGCACTCGATCTCGACGGCTTTGTTCGTGATCGACCCCTCGAACATCCTCGAGCTTGGCACGCAGAAAGCCTGAAGCCCCCAAGCCGGATGAGCCATGTTGCGATGCGAGCTGATCACGTTCATAAGCAGCCTTGTTCAAGTAGTCTGTAAGACCTTCAAAATCGAGCTGCTTCTGCTCACGCGCTTTGAGGAGCGCCTTGACTGCCAGTATGTAAGCCTCCATGTCACGCAATGATCCTAGGTAGTTCTGGTCCGTGTGTTCCTTTAAGAACCTGAAGCCTTGTGACGTCTCCTCTAAGCTGGCATGGAATGCAGTGAGAGGCTGTTCGACACCCGATTCGAGAGTAACGAGCTTCTGGAACTGTTGGGCTAGATCGCTATAATCGGCCTCAAGATCACCTTGCCTCCGGGCGACTCGCGCTGTCACCTTTTCAACATTGCCTAAATCTTCGTCCAGCTTATTTGCCTTCTCTTTAACCTCAATGAATCGCTTGTCTGGCTTGTGTACTTTGCTGAAGGTGTTGAGAAAGGTATCCGCAATACTGTCTAGGAGACCACCACTCCCTGCATTCTGATCTGTCATCGTCATGGCCTTGGGTCGAGTCTTCATCGTCGCATTCCAATCGGGGCTTTCAAGGAATTCGAGTAGTATAGGCTGCCGCCGTAGCAATGGATGTAGCGTCAAGCGCTTCATGAAGCGATTCAGGGAATATGAGCGTCGATTTGTAAAGTCAGGTCCGAATCTATCGCCTCGAACATACTCCATGTTATGTTTGTCCGGTAGCGGGGGGACGGCGCAGCCGCCCCAAACATTGGCGAGGATGCGATAGAGGAACTGGAAATCTGTGAATCGTCGCCGCACGGAAAACTCGCGCTTATTGAATGACTGGTAGTCTGACTGAGGATTAAGTTAGCTTCTGTACGATGCGCGAATGCGTGACACTGAACAGAGGACGTTGAACCTTAGTAGTGACGAGGTACGAGACGAAGGCATCTTTGGTTCCATCGTTTTCTTTCTGTGGTTCGCCCACGATGACCACAAGCTGACCGTCGAGATCCTCCATCTTAGCTCGGTATTCGAGAATATCGGGTTTAAATCTGCGCGTTGTCGTTTCACGAGAAGGTCTCCCTCCCATGACGATGTGCCGCTTACTTAGTAGCAGGCAGGGCACGGCGCGATGATTGAGCTCCAGAGGACAGCGCGGGGGCCTTTATAGTGGACCCCATCCCCACGACAGCACGCGAAACATCTAAATCGGTAGAGCGCCATCACAATCAGACCCATGTATATATTGTACTACATAAACCACTTGAAAGGTAGAGTTCCGTGGGGCTAATAAAATAATATTTACAATAAGACACCCAGCGTAGCGCAGCAGTAGGCCATTTTCGCGCCGAGCTGTCAATCAATGATGGCCCGTTGAGTGACCACTGAGTTAAATGCTCAATGAACACCAAATCTCCGCTCGAATTCTCCGGCAAGCTTTGGTGATATCTCATCACTCGTATTCCCTTTTACAGTCCATAAAACCCCAAGCTTGTCATAATGCTCAAGTAAAGGGAGGCTGGTTTCTCTGAAGCTCTTTAGGCGAGCTTTCCATACTTCGGGATCGTCATCATCACGCCGCGTCAGGGCATCACCGGTAACATCATCCTTGCCTTCCACCTTGGGTGGGTTGAAAGTGGTGTTATAGACTCTCCCGGAAGGTGAATGCACCCATCGATTGCTTATACGGTCGATAATGACTTCGGACGGGGTGTCAATGTTGACCACGAAATTCATGGGGATCAACTCGTCTAATTGGGACGCCTGCACCGCTGTCCGAGGAAATCCGTCGAGGATGAATGAGGCATTCGGTGAGTCGGAATAGTTGTATGTTTGGGTACGGAATGGCGAAGGTATCATCACATTGTCTACAGAGGTCTCTGCTTCGTCTATGGCTACAGACGAGGAGTAAACTGCATATGGTCTTATTGCATCTGAGGTCAACCAGCCGTGGTTCGTAAACTCATTGAGTATCAAACGTAGTATCATCGTATCTGGCACGAGCGCACCGCTTTTCATCTTTTGCTCGGCAGCGATTCCTGTAAAGGTGAGTGAGTAGCAATACCTCCTGAAGTACAAGCCGATCACCTACCAAGCGGTGTCTTTTCCCTCACATTTTTCCGCAGTAAATCGCCAGAACTGATTGAAGAAAGTTGTGGAAACCGCTTCATCAAACGCTCGGTCTGTGTCCCTTTCCCAGCCCCAGGTGCACCCACTAGAATCACACGAGCAGCTCTGGACAGAGCCATTGCGTTCGACTGGTCCCAAAAATGACGCGACTTTGAACTACGGGTATAAATATGGTGTCAGGTTCGCAAATAAGGGTTCTGGGGGGTTTGACTGAAGTTGCGCTTCTACTGAAGCCTATATGGCTAGAGGAAGTTCATTTCGGGGCGTTCAAGATGATCTCAGAGGGTGTTGGTGCCGAGTTGTGCAGACCCGATCTCGGAGGTTGAGACAAGGGTTGTTGATAGAAGGTTAAGGAGCGCAAAGGGCGACACGAGGAATATGAAGGGCTGGTGGGAATGAAGGAGGCTCGGAAATAGGTCGAAGGAAATATGCACGAGGGGGGGAGGAGATTGTGGTGGTGATGAAGGTCATTGTAGACTGACCCATGTGCTTGTTGAGAAGCCGATAAGCTCCGATAGCCCGAACTGGGGAATCTTGCTGCGGCACAATCCCTATGCGACGCGTGTTGAGATGGATGACTAATCATGGCCTAACTTGTTCCTGAAGCCGGATGCGCCTGGGTCGGTCGGAGGTCGGCATTAGCTTGTTCAACGTGCATACCTGTCGCAATTCTTCTTTTACATACTCTTCCTACGCTCCTTCATTCACACATAACTTTTCCCATCTAGTTCTAATATTCCAGCTGGTCTCTCTTCTTCAGTTTTCCTTTGGAGAGTCATCCTTGCTTCCCAGCCCGCGATGTCCCTGAATCGCTCTGCGACGCGCATCTCGCCCCTTCTACTCCGTCATGCCGCAACAAGACATTTACCCAGGAACTCCCGAAGGTTCCCACGGGAGATCTCAGCGATTGCGATTCTCATACCTACTCGTGGCCTAGCCACACAAACGCAAAATCAGACGCCTGGGAACTCATCCTACCCTCCGCCTGGATTCAACGCAGACGAAGCCAAGAAATCACTCTCTAAGGACGGATCTTCAGCATCGAGGGAGTCTTCGAAATCAGATTTGATCGAACAGGTAACAATACCAAAAGACCAGCCGACGTCGCACCCCAAGACAGCGGCTACAGAAGATCAGTCTTTGAAGGAGCTTGCAGCCGCAAAGGCCGCCGAGGATTCGAAAGTCGTTGAACAGAAGAAGGAGGATAAGAAACTCACGCTTTGGCAAAAGGTCAAAAAAGAGGCAAATCACTACTGGGATGGGACGAAGCTACTGGCGACCGAGGTCCGCATTAGCTCCAAATTGGCATTGAAGATGGCGGCTGGATATGAATTGACCAGACGGGAAAACAGACAGCTGCAACGAACGGTTCAGGATCTGGGCCGGCTAGTGCCTTTCTCAGTTTTCGTCATTGTCCCATTTGCAGAACTTCTACTTCCAGTAGCACTTAAGCTTTTCCCCAATATGCTACCTAGCACGTACGAGGGACAGAAATCAAAAGATGCCAAAGCAAGCACACTCAGGACGACGAGGAAAGAAGTCAGCAATTTCCTGAGACAGACACTGAAAGAGACTGGACTACCCGTAAGCGCTGCTAATGCCCAGACCGAAGAGTTTGCGGATTTCTTCCGGAAGGTCCGTACGACTGGAGAAGCTCCGACTGCAGCAGACGTAATCAAAGTTTGCAAAGTTTTCAAGGATGATCTTACGTTGGACAATCTTTCACGACCTCAATTAGTCGGCATCTGTCGGTACATGAACATGAACACTTTCGGAACCGACAACTTTCTTCGCTACCAGGTCCGCCATCGTATGCGCCAGATCAAGCGTGACGACAAAGCAATCGCCTTCGAGGGTGTTGAAACATTGTCGGTACCAGAGCTCCAGACTGCTTGTCAATCTCGAGGACTACGCACGCAAAGCATGAGTCCAGGCCGTCTCCGGGATGATCTTCAGATGTGGCTTGACCTGCGTCTCAAATACGGTGTCCCATCTACTCTTCTTGTATTGAGCAATGCCTTCATGTATGCGACTGGCAAGGAATCCGAGATCAATAATCAGATTGACGCCCTGCAAGCTGTGTTGTCGTCTATCCCTGAAGAGCTGTTCCATGAGATCGAGTTGGAGGTCCACACAGCAGAGGGTGCTGCGACCAACAAACAGCGCCTTGAGGTGTTGAAAGAGCAGCAAGAGCTCATCGACGAGGAGAACGAGCAAAGCCAGAAAGGTGATCCTTCAGGCCGCCCGCAACCGAAGGATGACCAAGATATTGATGAAGAAGAGAAACTTCAAGCAAAGCAGGAAGCAGAGCACAAGGCTGCTACCAAGGACCAGGAACAAAGTGATGAGGACAGGAAGGCTGCAATTGATGTCGCTGCAGAGGATCGTCCTGATGATCCTGAGCAGAAGCGAAAAGAGCTCCTGGATGAAGAAGCGGAGATCAAGGATGAGAACAAGCGCGGAAAGAACTAGTCCAAAGCGTTCGCACGTACTTCCTTTTCACACGTAAATCCACGGAATGACCTGGATTCCGCATCCTTTGACCCCCGAACAGCTTCGACTCGGGCCGCTGAAGGAAAATTGCCAGGCAGTGTAACTGTAAAGCGCTAGGAAATCCGCAGATAAAAAAATAGACGTGTATAAACACCTTCATGACTCGAATTCTGGAACATGAATATACATAAATCCATGGCTAGGCTGAAATTGCGTAGAAACCTTGGAACCTTGGTAGCTTAGACCCTTCCAAGTACCACGGGATACTGCACTGATTGCTCCAGGATATTCGCGCAGCCTTTGTTTTCACTGACCTCATAGACTATTTATACCAGCCACAATCCCGCCTCCGACGCTGAGTTTAACCAGTGTTATTACCGACAGCTGCAGATGGGTTCAAATCGTTTATGCGATTTCTCCACGGCATACTTATCACCCTCATTACCAACTACCCCTTAACATTGCCTCGTCCACAGCCCGCGCTATGGAATGCGGCGGGTGGTAAACGAAAAGAATCAGCCAAATTGACCTCAAGTACAACGAGTTTCGTTGTCGTTGACTCCGACGGTAGGAATGTATCTTGATAAAGTGGCGGTCTGTTCATGCATTAACTTCATTGTAGAAAAAAATCAGGGGACAAAAGTCATACTCGTTGTCCTTCAATTCGATTATTCGAAACCAATATACTGTCGGTTGACTCTTCATCCTATGCACACGTCTACGGTAGCAGCTTTTGCGCTCATGTATTCATTCTGTTCGCAATCTTGTTTTCCACTCGCATTGATCTTATCTATATTGTCATTTGTCACCCCTGCCTCTCTCGTCATATACATCCATGGCGCCATACCACGTATTCTGCTTTGATCAACACCTCATTCTACTCAAATCGATCGCAAGATACTGATGTCTTCTGTATACTAAGTCACTTACCAACAACATGCTCGACTCCCGCTCCCTTGAGGAGGCTCTAACAATCGATCCACGGATATTGACACACAGCTATACCACCCCAACCCCTACCCCAATCTCGTCCTCCTCCTCCGACGATGTCGACTCCGACACCGAAATGCCCGATGCGCCTCCATCTCCCTACGACGACGACGACGACGACGAAACCGTCTACGACGACGAAATCTCCCTTATCCAAAACCCACCCCCGGGACCCCCAATCACCCTCCACGAACAACTCTCCTTCCTAACATTCTCCTCCACGCCCAAACACCGCACCGCAATTCCCCTCGCCTCAAACCTCCGCCGCCGCTCCGCCCTACCCACCGTCCCACTATCCCCAGACCCAACACCTCTTCCCCGTCCCCCTCCCCGCCGCGCCGTCTCCTTTTCCCCCCACCCGCGCACCACCGCTATTTCAACGTACCTCCTCCCTCCCACGCCCATCGTCCGGCATAATACCACCGACGGCACAGACACAGACGCGTACGAGCCGTACGTGCCCCTAGAAAATATGCCCACGCCGGTGGAACGCGCGCGCAAGGAAGCGGTGCGGGCACAGAGGGAGAGAGAAAGAGAGGCCTGGGCACGGACATGGGATAGAGTAGACGTAGACTTAGAAGTGGGGTCCGAGCGGGGAACAGAACAGATGGACGAGGAAGAGGATGGGGGATGTGCGCTCTGGGATGATGGTGCGCGGCGGAAGGATTCAGGGGTTGCGGGTGCGAGGAGGGTGTTTGTGGGGAGCGAAGACGGGGTGCTTAGGGAGAATGGGCACGGCCCGGGTGTGAGGCTGGGTGTTGTGTCTGTTGCGGACGAGGGCGAACGGAAGGGGGGAGGTCAGGAGACTGGACGTGGCTTGGGAAGGATGTGGGAGGAAGGGGCTGAGTATACGTTTTCATGAGGTGCTTGGATTGTCTGGGATGGAATCGTGTTTGAATCACATGTTTGCTTGGGCACGGGCTGTGGGATCGAGTTGATATGGGACTACACGGAAGTGGGAGAGTATCACACGGTCTCGATGTAGGGCATTTCGGCTTAGCTAGTAGTGCACCCCTGGTTCTCTCATCTGGGAGAGCCATGACCCGTGTCTACATATCGATGTGGCCAAAGTAGGATGCTGCCAACTGTAAGAGAGAGGGTCAAAAAAAGTTCCATATATTGTCATGTACTCAAAGCCGAGGAAGCAGCAGGGGATATATACGACATCTCCCAACTCCACGCTACCCTGAAATCCTACGCTATAAACAAAGTCTCTCTCGATGTAGGTCTCCTCGTATGCGTTTCTACATCGCTCTGATTCCTGGCTGATGGATTCGCAGTGGCTAACGCGCCCAGATCAGCACATTAAAGCCCACCCCGCCTCTGCCTTCTGCCATGCTCGCCGCACACGCAAAGCATGTATCTTCTCCCCGCCTCACGACCGCGGACCTCGCACGCTCGCTACACCATGCCCTCGCAACCAACTCTTCACCCTCCCCCATTGCATCAATAAGCAGAAAGCTGTCCTTCGCACTATACAAGTCCTTCAGTTGACTGACATTCACCGCACTATCTAATAGCCTTTTCGCATGCTTCTTATGCAAAACATGCGCTCCCTTGCACGGGTCCGAGCCTATCTTGCGTGAATCCGGGCTTCCCCTGCACGGATGCGGGCTAACAAACAACGGGACGTTGTATAGAGTATACGATACAGGCACACTATTCACGCTGAAATGGAGGATTGCGCGATACTCGGTGACCCCAGAGCTTTTTGCACTGAGGGCCGTGCCAGGCGCCGAAAGCTCCATGAGACGGATCTCCTTGAGCTCGCTCTTCCGGCGATCGTCACGCGTAGGCGGCACGGGTACGACGTACGCACCGGAATCCGTTAGACTCGTCAGGAGACTATCCACAGGCTCCGTGAATTGCGGCACGTTATGACTTCCTGGGTCTGCGGCAGCCGCAAAGCCAAGACTTTCAAGAATATCTGTTTTTGGATCGCACGGCGTGGGCGGCAGTGTACGTTTTGCGTTGATACGGACCCATCCCTCGGGCACACCAGTGGGTGCGGGCAGAGGCCCGATCCAGCCACATACAGATCCGGCGTCGCGATGAGCGCCGAGGACGCGGCCCAGCACGGTACGTTTGGGCCAGTACGATGAGTTACGTACGACGAGACCGTCGGCGTAAAAGGGAGCGCCACCAAAGCCGCGAATAGAGGGCGAGGCGTGGACAAGCACGCTCATGATACGATGGCGAAAAATCTTGCCGGGGAGCGTCAGGCCGAAAAGCCAGTCGCACATATCATAGCCTACGTGATGGCCAGCGATAAGTTCCCGGTAGGCTCGCTCGATGGTAGGTTTGGCCTCGAGATAAAGAGGCCATTTTATGGCCTCCGCGAATTTGATGAGGCCCTGGGCTTGTTCGCCATGGACTTTGGAGAACAGCGTGTAGGGTAAGGCAGAGGAGTCGGGGGATGTGGTGGGGACTGGTCCGTTGATGGTTACGTTACGCAGCCATGTGCCCGACAGGACTAGCAGTGCGGAAATTGTATCTGTAATAAGGCCTGAGTAGCCCATGTTGCGTGGCTCCTTGCGTAGGCGGACAAGAAGCTCAGCGCCGAGAAGGACCTGGAAGAGAAAGTTGTGGAGTCCTACACCTTCAAGAGCTCCACCGAGGGTATGACTGCTGACGTCCCGGGACTTGGTTAAGTCAACAAAGCGGTCAGGATCTTCTGCAATACCATGATTCAAGCCTAAGCAGATAGATTCGATCTGGCTCTGGCGCGAGGCTTGCACGGGATCTTTGTATATTCCCGCCTGAAGACTGATAAATCTGTGATCCGTTAGCTAGGTAAGATAACCGGACAACACCCACTCACTCAGAAATTCCAAGCATTTCACGAAGACCATCCGGATCTTCAGTATCTTCGGTCTGTAGACTCCGAATACGCTCCACAATGCGGTCGAGCGATGCTAATGGTGGTATTACAGATCCTTCGAGAGCGATTTCTGCTAAGGGCGAGAGATTTAGCTGATGCTCTCTGTATTCCTCGGAATACCCCGAGACTGACACAGTTCCAGGCCATTTTCCTTGGTAGAAGCATGAGCTCTCACAATCCATGTCTAGGAAGGTATTTCCTGGAAAGCTTTGTTGGTCGACTGCCATTGCTTCTATGTAGATGTTAGCTCATATCTCTGAGATAGAATGATGTACACCTACTGAAGCTAGGATGGAGATAGAACGGTGGAGGTACCTCTCTTTCAGTGAGTTCAGTCTGCTTCAAGCCAACAAAGAACAACTTGACTGCATCTACATTGCCGGTAGCTGTATATGGGCGCAAGGCCAAACTACCCTTGCTTTTCTTGCTAAGAACAAAATGAAGCCTTGCCAGTCGCTCACGTAGTTTATCATGACTCATCCTCATTTGAGCACTGCCAGCATAGCCAGAGTGATATGACTCGGGTTCGTAGGAAGCCATTTGCTCCACTATCTCTGCTAGTCCATATGGGAGGGGAGAGACAGCAGTCCTGCCAACTGTGGCGGCAGTATAATTACGTCTCACAATGGGCTGTCTATCCGGACGGGGTGGTTGTTGCGACTGGACTTTGGTGAGAGGCTGTGTTTGTATGCTTGGGGAGCCTTGTCGTAGTTGAGTTTCTGAGTGTACTTTTGATGTATCACTGGATGTTGAGCCAGATGCTTGGCTCACTTGCGGCATGCCATTCAACGCTGGCGACTTTGCCTTCGACATTTGCGCTTCCGTCTCAAGACTACTCATTGCCTTCTGCGTGTGGTTTGGTTCCTCGGTTGCGTGGTACAGATTCTGGATGGACGTCTTCCGCGGCGCCTCATTTATGCTCCCAGGAATCAGCGAATCCTGCCGTGGTGCAGGCGACGGAATTGAAGGCTGAGGTGGAGTTCCCCGGGAATTGCGAGTCGATGGCTCAAAGGTTGCTCCCTCTGAAGGCGAGTGTTGCTTGGGTTGACCTGGAGACTTGTTCTGTTGATTGCGATTCTTTGGCACGTCCTGAAGGATGATGGGCTTTGGCGGTAGCAAGGTATCCCCAGATGACCTCGATCCGTTTCCTGTAGGCGTGGTAGAGGCTCGTCTGTAGGAAGCGGAATCCGCAAACGTTCCTGCAAGAGGACTCTTCTTATATGCCGAGCCCCCGGGTGTCCCTACCCCGGGACCGCGTCGGTATGTTGCCGCCTCTGCGAATGTCGTAACTACAGGGCTTGCGGTCTTGATAGGAGGATCCATGGGTAATGATGGTGGAGGTAAGGATGCAGCTTTGGATGTAATCCTCTCCTCCGGCGATCTAGCCTTCGGTCTAGCTTTCTCCTCTGATGGAGGAGTAGACATCGTTGAATCCGAGCTATCACTGGAGTTTGAATCGATAGAGGGATTTCGTACGATCGGTCGCTGTTGTTTGTTTGGAGACGATGACATTTCCGGTTGGACGATTTGCGGAGACTGTCGAGGACCCTCTGAGGCACTTTGTTTCACGTCTACAGAACTAGCTTGCTCGCGAAGTCTCTCTGAATTGGGTGAGCGTCGCCGTGGACCTTGCGAGTAGATCTGTGAGTACTGCAACTGCTCTCGTTCCCGTATCACTGGTGGATTGAATTGTTGTTGATTGGGGACAGAAGTTGGGGGTGACTGCTGCAAAGACAGTGACTGTTGCTGGTCCGACATTACTGATTGCCCATTTTGAGGACTCTGGGGACTTGTGGGAAGCTGGTGTCTGTATTCGCCTTCGCCTTTCTGGTCGCGCATGTATTGACCCTGGCCTTGCTGGTACTGGTCTGACTCTGGCTCTTTCCAATCAGATATCGCGTCTACCCCCAATATCTGCCTCGCATTTTGATGCGACCATTGTGCAGTCTTCTTCTCTTCCTCTCCTTGTGCGCAGTCTACTGCCACGCCGTATGCATCTAGGGCTCCTTGAATGTCGCCGCTCCTTAACCTGATCTCTCCTTGCTGTAGCCAGCCTCGGTAGTATGTTGGGTCAAGTTGTATGGCAGCCTCTGCATCTCGCAACGAAGCATCGAAATTCGGCGGCGTGGACAGCATGTGTGCAAAGGAGCGCGCTGCTAGGAGGTTGGGAGAGGCAGGCTGATACATCAGCGCCTTGTTGTACATGCTTCTGGCACCATTGTAGTCGGCACGATTGATGAGTGACTCGGCATGAGACTGGAACACATCCGAGGCGGAACGCTCGCCAACGCGATTGCTCACGGGGAGAGCTTGTTGTGGAGCGGGCGGAGGAGACAGAGGAACGAACTGCTGGTATTGTGGACTGTACACTTGCTGTTGCGGCGCAGGACTATAGCCATATTGCTGAGAAGGGGGCGATTGGGTGTATGAGGTCGCAGGCGAAGGGTATTGGTGCTGAGATGAGTAGTTCTGCTGAGCGTACTGATATGTATACTGTTGGCCGTAAGGAGACGCATGAGGCTGAGGGATCTGCGGCTGTTGGAATTGCGAGGGCGGATCTGGACGATAGCCATTATTCTGTTGACTAGATACAGAAAGATATAATGTCAGCCAGATTGTGTGCTACCCGTGGACAGCTGCTGTGGAGGACTTGGGAGCTGTAGTAGCTCACCTATAGTAGGCGCTTCCATTCTGCGCTTGGGCATCGGATAGTTGAAGTTGCTGCTGGTACTGCTGCTCCGGCGACAGAGGGCTTACGACGGTGTTTGGATTCGGCGACTCGTCCTTCTTCCCGCCCAAGACTTTCTTGAAGAGGCTTGCTGTCGATGGTTTGGGCATGTTTGGGGCAATCTCGGGGCGCGAAGCGCTACAAGCTGAGGGATCTCCGCCGCGCTGGATCTTGAGAGGGCTCGCTCGCGTTCCACGGTTACACTACAGCGCGGCGTAGGGGACGCACGCAGAGTATGGCAAAAGAAGAAGATGGTGAGACGGAAAGCTCGCCATGCGAAGGCAACCAGGCGGCGCAAAGGTGAGGCATATGCACATCAGACGGTAAGATGGGCAGGCCGGCACAGGCAAAAAAGAAAGAGCGGAAGAATGTAAGACAGGTAATTAGATAGAAGTCAAATCAAAAGCCCAGTGGCGCATACACACACCGGCCAGTCAGTGGTCACCATTAAGCTTACGCCTCAATTTGCACGAGCGTCGAGCAGTAGGATCTAGGAGTAGTGAGTGGTAATATAATGATATGCAAGTGCTTGCTGTGAAGCCTAAGGCAGACATATTCTCTTCCTCAGGCTCCTACCGTCTTGCTAGATACCTAGACCTCACCTCATCTCGACTCACCGGCCATATTGATGATTCCTGCAGACATAAGGAGAATGACATCGCAATAGAGCCTCACTCTCAAGCCAGGCGAGACCGACTGAACGACCAAACTACTGCTGCGTTGCCCGCTTGAAATGCGTACTCTTCCGCATGTTGGCATCGTGTCATCGGCCAGAACATTGGCCGTCATGGGAATGAAGTCGACAATGTCGTTTCGGCTGACGTTCAGAAAACGATACACTCGCCATCTGTTGATGCATGCCAGGTTTCATAGCCATATATTCCACAAGTCCATATTCGCTGTCTAGCCACGGTAGCATCGCGGATTAAGAAAGAGATATCACAGGTTATGGCACGAGACCGTGAATGCAAAGTCATTCTTTTTTATACTGTTCAGATGATGCCAAAAGCCTTCATTGACAAGTCCCTCTAGCATCTGCGCCTTGTGTCGGAAAATTAGGCAGTAATACTCGCCGCAACTAAGACTGACCCTCTGCTAAAGGGCAGTTAGTCTGGCGCCTCGAACAGACAGGTATTCGTCACGCAAGTTCGATATAAAGAATACCATCAACTCGATGCTCGCACAAAAACCACAAGTGCAGAGATCCAACTATATACAACATCCACAACGAAGTTTATACATGCCCCTGGCGCCTGGCGTCTTACTTGAATAGCTCTATCGCATCAAAGATCTATAGTCTGTGTCAGCGAATGTGATTGTCTCATTGGACTCGATACTCACAATGTTCGGACTCAGGTACGTATCTCCATCACTCCCACTGACCACGTTGATAGTGATTGTGTTGCTGCCCGCCACAAGCGTACCACTCGGAATCGAAACGTCGTAAACCTCTCCGTACCCTCTGTAGGCACCCCGTGTCACCCCTCGGGAGTCAATCTTCGTGGGTGCTGCCGGTGCCGGCCCAGTCCACGAGTTGACGATTGCCTGCGGTCTAGCTCCAGCGAAGCTCAACGTCGTCCCGATCCTGAGTGTCGCCGCCCCGGTCTGCGCCGACGTGAGTGTAAACGCAATCTTCTGGCCGTTGTTCACGCTCTTCCACAATGCCATCGGAAATGCAGAGAGCGCCGACGAGCCCACAGTATACGTCCCTGGGCTCCAACTGCTCATCCGCGAGTCACTCGGATGCATCCGTAACTGATTCGCCGCGTTACGGAACCCGGTCGGCTGCCCGTCCCACGCACCGATCGTCCAGATTGTATTCCTGCTCGTAGCCGTACTGGCAATATCCTTCGTCACCGTCGCACCGGCAGACACACTGACTGACGTGCTGGCCACCTTCAACTCCACCTGATACAGCACCTGCGTATACGTTCCGGGCTTCATTGCCGGACTCGTAAATGCCCCTGAGCTCGCTGCCTTGACCCAGTACTGTGCATTCGCATTATACCAATGCACAACCCTCTCGCCCGTCCCGGCGCCACTCACCGTCCCCTTTACGAACCCGCGCCCACTCGCGGCCACATAGCCTTTGATGCCCAGAGACGCGAAGAACGCCGTGTCCGAAACCTTCAGCGCCGCGGGAATCCCGGACCGCGAAAACGTAAGCGCGTACGGGCCGTGCAGGCCCATGCGATAGCTCTCCGTCTGCACATGTCCCGAGTTCATGTAGAACGTCAGACTGGTATACGCGCCCCCGTTGTTCGCGTCAATGTCCCTGAAGAACGGGCCGCCAGAGGAGCTCTCATACTGCGGCGTTAGGAAGCACGCATGGGCGTCGTTACCCTCCACGCAGTGCACGCCATCGTCGATGAAGCGCTGCGACGAGTAGAACTTGGAGCGCGTCTGGCCGGACACGCTGAAGATGTCGGAGCCCTCGATGGCGGTGCCGTCCTTGGTCGTGGAGGCGTCGCCAAACGGGTAGCTGGTTGGGTACACGGCGTTGTTGAGACGCGCAATGTAGCGCAGCTCGCCCACAGTGGGTTCTGCGGTGATGTACGTCGCCATCCACACGGTACTGCCGCCCGACTGGACGACATAGTAGTGCGTCAGCGTGGACGTCACGCATGTCACTTTGGCGTACTGGCTGTTGATGATTGTCGCCGACACGGTCGCGGTGCCGAGTCCGCTCCCGATGTGGCTTCCTGTGCTCTGGTACTGCACTTCGGTGCCGCGGTACTTGATGCTGGTGATGTCGCAGCTGGCGCGGCTGATGGTCACGACGAGGGGGTTTGCCGAGCCGGCGTCGATGACATAGGACGCCGAGGACGTGGTGATGCCGAACGCGGCAGAGACGGTGGTTATGAATGCAAGAAGAGCGAGGAAGAGGAGTGAGACGAGCATCTTTGCGGCGGCACCAGAAGACGACGCTGGTGCTCAGGAGATGATCAAGCTGTGGTGAAAAGGCGTATAACCACGGCCTCGCAGATATTTTATATACCCAACACCCTCCCTCTCATCTCCGTCCCAGACGCACGATTTCCTCATCTCGGCACAACTCTCGTCCAGCTCGATAGCGTTTCATATCAGCAGCACACAGCACGCGCACCAACATCAACAACACGCCTTCGGTGCACAATATTTCATCTCGGCACATCTCCCATCCAGCACATTGCGCGTCGCATCACGAGCACACCGCAGCACACCCTCCCCCGCATCCGTAAGCACCGCTCTCTATTGGCGGGATCTCACCCAGCGTCGCCCCTCGGGGTCCCCCTTATGCCCAAAACAGTACGACAGGAACGTGTCGGCAGCAGTCGCACCACAGGCCCGTCGGTGCAGCCGGCCTGCCTGCAATCTCGTCATTGCCCCTTCATTATATACCTGCTTGTCTGGCTGGCTGGCGGGCTGGCTGGCTGGCTGGGTGAATGACCTGGGGTTGGGATTCCGAGTCAGATCGAAGGGCCCCGCATATGCATGCATGCACGCATGCACCCCAGATTATAGCGCCTCCGTGTTTCTGTGTCGTTTTCCCGGGCTCTGCTCCCCTGCCCTGTCCATGTCCATGCGCGTCCACGTCGTTCGGAAATACCCAAGCGTTTTGCTACCCTCCTCACACGTCATGTGTCCGTTTCTTATATACCATCATGCCGACGCCTCGTACTATATATATATATATATATATATATATATACACTCACGCTACGCCCCAAACATCATAATGCCGTCCTTTCGTCGTCATATTAGACTGGTTATTTTTCCCCCCCAATCACTTACTCCCCCCCTTTCACGCCTTCTGACCCCTTCCCACTTAATTTCCCTTTTGCCTTGCAATCTCCCCTTTTTTTTCACCTTTTTCCTGATCTTCTCCCTTTCGAATCTTCCCCCCCAATATGTCCAAAGACGCCCTTCCTCCATCTTAACCCCCCGTAACCCCGGCCAAGACTCCACTCACTCATCAAGCATCACACCCCGCAGGTGCTAAAAGTCTCGGCACTTGCTATCCCGGAGGGCGCTCTTGCGTGTCCGGGGTTGATTGGGTTGGAAGACCGGGTTTGATTGGTGGGATTGGGATCGGGGTTTGACTGGTGGGAGGTGGGTTTAGTTGGGGCTTTGTGGGCGGGTAGTGTAGGTGTAGTCTATGGGCTAGGGCTAGGGCTAGGGGGGATTAGAGGGGGTTAGAGGGGACGAGGGGATAAGAGGGTAAGGGAATGGAGGGAGAGTTAGGACTAGGAGGGTAGGTGGATTTATGTTGGTGGTTGTGTGTTTACTTAGAGTAGTTATGTTTATAGTTATAGTATGTCGTTTATAGGATGTGAGATTGGGTATGCTTTGAAGACGATGCGTGTAGTTATATAGAGTTTTGTCTATGCTTCTACCGCTGCATATTATATGTTACATGTTACATGTGTCCTTGTCTATTCGTTTATCTTTCCTATCTTTTCTATCTTTAACCCTACTTATACTCTTATGATTTTTATCCTCTCTCTCTTATACTATTCTATCTCTACCTCTATTATACTATTCTACTCTTACGTCTACCCTTACGTCTCCCTCCTACTATTCTACCCTTATCTCTCCCTTCTACTATTCTACCCTTATATCTACCTCTATTCTTACGTCTACCTCTATTTCTATGTCTACCTCTATCTCTATCTCTACTTCTATATCTATGTCTACGTCTATCTCTACCTCTATTCTATCTCTATCTCTACCTCTATCTCTACCTCTACTCTATCTCTATCTCTATCTCTACTCTATCTCTACCTCTACTCTATCTCTATCTCTACTCTATCTCTACTCTATCTCTACTCTATTCTATCTCTACCTCTATTCTTATTTCTTTCTTCTACTATTCTACTCTTATATCTATCTCTACTCTACTCTACTCTACTCTATCTCTACCTCTACTCTACTCTACTCTATCTCTATCTTTATTTTATTCTACTCTACTCTATCTCTAATCTCTAATCCTCTATTCTCTTCTTACTAATTATTCTATATCTATCTCTCTCTAAAGATATAAATATTTTATTAGATCTTATAAAGTATACCGTTCGTACTTTAAATACGTAAGTATATAAAATAAAATAAAATCATACTTTTCTTATTTGTAGTATCTAGAGCGGGAGAGAAGAGAGAAAAGACAAAGGGGGTCTTCGTTATATTATGTTTATTATAGCTACTTGTTATTGTTTAGTTTTTGGGTTATCATTTGGTTTTGGTTTTTGGTTTTGGTTTTGATTTCATGTAGATATAGACATATATACAAATACAGACACACACTCTATAACTCCACCTACCCAATTCCTACCCATTCTATAAACACACCTACGGACAAAGTACCCTATAGTAAGTACATGGCAAGTATACTAGGACACAGCTACTAACTAACAAACATCTACCATCCACCATCACCACGAAAACTAGTAGCAGAGTAATATAGTATATTCCGCATTCGCGAACGGGATCGGGAAGGGCTGCGCATGGTATGGTATATGGTATGGTATGCATGTAAGGGGTATGGTATGGTATATGGTATATGGTATATGGTATATGGTATATGGTATATGGTATATGGTATATGGTATGGTATGGTATGGTATGATATGGTATGGTATGGTATGGTATGGTATGATATGGTATGGTATGGTATGGTATGGTGTGGTATGGTATGGTATGGTATGGTATATGATATGGTATAGCTGGATATGATATGACTGGATATAGCTGGATATGATATGGTATGATATGGCTAGATGTGGGTGGACAGATGGATAGATGCATACATGCATACACGCACGAACGCGAACTCGGGAAAGGAAGATGGTACCCGTTTAACATACCTGTTTGACATGCCTATTTAACACGTACGCGTATGCGTGTGCGTATACGTGCATGTATACGTAGACCGTGGACCATGTGCGTATACATAGCCGGACAGGACAGGGCAGGATAGGATAGGATAGGATAGGATAGGATAGGATATGATAGGATAGGATAGGATATAATAGAATAGGATAGGATAGAATATTATATAACACGAATACTAACCCCCTAAAACCCTTCTAAGATAGAAGTGAATAGATAGATTACTAAAAGTAGCTAGTTACTTACTCTCTTACACACATACTCTCTCTCTCTCTCTATCCTTCCTTTAGTAACGTAAAGTAAAACTAAAAACGACTAGATTCTAGATAACGACGTTATTCTCCCTTTTCCCTTCTCCCTACCTTCCTCTCCCTTCATTTTACCTTCCTAGACTACTAAATGCCGAATTACTAAGTTCCAATTAGCAACTTGTATAAACTACCAACGACCAACGACCAATGGAACAAGAAGAAGAAGAAGAACAATTTTCACATTCCTTTTCCGCTTCCAAGACGGGGATGTTGAAAAGTAATCCAGAGAGATATACACATGCAGCCAAGACGAGCCGTGCATGGCTATGCTACGACGTGATATAACATGACGTGAGTGACGACTGGATAGACATCTACTGCTCCCGTTCCGGTCTTTATACTATCCAGCTCCAGTACCAACTACCATCAACAATGATCAACAACAATCATCAGCATCAAACACAGTGACAAGCCCCAAGCAAGCTCTCCACAAGACTACCCTGCGTCCTCTCTCTCTCGCCCTCCCTCTCCCCCACCCCATCCTCACACCCCATCTCAGCAGTCTCAGACCCTCTTCCACCACCACCACCACTCACACATGCTTCGGCGTCTCTGCCAGCGTACATCATAGCGCGCTGCTCATGTGGCAGCAACATGAACGGAACCTATACGCGACCAAAAACGACGGAAGAAGTCAGTCTAGAGGACAAAAGAAAAGGGACGGACAGGAGGGGGAGGTCTATGATGAGGCAAAGGAAAGGAGAGGAGAAAGGAGGATTGGGGGCAGGGTTTGGGCTGGATGGGATGGGATGGGATGGATGCATGGGATGGATTAGTCACCGACGGTTTCGCCTGCTGCTGAGGGAGATGCTGCGGGTTTGGAGGATGTTGTGGTGGCGGCGTGGGTGGTTGCTGGTGGTTCTGTTGGGGTGGAGTTTGAGGGGTTGGCGGTGTCGTCGTCGTTTTCGGACTCTTCTTCTTCATCGTCGTCGTCGTCGTCGTCCTCATCTTCCTCGTCATCGTCTTCATCGTCCTTCTCGTCCTCATTCTTTGTTGTGGTCGCAGGTTTCTTCTCTTCGGACACGGGAGTGGACTTCTCCTCAGCCAAAACCTTCTGATCCTTTCGTATGACGGTCGTCTCCTTTTCCTCGTCACCAGACTCTTCGTCGTTTTCATCCTCTTCCCCATCCTCGTCATCATCCTCTTCCTCACCATCATCCTCGTCCTTATCCCCCTTCCCCCCCTCCACCACCCCCCCAGCATCCCTCGCCGCGATCCTCGCCTCCCTAACATCCGCCGGCGGCACCTTCGGCCTCGACCGATCAATCCCACCACTCAACCTAACATCCTTCAACCCCGCCCCCTTATCCCCACCCTTCAACTCCCGCCCCTTGGCCGCAGCCTCCTGGACCATCTGCCTCATTGCCATCGTCTGCGGCGGTCCCGACGCCACCTTCGGACTCTCATTCTCCGTCTTCTGCCGCGCATTCGTCGGGATCGACACCGGCGCCTCGGCAAGTGCTGCCTTGGCCGCCGGAGCAGGTGCAGACGCAGGCACAGACGCAGCACCACCAAGCGGAGCCAGATTCTCAAGTAACTCGCCAAACTCATTCCACTCCTCAATCTGCTCGAGGTCCTATCATTCATCACACATATTAGCCTCTACATCTACCTCTACCTCTACCTCTACCCCTCCCCTCCCCTCCCCCCCTATAAGAAACCAAAAAAAAGGAAAAAAACTCACACCAACAAGAAACCCCTCCCTCACAAGCCCAGGAAACCTCTTCCCACGCGCCCGCCGGCTCCACAGACTGCGCATGCGCTCATCCGTCGCAGTATCCACGCCCGTAAAGGGGATCTTGTTGGCGCGTAGGATGGTCTCCATGCGGCTTGTGGCGGAGACGATGTGTGAGTTGCCTGCCGTGAGGGAGGTGACGAGGTAGAGGGTTGGGTCGGTGTCGTAGATGCGGAGGTCGGGGAGGAGGGACATTTTTCGTGGGCGTTGTTTACGGGGCTGAGATGGAATGGGGGGTGTAAGTTGTGTTGGTCTTGGTTGTTGGGTAGGATGGTGTAAGTGATTGTGTGGAGAATGGGTGGAGGGTGGAGAGATAGATGTGTTGTGAGGATGATGGACTTCTGGTTGGGGATACACGATAATACTGACTGGACGCGCCGAGTGACGTGGGCGGGGTACTCGAGTCGACTCGACAGACACAGACACAGACACCTCAGGCACCAAACAGTACATCCATCCCCTCCATCCACTACATTCCCCAAACACACATACACACACACACCTCCCCTCCCCTCAACAGCTCCATCAACGCAAGACCTTCTCGAAAAGTAACACAGCAGATGACGTGCATAGTTTGTTCGACCCGTTTTCCCCGGCGAGCCTGCAGAAGCAGACGGGGGCGGAGGGGAGGGGGGGTAAGCAATGAGGCTGAAACGAACAAACAAACAAACACCTATCCCTTTTGGGGGGGGCATGAATATCGGTTGCGCATGCAGGCAGGCATGCATGCACGAACAAACAAACACGACATTCAATGTATTCAACACACAAATAACTGTTTGATGCCCTTCTGGGAGGTATGGATGGATATACGTACATATGTACATATGCAATGGTATTAATAGTATTGTATTAAAAATAACGATTGTGTTTGCTTCTTTGCTTCTAGACGATACATGTGTGTATATATATACTCTACTATGTCAAGGTTGGGGGGCGTAGGGCCAACAACGCCATGTAAAGTCCTGTCTCAGCGAAATGAAATGGGATTGTAGTGGTATTAACAGAGATATTGTGGTTTCTTTTAAACTTCTAGAAGATACGTACGTATGTACCGTGTGGGGCGAGGCAACAATCATTCATGTCGCTGACTGAGTCGTGCCGTGCGGTCCGAGCCTCGATCGGATGATGCACTCGCGGAAACTGTATTGCGGGAGCGGAGCATCTGCCCGCTTTCATCATTGTGCGACAACGTTCGCGGCCAGAGTGTGGATGCTCAAAAGCACTTTGGTGAGGCGAAAGTGGGGGTAAGGAACATTTGGAATAACTCCCTTGTACCACGCATATCAAGTGTCTGCCATTCATTCAATCTGAGACCTGAGGAGATAGTGTGTGGTTGGCCAGGGATGTCCCGGCTTCTTTGTTGATGCGGTCCAGTGCGTGTCGAGGGTGAGTGTCTTGGCGGGGTCGGTGGTTGTACGAGCGGGTGTCTCTCTCTCTCAATCTGTGTGAGAGATGAGCGATTGGATGGCGGTGAAAACGGTGTCAGGTGGATCAAGGACGATAGGCGTCTCTTCTTCTGCCTGCAGAGTGTCACGAAGTCGTGTAAAACTCTGGGACCAGAACTATGCAGAGTCAACGTCGCAGCCGCCCGGCTTGCCGATGAGCACGTTGCTGAGTGCGTCGAGAACTTCAAACTCCTCGAGAACGGCGCCGAAGCTAGTTTGTGCTTAGCTGTTGTGCTGTGATGATGTCTACATGTGCGTCAAGAAGGCCAGCTTCACTTACCCGTAGCAGTGGACCTTTGCAAGTAGCTCCTCCTTGACCTGGACAAAGTCTGCCTTGTTGAGGTCCCTGAGCCGGTCATGCTTCAAGATCATGACCCAAGCCATCATGGGCGTGAGCTCGCCCTCGAGGTGGAACTGATGGCTCAGGTCAAGCAGCCCCTTGAGCAGGTCCGAGAGAACGATGCCCTCGGGCAGCTGGAGCGGATATGGCTCCGTGGGCTTGTCGCGGATGTGGGCGGCAGGAGGACACGAGGCCATGAGAGCGTGGCCAGAGATGTCTTCGTCGGCTCCAGTCGCTGAATGGACGTGAAGCATCTGCATGTGATCCATGCATGGTCGTTCGAGGCTGCGCAAAGGACGTCAGCCGATATGTGCTCAGCATGTTTTTTTTTTAAATATGTGAGGCGAGCGAGGAGGGATCAAGCCTTCCCACGGCGAAGCGTACACTTCACTGGGGTGGAGGCGATGGGTATGGTGGGTGGGCTTGGCCATCGTACGTTAAAACAAAATCCATGCCAATCTCATCATAGTTGAGTGCTGCTCCACCGTGCTCGCTCATCTGGCCGTGGTTTGGATGGTGTCGCGGTGGAATGGGCAAGTTGTGAGCCGGATGAGTGTCTGGGTGTCGTGGAGGCGAGGTGAAACCTGTGGATGACGAGTTCGGAGCGTAGCCGGTAGAGGCGCTGCCAGAGGTGCTTGGTGTATAGCTTGTCGTATTGTTAAAGGCTGGAGGTGTAGTAGTCATGTCGACATGCACACCATGCTGGGCAAGTAGCGCTCTCAGGCGTCGGTTCTCCTCTATGGCGGCATCACGTTCGCGGTTGTTGGAGGCCATGGCATCGCGTAACCGAACAACCTCTTGCTCGAGCTGCTTGATGTACATCTCCTTGCGTTCACGGTGCGTTCTGACGGAGAAATCAGGCGACTGGACAGAAGCACGCTGGATAGCAGATGGAATACATACCGCTGAGCCTGTCGATTTAGTTCCTGACGCCTGGTCAAAGCAGGCTTGGAGTCTGGCTTTGGCCCTCTCCTCTTCGCAGGTTGGCCATCTAAGTCTGGATTAGTAAAGGTGATCTATCAGGATGCAGGTGCAGACGTCTGACCTCGAGTCGTCTTCTTTTCGCCGGTAAGATTTTTGAAGAACCCAAAGGTTGCTAGCGGACTTCTTGAGCTGTTTGATTCGGAAGCTGTTGAGGTCCAACGCCCTACAGGCTCACAACCCCGACCGGCACCAACCATGCTGTCCCGCCGAGTCAGGTGACCAAGACTACTCTCCGGAGGAATGAAGCGCTGGTACAGCTGGGACGGCGGGACTTGTGGTGGTGGCGGGTTCAAGGGCGTGAGCAGGGGCGAAAAGGTCAGCCCATCATGCCAATCAATGTTGAGAGGAGCAAAATTCAAGTTCGAATGGAAAGACATGGTTCGTAGAGGCAAGTGGATTGGGGGAAGGGGGAAGCAAGGGACAAGGCGGGAGGCATGTAATGGGAGCAGTAGTGGAGAGGTTACAAGACAGTGCAGTAAGGGGGAGGAGAGCAGCAGATAAAGAAGTGGTGAAGCATGGGTATGTGTATAGAGGGAGAGTATAGGGCAGCGGATAGCAGGACGAGAAGGAGACACAGAAAGCGGTAGATTGAACTGATTGTACGAGGGCCAGTGTCAGAGAGGCATGGTGCCGAGAGCCAAAGCGGTAGGATGCTTGGGCTGGACTGGAGCGATAGCTGAATGCTGATGGACGAGTAGCAGAAAGATGGAGAGCTGGAGAGCTGGATGTGAGGGAGTAGGACAAGACAGGAGGGCAGAGTGATGGCCTGCGCATGTTTGGGTACACGGTGTAGTGCAGGTGGCGTGTGCGCGCGAAGAAGTGGAAGTGATGTACAGAAGGCGAGGAGGGATTACTTTTCCTGGAGCAGCAATCGATTGTACGACAAGGGAGGCAAGCAAAGCAAGAGGAAGAAGAATAAGAAGAAGAGAGAGAGAGAGAGAGAGAGAGAGAGAAAAGGCTCGACGTACCATGTCCATTGTCGTGGTCGTAGCTGGCCTGAGCCATGTTGGTATCAACAGGCTCCATGGATTCAACGACGTGATGATGGTGCTGATGATGATGATGAGGGTGGTGGTGGATTGGAGAAAGGGTGGTCATGTTAGGCGAGATGCATTGGTTGGATGGATGGTGAAGAGGTAAAGGGTGGACAATGACTATAGAGTGTAGTGATGATTGCGTAGGGCTGTGTCAGGAAGAAAAGGTGTGTATAAGAGGCGTGAGACAGAGCAGAGGTGGAATGATGTGATTGATGAAAGGAGAGGCAGCAGTGGTGATGGTGTATATGTGTGTATGTAGGGCGGGCGTGTGTGTGTATATGTGTGTATGTAAGTATGTGATGTAGTGTGTATGTAGTGTGTAATAGTGAGAGAGTAAGGTAGGGAGCAGTAGAAGCGAGTGAGGATGGACGATGGAGTGTGTGATATTTCCACCACGACGTCGCCCCGGAGGTCGGCAGGCGATGAGCGGCTAAGCCGAAAGAGGCAGACTTTGTGAATTCTGGATTTGTTCTCTCTCAAGGTCGATCTCGGGAGGTCGGGAGTAAAGGTGCGAGAGGCTGTGGGTGGTCAATGTGGTGATGGGTGCTGATGCTGGTAATTAGTGGGAGTGGCTGTTGTGGGAGTCAAAGTGGTAATACTGTAGTGGTAGCGGTCATGGTTAGGGGGGTGAGGGAAGAGTGGGGCGGCGGCGCAGTGGGAGTGGGAGTGGTAATAGTGGTAATAGTGGGAATGAGGCGCTCTAGACTTTTGCCCGCTTACTCTCTCCCTCTCTCTCGCCAGGGGGGCCAGCAGAGTGGCATGATTGAAAGTTCGACTTACCTCCTGTTTTGTTTTAATTAATTGTCTAATTGTGATGATCGATATGGATGCTAATGCTGTTGTCCATGTTGCTGTTGAGGTTGGTGCTAGGTAGTGCTGGATGATCTATCGGATTAGTGATTCGGACTGAGTTAACGACAAGCGGGCCCCCTCCAGGGATGTTCAATAAATACTGTTTGTAGGCAGAGAATGAACAAGACCTGCTGCCCATTGGATAATTAGTTGACAGAGGGCTCGATCGTTGCAGGTACTGGACCGACGATACGTACGGTAGGCTTGTTGATAGCTGTGGTCAACACTCCAGGCCAAGGGTGCTTTTCTTGGCTTTGCTATACTTGACTTGCTTGCTTGCCTCGCTCGCGTCTCAGCAAACGGTCCAGGTTAGTTCGTCTCGTAGAAGTATTTGAAATTCTGTAACATCCGAGCGTGAGGAACGAAGAAAGAGAGTAGACTAGTTGGCGGATTTGTGCTGGCGCGGCTGATCTGGGAGCTAAAAGACGGGGGATTGTCCCTTTGTCCAGTCGTGTGTGCTTTTGATGAGAAGCTGTGAGAGCCCTGCGAGCCCTGTAGGAGGCCCTGTGCCGCACCTGTCACGCACCAGCTGCTCGGGTTCTGCCGCTAACTTGGCGTCTGTGTGTAGTTGTATAGGTATAGTAGGTTATGGTATGTGGGATGCTGGCGACAACAACATATCAATTGTTTGCGTGACTATTGTTGTTGTTGTGGATGTGATTGTGGATAATGGTATGGTGGTAATTAGCGGTGTTTGTCGCCCAGGGTTTCGCGCCTGGGCCTGCTTAAACGGGTGCGCAGAGTCAGGTACAGCTACGGGTACAGGCTATCCCGACCCTAAGCCACCTCGTCTATTCTGTAGTCTGTACAGTGATAATTAATAGTCTATACAATGTAGACGCCAGTGCTGTCAATTACTGATGTTCACAGGATTGTGAAGACTGAACGACGACGACGACGATGATTGTAATAATGACAATAATGATTCAGGAATCAGGACTTGCTTTATTAGTCTGATACGAGCGAAGAGTGGAGTGATGGCGCAAGTGATTGGATGGGAGATGCTCTGGGAGTCTCGTCTTTTCTGCGTGCGGAGAGAGCGTGGACGACGGTTCGCGGTTCGCGGTTCACGGTTCACGGGAAATGGTAACAGAAAACGGTAGACGTTAGACCACCCTGTCTAGTCACTCCACTATACGGGAAACGATAATTATGTCGGCGTCGGCGTCGGCAGGCATTATCTTGGTACAGACATGACATGGACGGTATTATAGAGTACTACTAGGTAGCGTCCAACACCTCAACTATAGAGAGGCCTGCACCGAGCAAGGTATAATTATATTATGCCATGTATGTATGTCTACGCTCTTTGTGCAAATCTCGACCGATCACTCATACTCTTGATCCTTGCATCTTGACCTGAGAAACGGCCGTAAAGTAATTACAACACAAGCATACTTCACTCTTTCTATGCAGAGCCAACAACAGCCTGCATCACGACGTCAACCTGCTGCGGATAAAGAACCAGGCCAGGATGATGCCACCCACTGCCCAGCATTGCTGCAGGCCAGAGGTCGCCGACCACCTATATCTGACGTTAATTCGCCAGTCGACAAGTAATCAGAACGAGACCCTGCGGATCATGCATCCATCTATCCATCTATCCATCTATCGTTGACCAGATGCTGCCGACTACTGCACGTTCCCTTCTCCCCGTTGGGCTGACTCTGTGCCTGAGGCATCCACATCTCATCTCTCACTGCGCTATTCCACATCGGCTCTAGTCCTCCATATCCCATTCCTGTGACATTATCTCTCACACACACACACACACACAACCTCACCATCACAACAACCACCACCACCCAAAAGCCATCACCGTCGCTGTCTTCACACTCAACTCTCTTCATTCCCTCCTCTATACCTCTCTATCGCTCTCGTCTTCATGTGTCGACCTTCTCGCTCTCTCCACTACCGCTGCCACTCTGCTCTTCTAGACACGCCTCGTCCTGTATGACCATGCCGCCTCCTCCACCTTCCGTAGCCTCATCCAGCCACGCTTCTATCTTTACAAGTCTGGCTGCCCACATACGCGGCTCAATCATCATCACTCCATGGCTGCTCTATCTGCTTGCTGCTGATGTCGCCTTGTCTCTGCTGCTGCCTGTCAAGCTCGTCCTCCCCACTCCCACTTATCACCTGTGCTCCCTTATAGCCGGCTCCGTCTGGGCTTGGATCCAGCACATCTTCGTAGACTACAACAACGCCAACATCATTGTCGAGTCCAATACCGACGGTGCTACCATCCCGTTCCGAGAATCTGCCATTGTCGTTGCCAATCATGTCTCGTGGACTGACTTCTACCTCATCCAAGACCTGGCTCAACGCGCCGGCATGCTGAGCCGATGCAGGTGGTTTGCTAAGAAGTCACTCAGATGGGTGCCTTTTCTCGGCTGGGGGCTCTGGGCTATGGGTATGCCTCTTGTGAGTAGGAAATGGACCTCTGACCGTCGTGAGCTGAACAAGGTCTTTGATGGAATCGTGCAACGGAAGTGGCCAGTGTGTGAGTCTCGCACACTTCCGGCCCTGATTCTTGCTATTCTTGCTATTCTTGCTATTCTTGCTATTCTTGCTATTCTTCTTCTTCTTCGTCAGACCAGCTAACCCGCTCTGCAGGGCTCATCTCCTACAGCGAGGGCACCCGCTTCACTCGGCGTAAGCATGCCTCCACCCTATCCTTCTGCGAGTCCCGGAACCTGCCCATCCCAAAGCATACACTCTGGCCGAGAACCCGAGGCTTCGTGTCCACCGTCCAGGCTCTGCGCAAGACCTCGCATGTTCGCGCCGTCTACGACATGACCCTCGCCTACTCCTCACAAGGCTCCTTCATGACCGCCCCTAGCTTCTGGGCAACCATTGCTGCCCCGCTCAACGGAATTCGCGGTGATCTGTCCCGAGCAGGGCATCGCTTCTTTGTACGACTCGACAGATTCGACCTCGACGACCTTCCCGAGTCGGACGAAGAGCTCGGGCTGTGGCTCGAGAGTCGCTGGCTCGCCAAGGACAGGAAACTACAAGAGCTTGAAAGGATGTGGGAGCTTGATTGACGCCGACCGCCGTGACGTGACGACATCCACCCCGCCTGCTGTGCTCTGTCCTCGGGACTCCATGTTTCAGGTCTTGATTCCTGCTCACATTGCACTTGGGAATATCGCACATCCCTGTCGTATGACCGACCTGTCGTGCCACATCGACTTGTCCACCTCGCTCCGTTGGCCGCCTGTCAACGAGAACCCATTGACCGCTTGTCTGAGACGTCCATCACGTACTGTCCATCACTACTCACCCTCCAATACGCTGTCCGTCTCTGTCACCACTCTGAAACGAAGACTTTTCTTATCTCGACTTGGCTGGACGACACACCCACGGCTCTGCGTGTGAGGACAAACCTTGAAATTGGCGACTGGTTGTGTTCATGACAGTGTCGTAGCCTCGGCCAAGTAGCATGTGCATAGCATATCGCAATGTCGTCGTGGAGACAAATTCCATGGAAAGTCCCAGACTGTCTTGTGGGTATGCTTGATAGTGTCGCAGTCGCAGCCGGGCTGCGTGTGCGTAGCATATCACCGTGACAGCAGACCTTGACACCTTCGACTGGACACGCTATATATTGTGCGGTAGGCTGGGCCACGTAGCGCGCGCAAGAACTGTGCGCGCATATTATTCGGACATATCATGGAAAGCCTCGAAACTGTCTTATGGCCTGGCTTTAGACAGAGAAGCTGTCGCGGCCAAATAGTGTGTGCATACAATCTCGCGGCATAAACGTTTGAACGAAGCTATACAAACCTCGGACCTATCTTCTAGCTATGCTTCAAATAGCGTAGTAGTCGCTACCAAGCAGCGTGTATGTAGGATAATATTACTTTATCATTCAGATAAGGCTACGGTAATCCCTGAGGACCACCTCTAGCTGTGCTTGAAAGAGGCCCTTCATCTACCACATAGCGCCCATACCACAAACAGCCATGACTATTCACTCATCTGTCTATCCTAGAACTTACGAATTCTAATCATGGGAATCTAACTCCAGACGTCATCCATCGCTCGCCACTTCAAGACCTTCTGCTTCGAAGCACCACACTAAACACAATCTTCCTCCAGTATCTCTGCATCGAGACACCGACAGCATTCCCCCTCCCCTTCGAAATCCTCCACATCCGCGACAATCCCCACCTTGTCGACCGCTTTCGCCTCGACAACAAAGATCTAACCGCCGCGCTTCACGACATCAACCTCTCCTCCCCACTCCACTCTCCACACTCACCTCGTCGTCCCGGCCCACCCCGCTCAACAACCCACCGTCATCAATCTCGAATCTATCCCGACGCAGATACGCCAGCAGCTCCGGATCGCAATGCACACAAAAATACATCTAGACAGCGAGCCTGCATTCCCGCCTCTGGAGCGCCTTGATCCGCAGATACGCCTGCATGTGCTCGTCGTTTGGCATGCCTAGGTACCGAGCCCACAGCTGCTCGAGTATCTTTCTTGCTGTTAGCACTCGTGTCGTGTGCATGTCTGGCAGGTTGTTGGAGTGCTGGACACTCTCACCCTCGTTCACACTCTGTATCCCCTGCAGTCTCTTAAACAACACTGTCCGCTCTCGCGCAAGGGGGTGCGTGTGTCGGGCCATGTTTAGCTGGAGTTTTAATCGAGAGTGTAATGAGGGGATTGGGTCCGAGAAATGAGAATGCTGCAAGATAGATCTTAGTTGGGTAGGTATGGTATGGTATGGTATGGTATGGTTGAGGTATGGTAATACATGACTGTCGCATTAACATACTCCCACTCTCCGTGCCTTCCCTTCCCTTCTTTCCACATCATCGCGTCGAAATCACGACCCAGTCGCCAGCAGTTCCATGGAAAGAAAGGGTGCTTGGCCCGCCCCTACCCACGCGCAGCAGTCTCGATGGATCCTCCAAACCCGCCAACCAACCCTTTTTATTTTTTTCTCTCTCTCTCTTGGGCATGATGTCAGCGCTCTGAACCCTCCTCATCCGCCCCCGGGCCCTTCCTAGAAAGAAAGAAAGAGAAAATATATACTACCCACCAACTCAACTCAGGCGCTCTGAACAACAGCATAAATCCCCACTTAACACCACACTATCGCATCTCAATCCATGGATCTAGCATGGGGCATTGTAATATTCTGTCCTATCCTCGATGCCAAATTCCACATTCTCGATTCCGCACATACCCGTTCTATCTATCTATCCAGCCGGGTGTGCGTAATGGCTATATAAACACGCCCTTCCCATCCGTACCTGGGCTTGTTTCTACTTCCTCAAGATATACATATTCGCACTTCCATTTCCAATCTCGCGTATTATACACATACCTATCGTCACTATCCCACATACCCAGCAGCACACAACCCAACTCCCAACAACACCAAACACCACTATCCACCCTACCCACCAGCACACTATCCCCCTACCACAACACCATATACCCGCTTCCCACATACCCACCAGCACACTATCCCCCTACCACAACACCATATACCCGCTTCCCACATACCCACCAGCACAAACACACACCCATACCCACCCGCAAAACAAACGAAATGTGCAATCCAGCCCTGCACAACGCCGTCCGCGCCGCGTACCCGGGTATGCCCCCGCCTACCTGCCCGTACCACAGACGGCTTCTTGCCCGGCAGGATGCTGCTGCGCGGGTAGCGAGGAGTGTGGATGTGGGGTTTGGGGGTGGAGGGGGGGAGGGGTTGGAGGGGGATGTAGAGGGTGAGGGGGATTGTGAGGTAGAGGGGGAGGGGGATGAGGAGGGGGAAGGGGAAGGGGACGAGGAGGGGGATGAGGATGAAGAGGGGGATGAGGATGAGGAGTCAGAGGGGGATGAGGAAGAGGAAGAGGAGACGGAAGAGGAGACGGAAGAAGACCGAGACGCGCGTGTCGTGGCGTGGATCCGCGCGTTTCGGCGCAGGTACACGGCTGCAAGGGTCATTGTGGTGGTGGCTAGAGGGGCTGGCGGGTGTGATGCTTGTGTGGTATGTTTCTTTTCTCCTTTTTACTCTCCCTCCCTTTTCCCTTTTCCTATACCATACCTTTCTTTCGCTCTCCTTCCAAGGGGCTTTTGTTCTTTGTCCCGTTTTCAAGGGGCAAAGGGGCTAATACAGTGATACAAACAACAGGCCAGCGAGCCGTCTGCTACGGCCCGGCTGTGCGATTTGCACTTTGGCATCTTGATGGCTTTGGACAGGGCGGCGAGGTGGAATCGGGGGAGGGGCGTGGGGAAGAGTGTGTGGGAGGAGGAGGAGGAGGATGAGGGGGAGGATGAGAGTGAGACGGAGGGGGAGACGGAGGGGGAGACGGAGGGCGAGAGCGAGGACGAAAGCTCGGAGGGGGTGACTAAGAGCGAGGACGAGAGCTCGGAGGAGGAGACCTCAGACGAGGAAGGAGAAGAGAGCTCCTCAGACGAGACCTCAGACGAGAGCTCGGAGGAAAGCTCGGAGGAAAGCTTAGGCCAAAGCTCAGAGAAAAGCTCGGAGGAAAGCTCCGAAGAGGACAGCGGCAGCGAGAGCGAGGTGGACAGTTTGTATCTATACTAGATACATAGCATTGTAATTTGGAGTTCAGGGTTCGACATTCTCTAGTTTCTGACATGTACATGTGTGAATAATGCGCGATAGACGGTGTGATGTGTTGTATATGATGTAGAAAGGTCGTGGTAAGGAGCGGGTGTAGTATAGGGTTATGTGGATATGTGATACGGGAAGAGGGGTTGGGAGTATAGATGGTGGGGGATTAGGGAGTTTTACTGGTAGGAGAAAGTAGGACAAGGGGTATCTAGTAGAGAGTAGAGTAGTTCTACCTTTGGAAGATAGTCTCTAGATAGGTATATAATAGAAAAGAGAGGAGTTTTACTCTAGTTAGTATAGAATCTATTCTTCTTTAAGAATAAGAATAAGTAGATATTCTATTAGATAAGAAGGTTTAAGAGTATAGATAGTATAGAATTTAGTATTTCTACTATTAGAAGAGAGTAATTATAAGAGTATCTAGTATAGAGTTAGATAGGTTTACTATTAGAGAAGACGTTTAAAGATAGTACTTAGAATAGAGTTAAGTAGTTCTACTCTAAGTAGTATATAGAATATCTACTATCTAGTATCATAGTAAGTAAATATACTACTAGAGACGAGTATATAAAAGATTATCTAGTAGAAGCTTCGATAGCTTTTATTAAAGAGATAAGTAGATTAGAGTATATCTAGTATAATAGTATATAGATTTATCGCTAGAAGTAAGTAGTTACTAGTCTATCTAGTATAAGATTAAATAGTTCTACTCTAGTTAATATATAGTATATATACTCTTTAGTATAGAATTAATTAGCTCTACTATTAGAAATATATAAGTAATAGTATAGATAGTATAAGCCTAGATAGCTTGTCTTCTAGAAATTAGTAGTTAAAGGTATAGAAAGTATAAGTTTAGAAAGTTCTACTTTAGCTAGTAAATTAACTATCTATTATCTAGTATAAGATCGAGTAGATATACTAGTAGATAGATGTAGTTTAGAGAGTATCTAGTATATAGGTAAGCTATTCTACTACTAGAAGAGAGTAGTTATTACTATTACGGAACTTATAACAATAAAGTAAGCTCTAAAGATAGTAAGAGTAGGAACTACCTACTAGAACACTATATAGTTACTTGATGTAGACTTGGGAACTACATCAATTAGTTAGCCTTTACCAAGCGATGACTTACACTTGTCCTTAACAGTTACCGTAACTACTTCTGTATAAGTAATGTAGGCAATAGCTACCAGGCGGTCGGTTAATATAAAACAACCGACCGCAGACTAGATAGTGAATGACATGCTTTATAACTAACTTGTCTTTGAATTATCAAGTAACTCAATAGTAGTATAGAGTATATGTATTATAAGATTATATAGACGCCCATGGCGCCGACAGGCCACCCATTCCCCCGGTACCTCATAACGGGGACTTCACCGCAAGACAGCAAGCCACAATTATGGCTACTCATTCAGCAAACTCTCGCCCAACAAGCGGATATGCCTCGAGATAACGCACCGGACCTCGGTAGGTAACGGCGGAATATTCATGGTTCGACGATGGTAAAGACGGTCGTGGTTTCAGACTATAAGAGATTGGCTTTTTCTAACCTAACCTAGATCGAGGTTTCGGGGAAGGGGACGTTATTTTCGCCCGGCTCGGATACGTACATCTGTAACGTGTATATTTTCATTGATCGGGTTCTAATCATAAGACTAAGTAATTCTATTAGTAGAAGAGTATATCTAGGAGTATAGATAGTATAAGGCTAAGCAGTTCTACCAACACAAGAGGGTCCCTAAGATAGTGTCTTATAGAGATTTAAGTACTTCTATTCTACTCTCTATATGCTATATTAACCATCTAGTATAAGCCTACATAGATCTACTCCTAGAAGAGTGTAATTCCATATACATCTAGTAGAGAAATCTAGACTTCGATGTCTGGACGCCTCAACCCAGTATGCCAGGACACATACACACATGGGATGCGAATATTAGTACGGTGTGATATAGCAGAGCCGGTAGATTGTCTGTGTATTTGTATGCATATACACGTAACAGTGGGATATGTGCGGGTGCGCGAAAGAGGATATATACGCAACGCAACGCAACCGAACATCCCGATCTATCCAACACTACAAAAACCACAAATCCATATTCCCGGCCCAAGATATCTGGCGTCTACACTTCAAGACCATCGTGCACACTACTCCCTGCCCTTGCCCTTGCCCTTGTCCTTGACGACAACGTCCCGGTCACTTCCACTCCCACTCCCATCCCCCGCCTGCCCCTTGACCGCGTCCCGAGCTAGGTGCCGGCCCTCGACGACATTCCCGCCCCTGCCCAGCATGAGATGCTCGACATTAATCTTCGGCCCGGTAAACCAGTGCCGCGCGCTCCAGTACCACCACATCATGACAAACAGCATCGGCGCGCCGTAGCACAGCACCGTCCAGTTCATCTCGTCGAGCGTCAGCCGACTGCCCGTCAGCGCGGGAAAGCACAGCACCGGCACCATCAGCGCGACGAAGCCCAGCCCAACGACGCCGATCGGCACGCTCCAGCGCCCGAGATGCCAGGGTCCGCGGCGGAAGCGGTTGCCGACGAAGAAGACCTTGATGAAGATGGGGATGGTGAAGGAGACGAAGGAGGTGATGGCGCCGATGCTGAAGAGCGCGCCGACTGCGACGTCGCCGGCGAAGATCAGCAGTAGGAGGAGGTTCCCGATGAGTGCGTTGATCCAGACTGCGTTGACGGGTGTCTTGGCGCGCGGGTGCACGCGCGCCCAGTACTTGGAAAGGGGGAAGCAGCCGTCGCGGGCGTAGGCAAAGGTGACGCGGCTCGCGGCAATCATGCAGCCCTGGCCCATGAAGAAGCCTGCGACGATGGTGAGGCTGAGAATGGCGATGGCGATGCGCTGCGGGAGGCACTGGATCAGGTACGCGGCGTACGGGTCGCCGAGGTCCGAGTCGAGGGCGCCGGCGATATCGACGACGGTGTATGCGACGACGAGCTGCAGAAAGAAGCCGAATGTGCCGCCGGTGATGGACGTCAGCACGATGGCGCGTGGGGAGGCGATGCTTGCGTTGGAGCATTCCTCCGCGAGGTGGAAGGGCGAGTCGTAGCCGCTCATGGTCCAGATGACGGCGACAAAGGACATGAGCACGGCGAAGCCGGCGGGAAAGTCGGTGCCCGGGTAGATGGAGCCCCAGACTTCGGCGGAGGAGGTGAAGCGGGAGAGACCACGGGATTCTCGGTCTGTCGCGGCGGGAATGAGGATCACGACGACGATGAGGGCGACAAAGTTGAATGTAGAGCCCCAGGAGTTGATCTGGGCGATCCAGCGCGTGGGCATCGAGGAGATGATGGCGTGCAGGATCATGATAAACGTCGTCAGAAGGAAGACCTGATAGTTCTGCGGCGTATAGTCCGGGTTCACGATGCTCACAGCACCGAGCAACATGGCGGCGGTCCCGTAATTCACACTGGGAGCAGCAGTGATCTGGGACATCCAGTTACTCCATCCCGTGATCCAGGCAGCCAGCGCACCCCATCCCTCAGGCGCAAGAACAGCAGCGGCATAGTACAAGCCTCCCGACGTTGGCATGGAACTGCAGATTTCGGCCATGGACATGGCGACACACTGAAGGCCGAACATGGCCACGATCCATCCCCACGTCATGCCAGCGGTTCCAGCATATCCCATTCCATAGTACAGCGTGGATGCAAAGCTGGGAAGAAGCCCCAGCACGGCGAACGAGACGCTGAAGGTGGTGTAGAGGTTGAAGTCCCGCTTGAACTCGGGCTTGTAGCCCAGAGATGCGAGCAGTTCATCGTCGCTCGAAGAGAAGCCATGTGGGTCGAAGGCGATGTCACCGTCGGGAAGGACCGAAGTCACAGGCTCGTCGCCGACTGACTTTGCGCGGTAGTCTGGCAGGTCGGACGACGGAGACGAGGCGACCATTTCTGGCGGAATTGATTGTTCGAAAGCGGTATTTCGAGGGACGTGTTACTTCGGACGTAGACGCCAAGAGGCGTGAACGGCGGTAGCAGCAGTCACACGCGGTCTTGGGGATGAGAGCCAGATGGCGAAGTGAAGCATGGAAAAGAAGACTGGCGACGAGGAACAGAAGTCACAAAGGCACGCGAGCAGCGAGACGTCAGCGATAAGTAGCGTGGAGACGTCGATGGCGATGGCGATGTTGATGTGGATATGGCAGCAAGTTTTCTTCAGTGGGGTGGAGAACTGGAGAGCACTGAGCACTGATGAGTAGGAGTGTATGTGCTATGCCTTACAGGGTCCCGATCTGTGGTTCCTCTTCGCCTGGCCCCCGGAAGGATGCTGATGCTGCCCAATTGTCGCTACGTTTTCGCCGGATATGGATGTTTCGAGTGAATGGCAAATAACATGGATGCAAATCAAAGGGCGCATGCGCATGCAGCCCGGCGAAGGCGAGACTAATATGTTGTTGTATTGCACCACCAGGCAGGTGTAGTTCCAGTATCTATTCGGTGGTGCAACGTCAGGCTTGCGACAGCGTGTGGAGAGGAACTCGATACTGATCCTGATACCGTTGACGGATGACACCGATACGGGCTGGCCTGGTGGACGGTGGTTGTGATGGTGGCGGCGGCGGTGGTGTTGTTGTAGATAAGGGAGGCATCATGGTGCATGAAGGCGTCCTGGGCAGTGGGCCGCCCGTTTGGCCGCCTACATTATAGTATACAGGGAGTTATCTTGGGCGGGTTTTGCTGTGATATATCATCCATCGACATATCGCGATAACTGGTCAGCTCTGTAACGACCGCCGTCGAAATGCTCCAACACTAGGCCGATGCGTTGATGTGTGGTTGGTGATTGTTGATGTATATACAGAGAACAGTGAACGACAGAGGTGAGTGAGGGTCAGGGGTGGAGCCTCAGCAGCGCCATACCGCGACCCCACACAGGCTATATACACTCCGGCCCTCGCTGTAAATACCGACAGTGGGCACCGGTCCGCCGTGTGTGCATGCATGCTTGCTTTGGCCAATTCTGCGCTCCACTTCTTGTCATGGTACATACAACGCTTTTCTGCTCCTCAAGTCAGGCCGATACTGTAGCGCTTGTTCACTCACCCTCCTTGGGACTTTACCTGATATCAGGCATTACCATCGCTGACTCGAACGACCACTTACCCACACTTTAGCTCACGAGAGCCCTGGCGAGCAGTTATGGCTGTAGGCTGAGCTGTCTGCCACCTTGAGCCCGCACGTCTTGGACAACGATTGTAGAGAAGTGGAGTAGAGGAGCGCATGGTCGACTGCCTGCTGTCAGGACCATGCAACCTCCTGCTGAAAGAGTCTAGAATTGAAGCCTATGTATACAAAAAATATGTCGTTCGTTGCCATGGTATAGAAATATCTCTCTCAAGTCCAATGACTTCTGTCTCGCTGGGTATAAGCATGTCTTCTCACGCGTGAATCTGACAAAAGAACTCGCTGGCTGTGCTGTGTGTCTAATGGGACTGAATGAGAACACGTCAAATCTCTTCATGGCGCGCTCCAAATACGTGGACAAAAACAAAAGAAACCCTGTCAGGAATTATTTCCTCTCTCCGTTGAAGAACTGTGTCCGGGTGAAGAGCTGGCTCGCTCGACTCTTCTTCCACCCTCTCTCCCTCTTCCCCAGTTCCGTCTCCCATGGCACTTCCTCGTTCTTCTTCAGTAAGCCCCCGAGGCCCAAACGCTCTTTCGGACTCTGCATCCATCGCAGTGAAAGAATCGATGGAGTCACCGACGGAGTCACCGACGCCATGCTCTCCATCGATCCTCGCCGTTGATGTGGCGGAAGCAATGATTTCGATGTGACCGGCTGAGCTTGAGCCTCAGTTTCGGAATATGCCAAGGACTGCAGCGCTGGCCGAGACGCATGCTTGCGCGAGGTCTTTGCTGCAGCTTGAAATGCGCGCTGTGGCTTGAGGGAAGCCTTTACTGCGGCTTGTGGTGTACGCTCTGATGTAGGCTTTATTGAAGTCTTTGCCTCAGCCTCGGGTGCACATTCTGATGTTGGCTTGATGTCGGCGACCACTGCAATCGTTGACATGACACACCCTTCCGAGATGGGTGAGATGGGCCGTGGTCGCGAAAAGTTCAACGTCGGCGATGTCGACCGGCTGGTGTTGCTCGACTGCTGTTGCGACTCGACGGATATTGAGCGCGACTTGATATAGGATGGCATCTTGTAGACTTGTGAAACAGTCATCGTCTCCTCGAGTACGGCACCAGGCGAAGAAGATACTACTAGTGTTGGGACTTCGTAGTCGGCCTGTGTTTCTACCTCTGTGTGGATTTCGCTGACGAAGATCTCTGGAGCCGAAGGTAAAGCGAATGTCGGCGTCTGGCAGTCATCCTCTCCTTCCTCCTCGCTCCCAAAGGTCTCTGGTGCCGTCTCCGTTACCAGTGTCGGTGGCGGAGAATCTGCTCGAAACGATGCTTCTTCTGGTGATAGCTCTGGCCATGGTCCCGACAGTAAGTTTGCTCCATTGGTAAACTCAGCTGAAGTCGGAGTCAATGAGAAGGTCTCGCGAAGCGGGCTTCTTGCCGGTACAGGAGGAGGAGGCTCCAGATGAACGTCACTGCCACCATCAAAGATTGCTGATACAGGCGTGTCCGGAAGCTGTAGCTCATTTGCCTCGCCGGCAAGAAATGCTGGATCCCCGGTAGGTATGTGGATAATCGTGATCGGTCGCTCTCTGAACTGGTCATCTCCAAAGTCAGCCTTCGTGAGAGATCCCAGCCCATAATCCATAATGGGACTTTCTGCAACAATTGTCCGATCTTCGGAAGGCGCCAAAGATTCTTCCGAACGTTTCGAGGCTAGCGTTAAGCTCTCCGCACATCGTCGGGAGCTAGATAGCGAGCTTCGACGGACGGATAGCAAAGAATAAGCTGCGGTAGCATCGTGGGCGTCGGCATTGAACTGTGTTGTATAGGGTGGAGGCGTATCTCTCATGCGGATGGCGGGAGGTGCCGCGTCATCTTCAGAATCTTCGTCGGCCGGCGACGCATAGACGGTGGGAGCAAGAATGCTTTCCGCATCCGGCTGTCGCATGATCCTCCCCGAGTCAAGTGACACACCTTTGAACAAAGACTTCCGTCTACTCAAGGTCGTGCGAACATTTTGGACCGTCGGGGCGGGACAGCTGTTGCTTCGGTGCCTGCTTGTTTGTATTTCCACATTCGAAAAGTCAGCGATGAATTGGTCCATGGCTCCGGACTCCACCTCATGCCCTGGCTGGACACTCTCTGTCGGACTTGGGGGCGCTGTTTCCAGCCCGCCCGAATACATCGATCCCAAGGAAAGATCAGTCTCGGATTCAGGCTCTTCGGCGATGGGATGCGCAATATCTGCCATATTCGAATCTGGCAAGAGGAGGCTATCAAAGTACGGTTGGGGGCCCAGCTTCTCCTCGTCAGGTGAAGCCAGATGATCAGATGGCTCGCCATCCCAACATCGCGAGTGCAGCGACATTGGTGTTGAAGGCACGGTAGGAGTCACTATTCGCTCGTATAGGAACGAGTACATCTGAGCGGGAGTGATTGGAGACGGTTCTGCAGGTGTACTTTGCTGGGAGCGTGTAGCAGAAGACCGCCAGGTTGCATACGATTCGCGAATAGGACTTTTCGAAGCTGGAAGCGCCAGGCTGGACATCGCAGTTGGGGTCTTGTTACCTATGCTGGTCATGGAACGAGCACTTCTGATTGCGGGCGAGCGAGAACCACCAGCGCGAACAGCCGCTCGGTTGTCGTGAGAAGTTGGTCCGGCCTGTAAAGCCAGAGGTTGACCTCGCCATCTGGACTTGAATTTGGGAGGATTGTCTGAAGGTTGGGTTTGCGATCTGCTGGAAGTCCTTGGGCGATTTGTTTTTGCGTTGGCTGGCATGATGGTGGGAGTTCCGTGAGTGTCATCGCCGCCACGGACAGAATTGATGGTGGACCGACTCTTTTTCTTCTTCGGCAGCGTGGACAGACCAGTTGCTGAGGTTCGGAGATCCATGGAGGACAGCGACAAGTCCGGATTATGGTAGAAAGGGGTGGGCAGAACTTTGGGTCTACCGTCGTTGGTGTAGTAGTCGTTGAGGGTCAATGGTCCATTGTTATCATGTGAAGTACTTCTGAATCCGTTCGAAGCCGGCGGCAAGGGAATTGAGGACGAGACAGGAATGCGAGATGGTGCATAAGTATTATTATGACCTGTTGAATATGGCATGGCGGGTTAGTGCTTTGGCTGCAGGATGCGCCGGTAGTTAGTCTGCACCACACTTCGACCGTAACCCTGAACTAGTGGGCCGGCAAGTCAGGGCGAGTGATTGGTGTGACCGTGTTTGTGTATAGCGGGAGCAGCTAATAGCGCTGGAGCGAGCGATAGGATAAAGGGAGTGGATTTGTGAAATCGATGTTCGAGGGGGTGAAAGAAGAGTCAAGACCTCGGCGACGGACAGGAACAGACAAACCACCTTGATATGAGAAACCGTCGTATATAATAATAGTCCAAGCAGCCAGCACACACGCTCACGAAACAAGTGCACGCCTTTTTTAAAGTTCCCCGACAGAAAGCATGCTGTCGCCCAGGGATATGGCCTCAAGGGCAGAAAAAGCGTAATAAAGGCACAAGACATCTAGGATTGCCTGCCCAAGCCCACTCAGCTCCTGCATTCTGCATGCGGGGGGTTGCAGAGAGTGAAAGTGTGTACAATTTAGAATCTACCGATCCAGGGACAGGGACACTGGCAAAGAGCCGACGGTGCAGATGCAACAGGACAACAACGAATCAACAGTCAGGACACATCCGGTTTCAGCACTTGGTCGATGCAGGGGCACAAGTATTACTCAAAGTGAGAATGGACTAGTGTAGTGATCGGCCGCTTGGGGGTGTCGGCGGCTGGTTCGGTTGGTTGTTGTCAAGATGTGATGATTATTATTCCATGTCGGGTCAGTCCACGTCCATTCACTCACTACTGTCCTGGTCCTGGCTGCCGCATAGATAGCACGTACATAGCATGGCTACCATTGCTCGAAACAAACTTTAATCTGCGGCAGTCGATGCGATGTTAAAATGGCAGCATACAAACATAAAGCTGCATCAGCGCGGCTCCAGGTCAGATCATCTGCCCTGAGAGTGAGAGACGAGACAGATTCGAGAAAACGTTCCTTGCGTGGATCATTCCATGGTTCATCTCAGATCGCTGCCGGCGAGCTAGGAGAGTTTATTTGATTTCCACGATCCACCCCTGGCTCCATCATCACGACCAAAGGATGCCGTGTCATGTCGTGACTTTGGCCTTGGCCTCCCCAACTACCAGATGATCCATTCTTTCATCCACCCATTCCGTCCAGACGCAGATAATTAGTGAACCGATCTGATATTCGCGATTAAGCCACACCTGCTCGGCGTCGTGCTATCGGGGCTTGATGTGGAGAGTTTTACAACATGCCCTCGTAGCAATTTCCTTCCACTCAGCTTCCAGGGATGCTTACGTAGCCAGTACGGCTTGTGGCTGTATCTGTGTTAATGAATAGAAGTCTCGATCGAAGGCTTTCCTGAACATGGTCCCATGGTCCTGGCCTTCTGGTGCCTGTGCCTGTGCCTGTGCCTGGAGATCCCCAGGTAGGGAGTTGATTAGTTACTTAGCTTAGGGTCTTGGGTGCACTAAACAGCAGCCAACAACGTCGAGGCAGGGCGAAAATGCTGGCTAAACGCTCCGGCTTTCTTCTGAGGCGTAGGCGCCACATGTGGAGAAAAGACAGCTTGTTGTTTTGTTTCATTCTTCTCAATAGCGTCTTGCATAATCCAGCTCGTTCGAGCCAATGGCCTTTCACTGCCCATAAAAGGCCCTGGCTATTACCCGCCCAGACTCCATTCCAGGCCGCGGAAGTAGAGTATCCTGCCATCCCCGGATTACTGACGGTGACGGTGAAGCGGCCCATGCCGGTCAATCCTTTAGGAATTCGTTGCATATTGGTTGCCTTGATTAAACATGTGAAATAGATAGTCAAGATGCTGAATCCGTTCCGACTGTGACAGCTCACGCATACAATCATGTACTATAGTAGTTTTTCAAATAACGTAATCTGGAATAATCGATAGTCCTCCCATCGGATTCCTTTTTCCTTCCCTTGTGTGACAGGGTAGCATTCCTGCATCCCGGGAGAATGGTGACGAGGATCTTGGACTGGCACGTCAACAAGGCCCAGGGATTTGGAAAGCAGATAAAAAGCAAGTCAGGCAGTTGGGGTGTTGTTATTATTATGATAGGAATGTAATAAACATAGCATCCGTACGTACGTACCCATGCCAGGTAAGGGAATGATGGATCATGGCTGGCTGTGTTGAGTGGATGCATGGCTTGAAAATGGCTGAAATGGCTGAAGTAGCAAGGGCGAGTTTTGGCATCCGGGCGGCACTAATGGAACTTCCTCCACAGCCCTGGAACGATCTCCCCACCAACACCAAACACTTTCACACTTTCACTGCATTATTCACTTGCGTCAGTAGTCAGAGTGAGGCGAAGCTCCAACAGCACGACGCGTCGTCGCTTAGCCGATTTCTCGTGTCGCGCCTATCGTCATCTCCACATTCCGATCTCACTCATTCTTCGTCGTTCTCTTCTGCTTCCAGAGTCATGTCAGCTCCCAGTCTGCCTCCGCCAAGCAGAGATGCGGCATCTTCAGGCTGCCTTCCAACGCCGTTGCAGACTTCGACCGATGACGAACAACACAGCACTCCTGATCCTCCTGGACCTCCTGGGGAACCGCAAGCCGATGACCTAGAAAAGCCTCCAGAGTCTCCCTTGACTCCAACCGCCTCTTTTGCAGAGTTGCCAAAGCCAGGACCTCAAAAGTCCAGCTTGCCCTGCCCACAACGCAAGCCTAAGACTACGTTTCCTGCTTCTGATCCTGTCTTGATCGATCAGCCTCAACCCATTCCAATCTCCGACTTTGATGCCGAGACAGACGTGTTGGCCATCCGATCAGCCATTTCCATTCTTCAGATCCAGCGCCAGAAGGCACAGAATGATATCAAGACTCTCGAGCGCATCAAGAAGGCTGCTGTCGCAAGCCCTGAAGAATTTGTTGAAGAACTGAAGTCTGGTCGCACGAGGACACATTTTCCCCAGAATGACTATTTAGGTCCTACTCTAGCCAAGGATTCTACGAACCATGATGATATCACCATGTCAGAGGACGAGAGCGAGCGCGCATCGAATCAAGCCTCGAAGTTCCCGCGAATACCTCAACGACAGAACGTGGTGCGTGTACCGCCTATCAACTGGGACAAGTATCAGCTTGTTGGGGAGTCACTAGACAAGCTTCACGAGCAGCAGAGAAAAGCGCCCAGTTCCCAATGGTCGAAAGACGCCCCGAACGCCCCAGATTATGTCGTTGCAGCCCCGTGGTCGCCTGCTGACAAAATTGATTCGACGACACCTTCGCAACGCAAAGATTCCAAAAAGGCTGCGTGAGGGACGAGAACGTACAGAGATCTCTGTAAAGCTCCAACCGCACATACTACCCGCTCGTAGTTGCACGCAGCAAAAGCATGGATAGTCACGAGTATCATTAACATATTCGCACAATGCGCAAGTCGTATGTACAGCACATTCGACATTATCATGGCTCGTGCCGAGGTACTTAGCATGTCGAGACACTGATAAACAACCTCACAATATCTACAGCGTTGTTCATGCATGGTACATGCCAACAAGGACAATGTGGTTTTACTTGAAGATGATAGGCTGTTGCCGCAAAGGATGCACAAATACTCTTTTATAATGAAGTCATAGCCAACAATCCCGGCGTGTCAACTCTTCTGACGAAGCAGAGCGTTGAACGTTGTGGAGCCGCCCACGAGTCAATCAATGAGCTCGTGTCGCGCGCTTGGTGAAGCTTGTTTAGCATCCCTACCAATGACGCAGCATGATAGGACAAACGTAGCCCATTTGAACAAAGACAGCTGCCAAACATGCTACACGATCCTGTTTCCGGCGATACGCGACGTCAAATATGCTGGGATCAGTCGTGTTACCAGCTATATTCCCTGATCAGGACTCATTCACCCTTCGCCTTGGCCTGCGTAATCGGCCATTTAGGGGTCTCTTTGTTCGTGAAATATGTGAATAAAGTATCGCACGTCCTTCACAGCATGAGCTTCTGTCATATATATCTATATACGTGCAACGTCCCTCAACGATATATACTTAGGTTCTCATTTCGATTGCTGCCAAATACAATATCTCAAAATGCGATTTCAAGCCCTCGTGCCTGTCATTTGCTCCCTCGTAGCTTTCATCCTATCGTTCCTATGTCTCTTCGCGGGAAATAAGCCTGGTTTTATGGAGGACTACAGTCTAATCACTGTCAGTATCCATGATCGTCACTCCAATTCAAGCTATTAATTCCACACCAGATCAACACATCCACGATCGGTCAGGGCTACGTTGACGAGCTCCTCACCAGCGACTCTGACAACCCCCTCGCCGACATCTGGAACCAAATCAGCGAACCTATAGCTGATGCACTCGACGATGGCCTCGAATCGGTTACCGAAGCCCTCGGCCTACAGGACTGGTACTCAGCCCATCTCATGAATTATTGCGACGGCACATACACGCCGACTAGCCAGCCCAACGCCACCATCTCCTCAAGCGACATCCACCAGAACATCAGCAACTGCTCGTCCGCAGCCGCGCTATTCAGCTTCAACCCGAGAGTGGCCCTGGAGCAGAATCTGAATAAGACACGCCTGAACATCACACTCGATGAACTGCACTGGCCCAGCGCGATCGACGACGCAGTAAGCACGCTGCGTGGCGCGTACGAGGCTGTTTTTGTGCTCTACTGTCTCGCCATCGGACTGATATTCTTCTCCTTACTTGGTAGCCTTGTGGGCATCCTCGCTCTAGGCCGTTACACCGCTCTCGGGAATGTTGTACTAGCTGGGCTGGCGTTCCTGGCGGTTGGGCTGGCGAGTGCAGTTGTCACGGCCGTCATTGAGATTGGTGGGAATGCCATTAATAAGTATGGTAACGATGTCAGTATAGAGGCGAAGAAGGGCAGCAAGTTCCTGGCCCTGACATGGGTCGCTACTGCGTTGATGTTTGTGTCAATGGGGACTTGGGTAGTGTTTTGGGTCTTGGGGAGGAGACATTCGAAGAGGGTGTCGGAGAAAGGTTATAGCTCTTAGGCATCCGTGTTATGGAGGAAAGTAGGCGTCGGTCATGAGTTATGGTTTTGTTTTATCTGTTGAGTCACCTTTTAGGAACATTCTGGCGTGGATGACACAGGGCGAGCGCGATACCCATGTTTCAAAACTCTTAATACATAATCTAGCTATAGACATTTACTGAATCACTACCAGGTTAAAAAAAATTGTATATGTTGAGTTGTGTGAGTATTAGGTCGGAGACGCGGTCACGAGCATTTGCAGGCGCCGACGAGTGCCTAGTAATTAGCACCATGCAGACATAACAGAGGGCCCTCCCTCCCGGAACGTGCAAGCTAATCATCCATGGGGGCGACCTCACGTTTCTTCCCACATCAACACACAACGTCGTCAACACATAATACATCCTATCCACCTCTGTTCTCTCCCACGATGTGCAATTCTACAAGCAAAGTAGCATAGTGGAGACTGCCGAGCTGGCACTTGCCTGCTGTCGCCTTCACTTACCGCCTCCATTTCCGACCTGCCGACCACCCCGTGAGTACCGATCACCTCCTCGTCCACGGAGCACCCGCTATCTACCTACCCAATCCTCTGTTCCCAGACGGTTCAATCAACTATCATCCTGGATCTCGTCGGCGGCTTCATCATCATCAATCATCATCACCATGCCAGGCCGACTCGATGCCGCTTCAGGCGCCCTAGGCAAGCGGAAGAGGACAGACGACCCTTCCGATAAACACGCTGCAGCGTACGTATATTACCATCCAAAACCTTCCTTAGACGCGGGTGCTCAATCATACCACGTACAGTATCCTCAAAGCAAAAAGCAGCTCCCTCAGCCTATCCGACCACATGGCCCTCGACACCACCGCTCTCCCGCCATCCCTCTTCGCCCTGAGCCCCCAAACATCAGCAGCACAAAACACATCTCAATCCCAAGCACACCAACCGCCGCCTCGAAGCCGCCGTAAACTCATCCACCGCATCTCCCCAATATCCATACACCCTGCTCCCTCAGCGCCACTACATGTGCTCTCCAAAGTCCTCCAGACGCCCTGCCATCGCTGCCATAAAGCACCCCTGCAGAAGACCGATCTGTCCTCCTATACCGACTGCGCCCGCTGTACAGAGCGCACCTGCGTTGTGTGTATACGGCAGTGTGCATGTGGGCGCAAGATCTGTGCTGACTGTAGTGTTGAAGAGGGCGTGGACGGCGACGTGTACTGTCTCGACTGCTTCGGCGCAATACAAGATGTCGACATAACGGGGTCTGAAGAGGCCTGCGGGGGTACAACTTTCGAGGACAGTGGTCGGATGGCGGATGTGGATCGGGAAATGGAAGAAGGGTGATATTAGAGTGAAGTGAAGGTTGGGTGCAGAAGATGGACCCTGGGTTCTGTCGATTTCCCACGAGGCGGAGGACTCGTGGGTGCCATGCGAGAGGGACAAAGGGGACAGTCCCGACAGGGCACGATCTGAACGAGACGGGTATATTGACAACATTGTTTATCGCCACGTGCACCCACGCGACATTGTTCAGGCGGCCTTTGTTTTGCGTTTTCAAACGGGTCATGTCACAGAACCGGCGTTTCGAGCTTTCGCCTCTGGAGCATCCTCGTTTTGCGTCTTTTCAGATTACTCTTTCAAACCTGCGCGTCGAAACGCGACATATCCTCAGTATCATCCCGTCCAGATTAACAACGATATGATATCCTTTCCGAGCGCTTGGTTGTCTATTCACGCATGTACATATTCATGAGGCGAAGTGCGGTCTACATAGCTTAGCGATTTGCACATATCTTATGTCTTGTTCTTTGCTTGTTCGAATCTCCCAGATATATCTTTATTTTCTCACTATGAGAGACCATTGTCCGTATCCATATATATATGAATATATATATATATATATATATATATGATCTAATAGTACGCCCCTACGCCCTCCGGAAACGCTCCTGGCACTACGCTATCGTCGTCCCCACTACTCTCCCCTTCCTCGACCCGGTCCCCGCTCTCCGGCGGCGCCCTCATCCGCGCAACCTCCTCCGCATCCAAGACCGGCACCTTCCACGGCCTCAACATCTCCCTCAACGGATCCCGCCCACTCGGCATCCCCGCCAGTAGCGCCGCATACCCAGGTATCGTCTGCACCCCAATCGTATCATTCGTCTTCATCCACTTCCTCTCCAGATCGTCCAGTATCAGCGCCTCCTCGGCACGCCCGCCGTCCGCACCCCACGCCGTATGCGTCTGCACCTTCTTCGCCTCGCGGCTCTCCTTCCATGAGCTCTTCAGCTTCGCCAACCCGCTGCGCTTGGCCCCCGTGTCCGCGTCCGCGTCTTCGCTGCCGGCCACGGCCAAGCCCAGCTCGGTCTTCGCGCCGCGTAGCCATGCGATGCCAAGCCCGACTTTCGCATCTGCTTCGGCGTCGACGCCGAGGAATCGTGCTGCTCTGGCGCGTGCGGTGCGGCGGACGGCGTCGGCGTAGCGCGCGAGACGTTCGTCGATGCTCCTGCCTGTCCCTCCGCCTGTGCTCGTGCTCGCGGCGGAGAACAGCGAGTGTGCGCGGGAAGCGTGGGCGGCGGCTTCGAGACAGCAGCGCGCGAACAGGCCGGCGCGCACCTTACCCAGACTGGGCGCCTTGTACATCCATTCGGTGCTGCTCTTGCTGCGGGCCTCGGCCAGGGCGGCTGGATAGGGATCGTCCTTTGCGACGAAGAGGAGCGTTGCATCGGCGAGGGTGAGGGATTGGAGGGCGGAGATGGCGGAGGGTGAAATGTCTGCGACGGGAGGGGTGGGCGCGGACTGGGTGCGCGGCAGTAGGTAAGTGAGAATGGAGTGGGCGTCGAGCATGCTGCGGAGGGCTTTGGCGTGTTGTGCGCTGCGGGTGGTGAGCGAGAAAGAGTCTGGGGTATCGGCGAGAAGGACTCGGAGGTGTGTGCGGGCAGCGAGGATGTGTGCGAGGGCGAGTGTGAGGAGGGTGAATGCGAGTTCGGATTCGAGGCTTTTCAGGCGGACGCGACCAGCGCGTGCAGATTCTCTCTCAGTCTTGCTGCTGCTGCCACCGCCATCTTTCTCTTTGTCTTTGGACTGCGTGCTCGGGAGATTTAAGTTGAGGCCTGGGGTGCTGGACAGTACGGGTTTCCATTCCACGATGACTTCGCTGACGAGCACAACATCGAGCTCTTCGCCGGCCACGGCCTTGCCAGAGAGGCCAGCATCGAGGGCGAAGAGGTAGGGGAGGTATGCCGTAATGGCCTGTATGAGCTGTGGGAGTTGCGATTGTTGCTGGGCGGGAGGTGTGCGTTTCCAGGATTTGAGGCATTGGCGTAGAGAGTGACGGTGCGTTGTTGCTGTGAGTGGGAGAGAGGGATGAGTGTAGGAGGTTAGAGACTGGGATAGAGGCGTCGCACTGGTGGTGGGAAGTTGGAAGGGATACGGCATTGCGCCGTTCAAGTATCGATCCCGAGAGTCAAGGTTTCAGCATCTGTCAATTGAGTGAGTATGTTGTATCATCACAGCCATGAAATGAATGCTGTTCGTACCTTCAAACTACGTCGTGTGGGGTTCATGATTCGCGGGGCTGAGAGACGTCAGTGCTAGACACCCAATCATATAGCTCGGTGTTGTTATCACGTGAAGTGAATTGCTCAATATCGCCCTGATATCTATGCACATAGACGATCATAGTACGAGGTTGCTGATACTGCTACTGAATTTACAGCTATAGTTCGTGTAGATAGTCTTTTGCGAACTTCTGGAACGCCACGGGTTGGAGCCCCTCGATTCAGAGTAGCTTAAGCTGATATCGATATATGTACAATATGTCCATCTACCCATTATGTAGATTCTCTTTCTTTTAAGCAGTGGCTTGAATGTAGTCGTATGATCCAACGAGTTCTGGTCTCGTATATGCGTTGATCGGGGTGTTAGGTGACTATATTAATCTTTCTTCGGGGCGTAATTCATTTGCTCGAACAGATGTCCCTTGATCTTTGACTCCTTCAACAGCTCGAAGTATCGTTCTATACAGACATGAGAATTAGCGATTGTGCATGATTAGTCTCGGTCTTGATTTGATACAGGTCCGGGGCGTTTGTGTCCATCCGTCTTCCCTTCTCTTCCCTCTAAGGCGCATATCTTGATTGTTACGAGGTCCTAGGCTTACCTCTTAGCTTTCCACACTTCTCGAGATGATTTACTCCCTCTGTGTAGTAGCACTTCGCCAGCTCCTCCCGTACTAGTCGTCCCATCATGACCTTAACCCATTGCTCGCGGATGACGGAATCCTGAGCCGCCTTGAGTGCATTCGTATCGTCGTAATCAACGCCGTCGAAGGTCGGTGGAACCTTAGGTGCCTTCTCGGCAAACGCCTTTGAAATTGGGGTCGGCATTGGAGCGTCCTGAGATCTGGTATGAGTGTCGTGGTTGTAATCTCGCTGCGAGGTCGATATGGGGTTGTAGACGCGCAATTGAAGGTTACAGAGACTTGCGCCGTCTTCAGGCGGTGATACGAAGTCGACACGACAGGTTATGTTCAGCGTTGCGCGGTGTAAAGATCAAGATGATGAGTGCAGGACTTCGTGAGGTCGGAGCGTGGAAGTTCGGAGCAAGAGCTACGAGGCTTGGCAAAGTCAACTTTGGTTGTGCCACTGCTCAGCAGAATACTCCACTCCTGCGATGTATTTATTATAGAGAAGTTGGATTCTCAGGTCGCCTGGACCTCTGGTCTACCAGGCATTGATCTGAACGACTTCTCATCCCAGCAAGCTGCCTTCAAGGTGAGACCAGCCAGTGTCACAGTCCGCGACACTTTCATTGGTCTTCACCATCGCAATTCTACGAAGTGCATCCAGGAAACTATAAATCATATATGCGATAGCATCAGGTATCAAGCGAACGAATCGAGATACTTCTAATGATTGATTTTCATTCGATCTATTTGCTGTCCGTCGCAACGATATTGTCAATGGACAGAATTATAGCCTTGTCCCTTCTTCACAAAGCGATAGTACAACTTTTCTATCACAACGCCGCTTGAGCATTTCCAGTCCCAGTAAGATAGAGCAACATTCTGCAATGAGGTATGGGGTTCCAGAGCTCTCTAGATATATCATACCACCTATAAAGTAATAGCTAGGCAAGCGGGGGCTTCAAAATCTGTGTCTCAGGCAATTCAAGCATGCCCGAAGATTACAGTCTTGACACTCGAATATGTACCGTCTGAATAGGCTATGACATCCGCGACACTCGATAAAGTCCTTGCCATTGACAGCAAAATATCTATCAAATCTGCCTCCGTTGGGTCTGTGTTCGCAGTCCAATTGAAGAGGACTTGGCCATACCGGTGCTTCTCGAGCTCGTACATTTCCTGACCTGGAATTTGGATCCGTATAGATGATTCGGTCGACCCTCGCGTGGTCACATTGACACGTCTTCCATACCTTGCCGCATTCATAGCAGAACTGGGCACCACAGGGACATCTATAGGATTAGTGAAATGAACACAGACTGACATCTAAGCACTTACTCAATGTGATTGCATCCGGCATCGATTGCTACCATGTGCCGGCACTTCAAGCACTGCTGCCATTCCTTCTCCTGTGCCGTCGAGAGTAACGACTTGGTGTCTTTATCCTCGGGACAGAGTCCATCGTGTTGGGGGCTCTTGCATACAGCACAGGTCTTGCGGTTGCATCCCCGACAAGTACCAACACTGGCCTGTATTCTGTCTGGTGGGATGAATCGGTGGCATAGCTCTTCTGAACAGTATGTCGGATTCGGCGTCGAGAGCTCAATTCTTCGGATTTCGAATTCGGCCAAAAAGTCTCTCGTGAAAAAGTCTTGAACTGAGCTCAGAGGAATGTGACCCTTACAACAGCGAGGTGGAAACAAGCCACTGTCGGTCATCGATGCTTCAAACATCCCACGAAGACAATCACGACAGTAATTATGTGGTTCTGGCTGGCAGGAGAGCCGGATCACATCAAAATGATGAAAGGACTCGCCACACGACGAGCATTCATGTCGGACGATCTCTTGAGCCTTTCCTTTGCCTTTCCCCAACCGTGCCATTGACGACTCTCCTTTTACAGAGTTGTCGTCGCTATGCTCGTTTTTTACCAGAATATGCGAAGCTGAGTCATCCCAGTCAAGAAGACGTAGTCCAGAAGTGATCTCAGTGACAACACGCTCATCATCATGTACAGCAGAGATGACGAGCGCACAGTCATCAAAGAATCTAGTGGACATGTCGCGGTCTTGTACATTGACCTGCTTTCCTCCTAGGCGACACGCAAGTTCGTGGTCTTGGCTCGCGGTTCTGTCTTGTTGAACGAGGCGAATGATCTCGGTGCGATTTTGTCTTTCTTCCCGAAGAGAGTTACCAAGAAATTCAAGGGCGCATTTTCGATCATCGACTATTCGAATGTTTGCCTCGAGCTCTGCTCTAAAAGTTTCGAGAGCATTGTCAATGCCGTCACTATCGTCGGTGCTTGCAAGAATCGTGTTGATATCTTCGAGCCACAGCCTATAGGCCAACTCGATAGACGCAGGATCCATGTTTGATGAAGGTAAGATGAATGAAATGGATGAACAAGGCCGATCAAAAACTGCAGCCACTGCCGTTTCTCTGCCATCGCAGCACCAGCACCAGACAACAACACTATAGGACGAAGTGAACAAGTTGCAGTTCACTTGTCCTGAGACCTTAGAACAACACCGCGACACTAGCTGCCATGTTCGATGCCAAGTGATCAGAAAAGTTGTGTTATGACCTTATCTTGGCGTTAAACATCAGATAAAGTGATCCTCTAGATTGAAATAATAGTTATAACACTTGGAGCAAGTTCTTTGATTAGTGCTCAGGAACATAGAGTTCAGTATCCAGGACTGAAGCCCAGGGTTCTACGACCAAGGTGCAAAGAAATCTCAACCTCTCTCAAAAATATCTTCCATCCCATTCTACATGCCCTTGCTGCTCTTTCCGGCCCTGATATATCGTTAGTGAACAGTTCGAGCGGCAATATCCACTTTCTACTCACCAAGTCCATTCAACATCAATGCCAATACCACCATTAAGAAAGCATTGCACAGTCCCAAAATAATCACCAGCCGCTTCTGCCGGTTGACAACATATTCTCTTCTGAAACCATCCACTTTCAGCTCGCAATGAATGACAAGCCTTCCCTTTCGACCTTTACCACGGCTTGTAGAAATGGTCGTGTAGCGGTCGGGCATGTGGCAGCCAGGGCACAGCATGTTGTCTTGCTTCTCGAAGTCGAGTGCTTGGAGTTCTTCGAGAGATTTGAACGCCCTAGAGGTCACGATATGCATGTGAAAGTCATGGGGTGGACCGTCCTCGAGAGGAAAAATATAGGTTGGTGCTTTCAGGGAGGTGGTCGACTTCATGACTTTGCTAGGTCCTGCGACTGCTCGCTTTTTCTCATTGGCAGATCTTGAAGGCGACATGGTCGTTGCTGAAGAGCGAGAAAGGGGGTAACAAGCAAGATAGGGAGTAAAGAGCGAGAGAGGGAGCAAAGTGGAAGATGAGGTCTTGAGACCCCCTTGTTAACGTTCAATTGATATAATTCATCTCAATTGAAATAGGGAAGGGACAGTTCTCAAACGCAGTTGTAGCATGTCATCTTTCACTCCTATATCATGGGCTATACACGCATCCTGGTTCCATGATAGCGTCCACAGTCCACCTGTTACCGTGTCGTATTCGACCCCTGTTTTCAATCTCGGGTGACTAAACTTCTCGATAATGAATACTGCGGGCATATGGTGTAATGTTCTATGGGTCCCCGCATTGATCAAATCTGTTTTTCCATTCGAGAGTAGTGAATAAAATGTATGTGTTGATTTATCTCGAACTATATGAGACTGCGCTTACTCCCGGGAAGGGAGACTTCAAGGTACGACAGACAGGAAAATGACAGCACCGCAACTATGTTCGCGTAGTTTGTGAGTTCCATTAGAGAGCTTACATGATGGTAAATGTCACACATCTGAAGCTAAGTATTAGTGTATGCATGGGTTTAGCACGGCTGGGCCTACGAGAAAGGACTGTTTGTTGTTCAGCATAATGATCCTGTATTGAGTTGTGATGTAAGTCTAGTACCTTTTTTAGGTCCTCGAGTGCCTAATTCGCCCTGCGTACTGATGGTGATCAAAATCATCCTCCAGCGAAGCGGATGCCGTAGAGTTTCAGTTGACGACATCTTCTTCCCCTGGCCTACTCTATGATACCCAGTTCTTCATGAGTGTGAGTGTCATATAGTGGTATAGACATACTAGCATGTCTTCATGCCGCAAAAACGTATCGCTCTCAGTACTTTCGTCCTTCATCTAGTACCGGTACCTGGTGGAATAGTCCTTTGGACTGACTACCAGACCGCGTCCCTTCTTCGCCCCTCGATATATGGCCTCAATGATATCAATAAGCTCCTGCTTGTCCTCCAACACCCAGTTCAGCTTATTGTTGTTACCCGTGCCGAAATCACACATCATGTGTTTGTTGCGGTAGAAGAACATGATCGTCATTGGGTCGTACAGTTCGTACATTTGGTTGAAGTCGGACACTTCGTCGAGATCGCAAAGGTATACGACGGCAAAGTTCTTGACGCGGTCGGCGATTTTGTAAAGGACTTCGTCTTGTCGCATGCAGTCCGGGTCATAGTCTCGACCGAAGCGGATCACCACGAGCCGCTCCTCCTCTGACATGATGGCTTGGTCCACATGCCAGCCGGTGCGGAGATGAGGAAGAACGACAGAACCCATAGCTAGCTGTGTAAGGGTCGGAAGCTGAAGGTGTTAGGAGGTTGATGGGTGTATAAAACTACTACATACTCAGCCATGTCTGAGAGTTGGATGTTATCTAATCGCACGTGACGCCAAGATTTCACGATTCTCCGCAAAAAAGTACTCGACAATCTTGCCATTTTGCGATCACCGGCCAACAAACCCACAAAGAACATTCTAACTCGCCACCATGCCTCAGAACGAGTATATCGAGCGCTGGCAAAAACAGCACGGCAAGCGCCTCGATCACGAAGAGCGCAAGCGCAAACGCACTGCCCGCGAAGGCCACAAAGCCAGCAAAGATGCACAGAATCTGCGTGGCCTGCGGGCCAAACTGTACGCACAGAAGCGGCACAAGGAGAAGATACAGATGAAGAAGACGATCAAAGCCCACGAGGAGCGCAATGTCAAGTCGTCCGATGCCGCAGAGCCCGGCACCACACCCCTTCCACAATATCTGATGGATCGTTCCAACGAGAAGAATGCTAAGGCATTGAGCTCGGCAATCAAGCAGAAGCGGAATGAGAAGGCGGCACGGTTCAGCGTGCCACTACCAAAAGTCAAGGGCATAAGTGAGGAGGAGATGTTCAAGGTGGTCAAAACGGGTGCGAAGACGAAGAAGAAGAGCTGGAAACGCATGATAACAAAGCCAACGTTTGTCGGGCCTGATTTTACTCGTCGTCCGGTCAAGTATGAGCGCTTCATCCGGCCGATGGGTCTGCGGTACAAGAAGGCAAATGTGACACACCCAGAATTGAGTGTGACAGTCCAGTTGCCGATCATTAGTGTCAAGAAGAATCCACAGAACCCGATGTATACGCAATTGGGCGTGCTTACCAAGGGTACGATCATTGAAGTCAATGTGTCGGAACTAGGATTGGTCACAGCTGGCGGCAAGGTGGTATGGGGTCGATATGCACAAGTCACGAATAATCCAGAGAACGATGGCTGCATAAATGCGTAAGTGATCATGCACCGATACAATGAACTATCCCCTGACATGATATAGTCTGCTTCTCGTCTAAATTTTATTACGATCGGATCCACATGGTATACAGCATCGTTGGCGTCTGGTGTTCAGGATTATGGCTGCTAAATTTGGGAGTTCAAGTCTCTCTAAAGCCACTCAGGGGTTTGAAAGGGTAAAAGGTTTCAAAATTATTGCTGCATACCAATAGCGGATATAGATTGGCAATGAAAACTGCCTCAACTGAAGTAGTTGAAGGATGCCGTGGCAATATCGTCCACAAATGCATCGCTTTTATCCAACTCCAAACGTAACCCGTGTGCGCTTAGTGCAAGGAATGATATGTACAAAGTTGCTACCAGAGGCTCCCCAGAACAGATCGTGGAATGATAAGAGAGAAACTGCCAGAACTATGCAGCACCGTAGCGCCATGCTCGCAGAATTCCAAGGGATGGGAGATGATACAGTGCGATGTGGACACATGCAACCACTTGTCCGGTATCATGAAACAAGAAACAGATGAGAATCGTAAAAAGTCATCATACTTCAACAGAGCTCTAATCCTCATCCACAAGGTGATCTTGTAAGTCCCGGATCTTAGCATAAAAGCTTGCAGGATACTGCCGTATCTCTTCGTCGGTCGGAGGTGCCTTGTTGGGATCTCTAAATCTTAACGCGACGCGTTGAATGATTTGAGCGAGGACGTCTTGGGAGATCCTCAAGTCTTCATTGCTATCTGGGTTCAAAAATGTATCCTGTTCACCCAACATTTCCGGAATCGTCGGTCGTTTATCCGGGTCTCGGTTCAAGCACCGCCGAAGTGTGTAACGAAGGCTGGAGGGTACGCGCACGTCACCCACGCCTCTACTAGGAAATTCAATTTTGAAGCTGTGATCGACGATTGCCATAACGCGCCGTATTTGGGATGAGATGTGAGCAAATGGAGGGCGACCATATACCATTTGGTACAAGATACATCCCATACTCCATACGTCACTAGGCTTCCCTAGCTTCATCATTTTCCCGATGGAGGATCTGCCGGAGCCACGGTGGACTGCATTGGTGTCCTCCAAAGACTCTGGTGACATGTAGTTCGGTGTACCCACATGGCTGTCGCGGTGAACATTTACAGTGTTGTCGATGTCGATAGCGTTGGCAATGCCAAAGTCAATAAGCTTCAGTCGGCCTTGGACCAGCAGAAAATTGGCCGGTTTTAGATCTGAGTGGACGATGTCGAAATCGTGTACTGCTTGAACACATTCAAGCATTTCTTTCCAGTAGTAGCGTGTAAACGTAGGATCAAACTTTGAGCTTTCGTTGTCGAGCTTGAGACGAAGAGTTTTAGCCAGATCGGATTCACCAATCTCCATCAACTGAGAACACATCAGTAAGGCTTCATAGGAAATACTGTTCAAATTAACATACCACACTAAGACGTTGCTTGTCCTCGTCTACTTCATAATCGAACAGTCGCACAACTCGATCGACATCTTCGAGCTTCTTGAGAAGCTGGATCTCGCCCTTGTAGCCGCGCACAGCACTTTCATCGGCATCTTCCAGTTTGACCAGTTTCAAAGCAAACATCTTTGCATTTTCGGCCATCACTCGGTATACATCGGAGCTTCCGCCTTTACCGATCTTTCCCATCTGAGAGTATATCTTCCCGTTCACCATGATGTGATTCTTCCGTCTTTTCGTCTTTGTGGTTGAGGCACCACCCGCAGCAGTAGCTGTCTCTAGGACTGACATCTTCGGCGGCGGTGGGGGTGCGGGCCTCAGAGGAGTATTCGCACTTAGGGAAGCAAGAGGAACATGCCTTTCCTCCCTGGATTCCCTCGTCTCCCTTGATATTGAGTCGATCATCGCTACAGGACTGTCTTTCCTCATAGCCGTCATTGGTACATTCTCCTGATCTTGTGAAGGTGGCGCCTCGTCTTCTCCTTGCAGCGTTCGCTTCTGTCTTCGCATAGGAGCTCCCTTGACATTAACCCTCTTGATCCTCATTGACAGCGCCGGTGTTATGTGTGATTCAGGCTTTGGTGTATTCGATGCTGAAGGGTCCCTCGTAATTCGTAGCTTTGGTTCACGTCGTTGTCGTTCCGGTGAATTGATTGCGTTATGGGCGATAATCTCCTCTGCGTACTTGCTTAGACTTGGAGCTGGTCCCTCGTCGTCTGAGCTGTCACCAACGTGGATGCTCTGCAGCATAGGCGCATTGTCCGTGAAGCCCTGCGACATGCCCAGCGCAGCCAGAGGAGACTCTCGCCTACTTTGCATCATCCGCGTTGATGCATGTCGAGTAACCCTGCCGTTGCCATATGAAGGTAGCGGTGTCGGAGACGCCGCGGCCATCGAAGCTATATTTTATGGTATATGGCGGCGCGTCGCGAAGCAAAATCCGGATAAATGAATGTTGAAGGTGTTGACTATCGGTCCATAGGATATTCGGCACCAAAGGATGTAGGTTAGCAGGCAAAAATCCAAAGTCGTCGCGTCGTGAAACATGCGGGCCCGTGAGAGGTCAGAAGTTGACATCCCTATGCGGAAGTGAAGCCAAGCTAGAGTTGCGCCAGCAACAACTCGGTGTAAACAATGGTGATTAAGCGAATATGCCTCCTGCCGTCATTAGCGTTGCGAACACGAGACTAATTAATGCTCAGCTACAGATTTACGAGTGCAGACTAATTATTCTACACATTGGTTGCAATATGTTAATATTGAACAGTACATGGGACGATATGGACGACATGAGAACAATGTCACTCTGATGCAAATGGTCGTTTGCATTGGGCTGCAAGCCTGTCTGCAAGGACCATATTATAGAGTGCAGTAGACCGCGAGATCCATCACTCACAAGTTTACATATACCTCATTTACTCGTCTACACACCACCCAACGAAGCCAAATGCAAAAAAAACCCAATGTAGCCGACTGCAAACGCCACCAAATGCTGTTTTGTGAGACTATGCAATCGTGGTTATCTCAAAGCTTGGCAGTCGATGACTCAAGCGGATTCACGGCGATGACAACGACGACACATATATCGTCAGGCTTCCCGCCATGCCATTTCTCGGCAGGATAATAACGTCGTACCTCCCTTGCGAAAGGACCGTCTCGTCTAGCGTTCAGACCCGCTCGTTTGGCCTCTTTTGTGACCGCACGAGCTATGAGAGACTGAAGCGTCTGCCTGCCACTGGCCTGCTCAGTCGCCACGCCCAATTTCTTACTGACCGTGATGCCAGCTCCAGAGTCTGTCCAAGCACCGTTGTCTATCATGTACCTACTAACGATCTCGAGCGTATCTTGAGGACTCAGATTGTCCCATACACCGTCTGTCGCGAGAACTAGAATGTCCCCATGGCTGAGATCGTGCATAGTAACTTTCGAATCTTTCGGGTTATCTGCAAAAGCGCTTTCAGTCCCGAACATGGCCATTTGAGCCCTCATTCTTCGAGGTATCTTCGAAAGTTGGAATGGCGTGTTGAAAGCGTGGGTTTGGGCATCTGATGTAAAGCTTATCTTGCCCCGACCAATATGCACGAAGCCAGAATCTCCCAGACTGCATCAAGTCAGCTCTATGCTCTCGGTAGCCCAGATGGAACCTACTTGGCAACTTCTAGGGCCCCATTGGGATGAGCCACACCAATGCAGGCCGTACTCCCACCGGCATTGATCGTATTATCATTCATGACCTTGTCGTATCCCGATTGCATCAGATCTCTAGGCCTGATCGATTTCTTCGACTGCCCTTCCACATAGCCAGTGGCAGATATAGCCATATAATCACAAAGTGAATGGGCAAAGTCTGCAGGGTCTACTCCTGAAGTTACCCATCCCCCAACCCCGTCCACTACACCAAATGCCGTTGAGCCTGTACTGCCAACTTCTGATACAAAGAAGGAGTCTTGACCGCTTCGAGGCCGATTTTGCTTCGTCAAACGCCCGTTTGCATCTTCCAACGTAGGTTTTGTATTTATATTTTCATCGTGATTGAAGTTATTCCGGTTGAGGTCCAATTGGGCATTCTTGGCGGAATACGATGCAGATATACGATAAGTGAGCGATGGTTCGGATCGGTCCATTGCTGACGTATGGAATGGCCTTAAAGAGGTGACTTGCGCTGAGCAGAGCCACGGCTCTTTCGGCCATGTTGTGTAGGAATTAGGGAGGCTAATTGACCCCGATGATCGGGCAGAGGTGGCAGAGGATGATTGCGGCGCTAAGAGTAGGTGGTTGTGGTGCAACGATGAAGGAAGGAGTGAGAAAAGACTGCTCGAAAGTTGTAGACCGCGTCTCCAGTGCATAGTTGACATTGAGCCTCCTTCATGCGAATGATATCAGACCAGAGCGAGCATACTGAATACAATCATAGAAGCGCCTAGGTATTCAACAGCTGTAGTGTACAGTCGCCAGAATCATGAAAAGCCTAACAATGTCTAGTAAGCCGATGAGGCTTGAGATTATAAAGTGGACCCTGAATATATGCGAATGATAGGGATCTTGGCGGTACCTGCATGTACCTATGATTCGGGTACTCTCTTTTGTGGGCGACAGCACAGGGAAACGCATGTCGTGTCGATACCATTATCCCTACACTGTCAAGAGATCTCTAATGCGCTGCAAATAGCTCGAACTTTGGGGCGAGCCCAAATCATATTACATACTTCCAAGGTTGTGTAGCTAGTACGCGTGCCTTAAAAGGGTATAGCGTCGCATTGGAGACACAGGCGCCAGGCGGCCTACAGCTTCAGCTTCTAGAACTCCATGAGCTTGAAATACATCACAACGCTTTGTGTGCGCCAGTATCGCCCGCGCACTTCCATACAGAATGGTGTCTCATATCCACCCCTCGAGGCAGGCTTTTGTGGAGGAGGGATCCGATGACGACGTAAGTAGTGCCATAGCTATCAAAGCTACATCTCCTCAAAGCACATCGTGGATTCACAAGCTTTTGCAAACAGACAGTCATCTACTTCCTCCACCCAAGCATTGCTGATCATGGATGTGAATACTGTAGGATCAAGATATGGGGGTCGAGCTGACCAACATCCGTACGTACCAAGATTGGGTTTGAAGTTGCTCTACTCACCATCTTCAGCTCTCGACCATGACTATACCATGCGATCCGCTGGAGGCGAAACAAGTATGCCGTCGGAAAAGGCGAGTGCCATCATGTCACAGTTCGAGCGAAAGCGCCGGGCTGCTGCCATTGCCGTACCCACTGACGATACGCGTGTCCGGGCGCGATTAAGAGAATTGAAAGAGCCAATGACCCTATTCGGAGAAGGACCCGCGGAGCGAAGAGACCGTCTGCGAGAGATATTGACGTCGATCCAAGAATCGGCTGATCACCTACAGGATGAGGTCATGCGCGATGCGACTGAGCAGCCTGACGACGAAGGTGAAGCGCAAGAAGAGTTCTATACCATAGGGACAGACGCACTACTGAATGCGAGAAAGCACTTGGCAAAATACTCTCTGGCCAAAGCTCAAGGACGAGTACTGTATCAAAAACAGGAGGCTACCATCCCGCTCAGGTCGCACGTAAAGCACCGCGAAGACATAAAGCACGGCCTCGCGACGTTTGAACTTTTCGGCTCGCAGGTCGCCGGTGACAGACCTGTCAGTTTAGCTCGATTCTCACCAAATGGCCAGTTGGTCGCAGCTGGCCATTGGGGAGGTGGAATCAGGATCCTAGATGTGCCAAACCTCGAACAGAAGCATATTTTCAGGGGACATACAAGCCAGATTGGTGGGTTGACATGGTCTCCGGGTGCTACATTACCAGGAAGCAATGTCTCTACAGGATCAGTCAATTTGGCCTCAGGGGGTGGAGAAGGACAGATACACCTATGGTCATTGGAGAAAGATGTGCCGCTAGCTACACTATCTGGACATCTCGGACGCGTATGCCGAACTGAATTCCATCCCTCGGGCAGGTACCTCGCTTCTGCATCGTATGATACCACCTGGCGCATGTGGGACGTAGAGACAACAACCGAGTTACTGCTACAAGAAGGTCATTCGAAAGAGGTATACACAGTTGCCTTTAACCCTGATGGCTCCCTCGTGGCCAGCGCCGGTCTTGACAGCATAGGTCGTGTATGGGATGTCCGCAGTGGACGCTCTGTCATGGTCCTGGACAGCCACATTAAGCCAATCTACGCTCTGGACTGGAGCATCGACAGTCATCGCATCCTGACCGGCTCCGGCGATGGGTTTGCCAAGTGCTGGGACATCAGAAAGATCAGAGAAACAACAGCGATTGCGTCCCATCAGGGAGGTGTCACAGACCTGCATTGGTTCAAAGGCGTAGATGGCCCATATAGCGGCAAACCCCTCGCAACAGACGCAGAAGGAATGCCGGTGCCGAAGCACGCAGGCACGTACTTTGTCTCATGCGGCTTTGACAAGAAGATCAAGATATATTCATCCGACGACTGGGAGATTGTCAAGGTGCTCAGTGGTCATACTGGAAATGTTCTCAGCGTAGACGTCTCCTCGGACGGCGAATATATTGCCAGTAGCGGCCACGACCGAACGGTGAAGATATGGAAGAGAGATTTGCCTGTGACTGAAGCTAGAGAGAACATGGAGGAGTGAGACAGATGATATTCTCCCGTATCGTGAGATATATCTCTCCTCCAATCACTCTTGAGCATAGCACATGCTTACACAGGCACAGCGATCCGAGACGTCAGCCAAGCTGGCGACAAGCTCAAGGCTCTTGAAGGAAGAGCTTCGTCGGTAATGTGAGGGACTCTACTAGTGCCGTCAGACGAACCATGCTGAAGGCAGATAGTGAGCGAAATGAGACCATCGCTCAAGTAAGAGAGAAGTAAACTCTGGGGTTCTGCACGAAGAGGAGCGGCCAAGATACTGATACCAACAAAATGAAAAGCTTTCACATCAATTTTTTGCTGTCGACGCACCAAGCTCAAACGTGCCATCCATTTCGTACTGACACATCCGCATCTAGGTATGTAACAAATTAGACTACGATATTCCGGTACGTCAAGGGCGGTATCGACATCGTCCAACCCTTAACCCAATTGGTTCCTACAGCTTAAGCAGCTTCCCCAGATTTCACCCCGCATCCTGGTAGTGACAGTGATCTCCCCGTAGTCATGCACATTGCAACCTCTACAGGGCATTCATCCATCACGAGCTGATATCAGTCTGCTGGACACCTGCAGGTCTTTCAACCAGCGGGACATGCGACCACGATGTTCTCTCGCTCTCTACACATCAGATATCCGAACTTCCCCATCTAGACTAGCCAAGCTCCCGGCAATCCGGTACCAACCACCTCCCATCCATCCGTTCGCAGCAAAACAGTCAAAACACTGTTGATGTGCAAGGATGCAGTCGCCGGCGGGTGATTTCCATGCTCGAGATGCGCGGTCCTGGCTCGCTCTCCCTCGCGATAGTGATCACAGCATGCAGTCAGCTGGAGCGATGCCCGGCTTGTGCAACTCGAGCTCTAATATCCATTCGCATAGCAAGCATAGTACGAGGTTGGTACCGGGCTCACGATCTATTGACTACATGCCACTTACTGGAAGAGTACCAGATATTTGTCGCCTGCCATGCTAAGCAAAGGTCAGGCTTCGCGCGGCGAGCTTGCTGCTGGGCAACTGAACGGGGTGCTGAGTTGCGGGAATTATTCAAATAGGACGCGTGCGCCCGCGTGGACGAGGTGGCGCGTTGCACATCGAACGTGGTTTCTTGTGGCTTTGTTGTGTATCTGGGTGCTGGTGCTGTACGGTGATATGCTTTCATCGTTGCTGTTGGCCGCGGCAGGCTTGCTTGTCAAGCCTACGTATAGCATTTCTCTCGAGGTGTCTACGAGTGGTGGGAACAGCTCTGGTGCACTCCCGGTGGGAATGATGTTTGAGGTAGAATATGCTAGGGATACGCATGTTTGATATATGCTAAAGTATACATCAGGACGTCAACCACGGAGGCGACGGAGGAATCCACGGACAGCTTCTCGGGGACAATGCATTCCAGGGGACAAACGCGAGTCTGTTCCGATACGCGTCTATTGGCAACGCGACACTCTCGATTGATGACACGAACCCGTTGACTTCTGCAATAGTACGGTCACTCAAGGTCGACGTGCCAGAGGACGCTTCTGGCGAGGTTGGCTTCTCGAATGACGGCTTTTGGGGTATCAAGCTCCCACAAGGCACATATTCGACCTTCTTCTGGATGAGCGGTGATTACGAGGGCGATGTGACAGTGAAGCTGGTGCCAAAGACCGGCTCAGGTACAGAATTTGGATCTACTACCCTTGCAATCAAGAAATCTAGCAAATGGACCAAGTATGAGGCAAAGTTCGATGTTAAGGCTGCTCCGAACGGAAACAACGTATGGGCCTTGACGTTTGACGGCTCGAAGACTGCGGGCTCGACCTTGTATTTTACGTTGATGTCGCTCTATCTGCCGACGTATCTGGACAAGTTAGCTCTCCCGTAGGAGTCTCTGCAGACTATATACTGACTGTGGTAGGGAGAACGGTCTCAAGCCAGAGCTCGCACAGCCGCTTGCTGATATCAAAGGGCGGTTCCTAAGGTTTCCAGGAGGCAACAATCTGTGAGCAGATCCTCCTGACTCACCACTCTGTGCTGACGATGGACAGTGAAGGCGACACAATCGATGGACGGCTGAGATGGAACCAGACCATTGGCCGTAAGTTTCAGATCGCACCCTCGCAAGTTGTGTCCAGATCTAACATCAATTCAGCACTTGAGGATCGGCCAGGTCGCCAAGGTTAGGCAGTTCAGATATTCCACTCGCTCTGCTATGTATGCTGACTGACCCGTAGATGTCTGGAGTTATGCCAATACAGACGCCATAGGTAAGCAGATCACTCGCGTTCGCTCATCTCAGCTAACGGACCTAGGCACGCTCGAATACCTCGAGTGGGCAGAATACATGAATCTTGAGCCCATGATGGACATCTTCGCCGGCCTCGCACTAAAGGGCGAAACCGTCACAGGCGACGCACTAGAACCCTACATCGAAGACGCCCTCGCCCAGATCGAAGTATGCAGCCTCCGTCCCTGGCACACCACAACGCTCATCTACTGACAAAGATCACAGTACGCAGTCGGCGACTCAAGCACGCACTGGGGCGCCATCCGCGCCTCCCACGGCCGCACCGAGCCCTTCGCGCTCAAGTACGTCGAGATCGGAAACGAAGACAACCTGTCCAACGGCTGCGCCAGCTACGTCGAGCGCTTCCAACGCTTCTACGACGCCATCCACGCCGCGCACCCATCCATCACGCTCATCGCCAGCACCGCAGACCTCAACTGCCTCCCCAAGGACCTGCCCGGAGACGCATGGCTCGACTACCACCGCTACGACCGGCCCGACGCCTTTGTCGAGGCATTCAGCTTCTTCGACAACATCCCGCGCACAAACAAGGTCCGTTGCCCCCTTACCATCTCTCCCACAACCCCCTTTCTCTCCTCACGTCCCAAACACTGACCCCCACCCCTACAGTACATAATCAACGAATTCGCCGCGATATACCACAACAACGGCACGCGCGCAACATACCCAACAATGCGGTCCGCCGTCGCAGAAGCAATCTACATGATGGGCGCGCAGCGCAACTCAGACCTCGTCCAGGGCCTCGCCTACGCGCCCCTGATCGCCCACCTCGCCGCCGTGGACCTCTACAACGCCTGGACGCCCTCGCTGCTCTCCTTCCGCAACGACCCCCCTGTCACCATCCTATCGACGAGCTACTTTGTCCAGCAGATGTTTGCCCAGGCGAGTGACCCCACGGACAGGTATGTGGATGTTGTGGCGGATGGGCCGCTTGGGCCGACGGTGTTTTGGGTTGCGTCTGTGTCGAGTGGTGGGCAGGGGGTGGTTAAGGGGGCGAATTATGCGGGGGTGGGGACGGCGTTGAGGGTGAGGTTTGCGGGAGGTGTGGAGGGGACGAAGAGGGCGAGGGTGGTGGTGTTGAGTGGTGATGCGGAGGCGAGGAATGATGAGGTTGATCCGGGGGCGGTGAGGCCGGTGGAGGGGGTGGTGGAGGAGGGGGCGGAGGGGTGGTTTGAGGTGGAGATGCCGGCGTGGTCGGTGGTTGTGCTTGTTGCGGAGTGAGTGTTGGGTGTACTGTAGTTGGATATACGAGATATGAATGTAGAGGTAATTTTCCTCCCTATCTACAATATCACCGAAACACGTGCAGTCTCACTCACCAACCCCCATATCAATGCCTCAGGCCCACTCCCACTCCCTCCTGCAGCAAGCAGCAGGTGAGAAGTGGAGCCGTCCCGTAGCCATTCATGCAGGCGCGACCCTACCCGCTTACTCAAACACACACACACCACTGGATATCCATAGATGCACCTCTACATACCACTCGTCAGTACTCGTCAGTATCCCATGGCACGCCATCCGTCTCACGCGTGCAGCACATGCGTATCAGTCAATAAACACACTGTAAGTCTGTAAAAAAGCCGGAGGAAAGCCGGTCAGGAGCACAGTCACGGATGCGGACGGACGTTGGGAGAAAATGGCCGTGATAGGGGTTATGTGATGGGAAGGGTTTGGAGGGTGGTCGGCAGTTTTGCTGTGGCTTGGCGCATAAGCATCAGTTTGTGAGGACTCTGGGAGTTATTGGCGGTGGATGCGTGGTGTTAATTTGGTACAGTTCAAGACTGCACTGCACTGCACTGCCATGGAAGAGGAGGTAAGGCGGTGCTGAAGTGATATTTGTTCGAGTGATGTGGTTCATTCTTGCTCGTGCTTATTCTGAGGTGAAAGTTGCGCGACTAGATGGATGGATGGATGTTGAAGTTGACTCGTGGCATGGCATGGCATGGCATGGATGGAGATGAAGGAAGGATGAAACGTGGAGTGGGTCGCTGGTCTGGGATGTCGCGTCGGCAGAAGGACAGGACATGGAAGGTAATTAATTAATTGAGTAGGGCGAAGACATGTGGTTCTACGTGGCTGTATGTATGTTGTCGATGATTGAGTTAAGTGAAGAGACGACGGTCTGATAATGGGTGTATGACGGTGGAGGCGCGCGCAATGGATAGCTACAGTAGTCCAGGTACCTACTGTAGTAGCTGCTGGGTCGTAGCCGTGGTGTGGAGGTATGGACGAACGGGACGTCACCGAGGCATCTCAGGAACACAAGCACGCGTGTGCCTGGTGATAAGGGATAAAGTATATATACAGCACACACATACGTATCAATTGTCCGGGGCTTATCGCTAATCGCGCAAGGGAATACATGTAAGTAAACCATACCAAAAAAACAACAAAAGGGCGCAGTAAGGGGGTGTTTGAAACCTCAGCTGACGTTCAATTTTCGACGTTTCTGACGTTCAATTACCCGAAATCCGCCAAGTGTTTAAAATTAGATCTCACCTCCAGCTTAAAACCCGAGCTAATAACTAGGGTATAGAAGACGGCGTAGAACTAAAGGAATATGGCTTCGGGATAGCTAAACTTGCCTATTGTAGATATAGTTAAATATTAAAGTCGACGTTTTTAAGTAGTAAGTATTTTTCGCCTATTAACGAGCTTAAATCTACTTAATCTTACTAGAACTTCGGTAAATTAGCGTTTTTCGCTATATTAGGTAACTTTATACTACTTACGTAAAAATATACTTTTTATTTTATAGTAGATTCGGACGATTTAGACAATTTATAGAGTATACCTAGCTATAGATAATAATAACTCTATTCTTACCCTCCTCCTTACCTATTAGAACTACCTATTTAGATTATATATAGAGGCTATTATTAATACCGTCGACTAGTATAATTAAGGTAGTTTATAAGTATGTGATTCGAAGGCGTTAGTTCCGTGTATTCTAGCTAAGATCTAAGATATAGATAATAATACTCGAATAAGAGGCTAGATAGATATTTAAATAGATACCTTTAATAAGTTATTAGCTACTTTAAAGATATATAGACTAAAAAATAGATAGAAAGTTACCGTGGACGAAAAACTCTTTATTTACCTTTATATCTACTAAACTAGGCTTTCTCTTAATAAGGCGTAATAGATCTTAGAAAGAGATACTAGTACCCTAAGTATATAAGCTATTAGTATATTAGTTATTATCTTACCGCTAATATAAGTAGTAATAGTATCTTTAATTAGGTGACTTACGTATTATATTAGCTTTATAAGGATATTATAAAGCTTCTAAGCGATAACGCTAAAGTCTATTCTATTATAGCTATAAATCCTAAGCTATTACCGTTTAAGGGCGCTATTAGAGTAATTAATAGTACTTATATATCTATATCTATACTAGAGGATAAGTAGTTAGCTTAGTAGAATTAAAAGTAGTTTATCTTATAGAACGTACTTACCGTAGTTAACTTTAACCTTAACTTTATATTTATATACCCTAGCTAGGAGGGTTTAGCGTACAATCTATACGTCTTTAATAAGGCGCTTAAAGATAGATTAACGTGTTCTAAAGGGAGATACTACCTTACTAATACTAGGTATACTAACTAATAATATACTATACTCCTCACGCCGTATTATAAGACGAGATACCACCTCTATAAGGTAATAGCTACTAGATAGAAGCTAGAGACGAAGGAGAAACTCTTTAACCTTCGATACTTATAGCTTCGGAACTATATTAAGCGTGTTTTTAGAGTTCTAAAGGTATACTTTAAGATACTATTAAACCCACGACCTAATAGAAGTATTATATAGTAGTTAAACCTTATATTTACCCTTACTACCCTCTATAACTTTATAAATATCTACCGAGATAATACTCTAGATCTTTATAAGGTAGTTATTAAGGAGGATTCTACTAATTTAAGGCCTCTAAATCTCTATAATACGTTAGAATAGAATAACGATAGAGATCGTATTATAGTAGCGTACTAGAAGTAATACTAGGCGTATATAGAGTTAGAATATAAGAATATTAAGGATAAAGTCGTATAGTAGAGTAGGCGTATACTATTATTTAATATTCGCCTATGTAATGGATATAACCAAGGTGTTACTATAATGGTAATTAAGATATATTATAATTTAACTTAGAGAGAATAGAGATAAGCCGTATGGTTATAGCTTTAAGTATAGTCTTAAGCGAGGTCACGTGATACCCCTATACTAGTCTCTATCCATCCCGGCTCTATTATATAATACTAGAGATAAGGTAAAGCCGAAGTCCATAACATACCCTTATTCTCTAGGATTGTTCTAGGGACCGGCTTAGTGTTTTATATAATAATAACCGGCTCGGTTAGGTCTTAGGTTTACGGTCTTTATATTATACTATATAATAACCGTAGAGCTATATATTCCTTCTAGTAAGGTAGTAGCTTTTTATAGTAGTATCCTAGCGGTTACGTGGTGGAGGTTAGTTCCTTATATTACGGCGTCGTAGGTTATATAATTATAAGATAGTAGAATCCTATAGTTGCGTCGTGGCGGTTATATAGTAAAGGTAGACTCCTTATATTATGGTGTACCGCGTTAGGTTATATAAAGGTAGGGTAGCCTACGTACGAACCGCGCGTCCTATTTTATTATTATCCGTTTTAGGACCGGCTACTCTCTAGGCTAGGGGTTATATAGTAGTAGTAGAGTAGCTTGCGCATGACCCGCGTTTATTATTATTATCGTCTATTTTAGGACTAGCTCTACCCCGGTCTATATGATTTTCCCTAACACGAGTATATAGGTTCTACGCCTAGCGACTTTCTTCTTTCTTAACTACCCTTACGCCTACTATCTTAATACCGCGTAGTAGCTACTATAATATTAGTAAACTCGTATACCACCTCGCAGCTTCTATACTATTATTATAAGCGCTCTAGGCCTAAATAGTCCTATTATAGAAGCCAGCGCCGTCTCGGCGGTGGCTATAGATACTAGAGGTTAAGACCCTAACGATTATCGCGCGCCTAGGCGCTAGGAACCAGCTAATTATACCGTGAGTAGGTCCTGTCTCTACGCCGTTCCTTATACTAACTAGATAGACTATTCCTTCTACCGTACCCCGATAGGCTAAGCCTATTCGCCGTATAGAGCTATATATTATAGAGGGTAACTCGTTAGAAGACGAGCGTACTAAGTCCGTGTACTTTATATATTATATATATATAAAGGCCCTAGAGAAAACTAGGGTACTTAGATATATACCGTCTCTATACCGTGGCGGCGCCTACTAATCTTAGAGCGTAGCTATAAGTCTAGCCGCGGTACTAACTATATAAAGTACTACACGTTAAAGGGGACCTACTTATAGAATACTAAGAAGCTCGCTATATACCCGGCCTTACGTAAGGCGTAGAGTCGTCTTAAAAAGTTTATACACGAGTTAGTTAATAATAACTTTAGCTATATAACGGATCGTGGTAGTCGCGGCCTAGACCTAATAAAGCCTTCGTCCGGTAAGTAGCCGTGTATAAACTCTAAGTTCTACTATCTATACGAGGACTATAAGTCTAACTTAGAGATTATCTATATCACGCGATATAATACTAGTATTATTAGTTAGACTCCCGTAACGCCTTATCGTGGCGCCGTAACGTCGTTTAAGCCGCCGTATCACGGTAGTAGTAACCATAGCTAGATTAGTAGCGTGATTCACTAGATAAATTAGTACATGTCCTATAATAAGGCCTAGATAGATAAGCTATATACTAGTATCGGCACCTTATAGGTATATAAGCTTTATAAGTCTAAATACCTATTCTAACGCGTGACGTAGGGTACTATATAGTAAGTCGTGTCTAGGTTGGCCCGTCTAGCGGAGCTACTATCTCGCTACCTTATTACTTAGGTAGTTATAGAGGATAAGAAGCCCTTATTAGGTAGTAGCCGCTTACGCTAACTCTAGCCCGTAGGCCATAGAGAGTCGCCGACTCGGAGCTCTCGCTATCGCCCTATTAGGCCCCCCCGGCTCCCTATCGCCGCCCCTCCTCGTGAGTCCTTACCGCCTTATTATTAGCCCCGGACCCCTCCTCGCTACCGTGACCGCTCCCGGTCCTACGAGCGTTATAGCCGGTCCCCCGTCTACTATAATCGGTTTCCCTACTATCGTAACCGGTTATATAACCGTTAGAACTAGTCGTACGACCGTCGCCGTCACTCGG